AATATGGAAGCCTTTTGTTTTTCACACCGTCGGTTCCTCACAGACGGCGCCTCACCACGAGTACAACCGAGGCAAGCCTCTGCACCCCTTTGGTGCACGGATGTAGACCTTGGCAATGCTCAACGATATGCAAAATTTGCAAATGGGCGCCCAGGGAACCCTAAGGTTGCAAGATTGTGGCGCTGGCAATGGCCCAAATCATTGATATTTTTGTTGCCTTCCAAGCGCAAAAGAATTGAGCCTACCCAATGCCACCTAAATTCCAGGAATCTGCCCTCTCCTCATCGCCCATTCGGCGAAGGAGACCAGGTTTTGTTCGAAAAGACAACCAGTTGAGGTGCTGCTAGCTCACGAGAGACCCTGCAGCTCTCGTTGTGGAGCGCAGGGCGGCACACACTCCACTCCCGGATTTCATGGGATATACTCATATACAACAGCGGATCGAATAAGATCTTATCAACAACAACGGGGATTTGCCCAACAACTTCGCAGGGATTCACTCACTGTTGAACGGGATGAAGTCACTAAAAAAACTTGACAAATTGAGATTTTATGCAACAAGAATGGTGATGTAAACCCATGATTTAAAGTTTCACCAAGCAAAACAAAGATAAAAAAATTACTCTAATAGTTCATCAAGAGAGAAAGGGAGCTTCAAGACGTTAAAGTGACTTAAGTGACACCAACGGGCACCTTGCACATGTTCCGCTTATTGTGCAGTCAACACACAAATTATCTTTGATACCGCGCATGGAAAAAACGGTTTCTAATGTAATGGTTACGTTTTGTTGTTAATTTAATAACTACATAACTATGGAAACTCATCAGTTGAACAAACCGTACATCATCCACTTAAACAGGCCGTAAAATCGCAAAAAGTTGAACCACCAAAGACTAGATTCCCATTGAACCCCAATTTTGGTTAAATCCCACATATTCATCATGTTTGCTGCTTTTCTACATGTTATCTAATCTGGTTGGTGGTATACCTACCCCTCTGAAAAAAATGAAATTCAGTTGGGAGATTATTCCCAATATATGGAAAAATATAAATGTTCCAAACCACCAACCAGTAATTGTTGCATGTATTAAAAGTCCATGCAAATTGAGTCAGAGCCAAAAACGCGCCCAAACTTTGAATCAAATCAATGGAAACTGATAGGGATTAACTCCAGGAACTTCACCAAGAAATATGGTGGTGGTAATGGGGATACCCATGGGATTAATGGGAGTCATGGCTTAATATTGGTTAACATTGGAAAAATACCCTCCTTCAATCTAAGATGCTTTGCCAAGAACTAACATTTATGATTTAATTTAAAGCCTCCTAACATCATCATTTAATATTGGATAACATTGGTTCATAGCCTCCTTGTTTTTTTCCACCAATTTATGATGTTCGCAGCTAGCCTTGTGGGATCATTGGAGGCCCACATGACCTGGGTAAATGCAAACAATTGCTAAGTCGGGCCCCCAAGTTAGCTAAGTTCTTGAAAAACTACGTTTGGCGTATGGTTTGTGGTTTAAGATAGAATTATATCATCTATAGAATCTATAGTTAGTGGGGTTATAAAATGTTACAAACTAACTTGGGGCCCACCTTGTAGCAAGAAACATTGGACCAAGACTCAAGTGCTTGTTCAAGGTATCCCGGAGGTGAACACCAATGTCGCCATAGATCGTATGACCCGTTGCATCCTGGAAGTAAAGAGGCGCCAAATCCATTGGAAAAACCAATGATTTTGGGGTTGTTATTGTGGATTTTCCCAATCCTGAAGCCCAATAATCGTAAATTGACACGAACATAAACGAACATATTAACATAAAATGCCGGTGCAACATCTTACAATCCTCGTCCTCAAGTTCTATAGCTATGGCATGCGATGGCTAGATTTCCGGGGTTGCAATTCCATTCCTGGAGACGGAAACACCACAAGCAGGGGAAACTCAGCCACACATTTGTGGTTCAGCTTTTAGCGAAGGAGTTATAAGAAGAATAAGAACCCATGTGGATTTGTTTCTTGCTAAAATCCCCATGGTTTTGCCATCTATAGTCACGGGCGGGTAATAAGCAGATTTCCTCCCCTGCCGGCAGACAAGCAGATTGCTCAACTGCCTCACTCGCCGGTAATCTATCTGCTTATTACCCCTAAAAATGTGTAAAATGAAAATCTGCTTATTACTGTTGTCCCCAGACACTGGGTCACGTCTTCAATTGTTTCGGTATAGTTTATCATAGCGATGGTCTCCTCTGATCATCCTGCCTTTTCCTTTGAAAACCTCTTGTTTTCGTGTGTTTTCTTCTGTTTTCTTTTCTTACCCTATTAGTACAAGTGTGTTTTCTGTAACAGGTGTTTCACATTTCCACCCAGGTATGGACCAAAAGCTAGCAGTGTCAACCTTTCCAACGCATGAGTTGCACCAAAATATTATGGTTTTTAATTGTGGGTGGAAAGCAATGAAAAACAAACACAAAGGAAATAGCTAAAATCAGGTTTTCTTAGATTATATCATTTTTCCTTTGGTATCCTTTGATTCCTTTGATTTCCTTTGGTTTCCTTCGGTTTCATTTGGTTTGGGACTAGGTGGATTCTATGGTTTCCTTTGGTTTCCTTCGGTTTCCTTTGGTTTGATTTGTTTTCCTTTGGTTTCCAAGGGAGAAACAAAGGAAAAGAAAATCCAAGGAAAAAACAAACCAATCAAGGACACTCTAAGGAGGCTGAAAACCAATAGAATGCATCAATCATGCCTGTTACTAAGGAGGCCGCTAGAGCTAGAGTTTAGTTGTTTTCAGTCAGTGACCGAACTTCCGATTCTGTATACGCGTACAAACCTACAGCAATAAACCAAAATGCAATTTCCCCGACACGAGCAAATTGATCAGGTGCCCCGTATACAATGAAAATGAGTTGCTTCTTACAGTCTGAGTGGACCTACTCCATTCAGTGTACAATATTTTTCTAGTGGGTATCATGTAAAGGGGCCTAGAAATTTGCCAGCCCAGAGTAAAGAAACAATGTGTGGCTCTTGGTCTTGCAGCGACCCTTTCTTGTGGCTCTTGGTTTTCAGGTGACCCTTTCTTGTTGCAATTATCCCTCAAAGCTTCTTTACAATTCAACGCTTTTGACATTGTCTTGGACTCCTAGAAACGGCAGCCCTTCTATACTGTGCTGTGACGATTGATTGAGACTGCTTAAACAAATTATTCTGGTATATTCTAGTCTGATTCAGTTTCTGCCCGGCAATTTCTTGAATTTGGTGCCCCAGGAAGTCCCAACTTTCAAGCAACTGTAATAAGCAGATTTCCACATCTGCTTACTACAGTCAGGGCAGTTTAAGGCGTAGTGCAGATCAACCAACTATAATAATGCATGCTTTCAAGCAATTGTAGGTGTCCTCGGGCTGGTTTTTTTTGTGTTTTTTCCGGCAATTTCTTTCAGAATGCCTTTCAAACATACATTTGCGGCTTGATTTTGGGTTCGTGCTTTTGTCGCAACCCTTTCTTGTTCCAACACTCCCTTGAGACTGCTTTACAAATGAACGCTTTTGACACTGCCTTGGACTCCTAGAAACGGCAGCCCTTCTATACTGTGCTGTGACGATTGATGAGGACTGATTAAACACACCATTCTATTATAGTCTAATTCAGTTTCTAGGCTGTGGCCCGGCTATTTCTTGAATTTGTTGCCCCACCAAACGAAGTCCCAATTTTCAAGCGGCTGTAAGAAGCAGTACTACAGCCAAGGTGTAGTGGAGATCAACTATAGTGCATGCTTTCAGGCATGTGTAGGTTACTCGGGCTGGTTTTTTTCCCCACCTGCCAGGTGAGGGTTGTTAGATTTTATGTCAGTTGCCTCCTCCTTCTCCTCCTTCTCCTCCTCCTTCTCCTCCTCCTCCTCCTTCTCCTCCTCCTCCTCGTCCTCCGCCTCCTCCTGCCTCGTCCTCCTCTCCTCCTCCTCCTCTCGTTGTCCTCCTCGTCCTCCTGCTCAACTGCGACTCGCGATCCACAGTGTTCGCTGTCGGACCTCAACCACGACCATCCACGCCCAGTGTTCCCTGCCGGACCTCAACCACGACCATCCACGCCCAGTGTTCCCTGCCGGACCTCAACCACGACCATCCACGCCCAGTGTTCCCTGCCGGACCTCAACCACGACCATCCACGCCCAGTGTTCCCTGCCGGACCTCAACCACGACCATCCGCGCCCAGTGTTCCCTGCCGGACCTCAACCGCGAGTATCCATGCCAAGTGTTCCCTGCCGGACCTCATGTAGGAATGTCAGATAGACTGCCAGATAGAATGCCAGATAGAATGTCAGATAGGATGCCAGATAGAATGCCAGATAGAATGCCAGAAAGAATGCCAGAAAGAATAGCCAGATAGAATGCCAGATAGAATGTCAGATAGGATGCCAGATAGAATGCCAGATAGAATGCCCAGAAAGAATGCCAGAAAGAATGCCAGATAGACTGCCAGATAGAATGTCAGATAGAATGTCAGATATAATGCCAGATAGAATGCCAACATATATGCCAGAATATATGTCAGATAGAATGCCAAAATATATGTCAGATATAATGCCAGATAGAATGCCAGAATATATGCCAGAATATATGTCAGATAGAATGCCAGAATATATGTCAGATATAATGCCAGATAGAATGCCAACATATATGCCAGAATATATGTCAGATAGAATGCCAAAATATATGTCAGATATAATGCCAGATAGAATGCCAGAATATATGCCAGAATATATGTCAGATAGAATGCCAGAATATATGTCAGATATAATGAGATGAAAGAATATATGTCAGAATAAATGACAGGTAGAATGCCAGAATATATGTCAGATGAAATGTCAGAAAATATGTCAGATAGAATGCCAGATAGACTGCCAGATAGAATGCCAGGTGGAATGTCAGGATATATGCCAGATAGAATGCCAGAATATATGTCAGATAGGATGTCAGAATATACTAAATATATGTCCAAATATACGTCCTGACATGTCATGGTGGGGATCACACGAAGTAGAGTAATTGTGTTTTTTTCCGGCAATTTCTCTCGGAATGCCGTTTAAACATACATTTGGGGCTTGATTTTGGGCCCGTCCTTTTGTCACAACCCTTTCTCATTCCAAAACTCTTAAGACTGCTTTACAAACGAACGCTTTTGACACTGCCTTGGGCTCCTAGAAACGGCAGCCCTTCTATACTGTGCTGTGATTGATTGAGACTGTTTAAACAAATTATTCTGGTATATTCTAGTCTGATTCAATTTCTGGGCTGTGGCCCGGCTATTTTGAGTTTGTTGCCCAAAGAAGTCTCAACTTTCAAGCAGCTGCAATAAGCAGATTTCCAAATCTGCTTATTACAGTTTGTGCAGCAGAGAACAATGCTTGCTTTCAGGCATTTGTAGGTTCCTCGGGCTGGTGTTTTGTGATTTTCTAGCAATTTCTCTCAGAATGCCTTTCAAAAATAAATGTGCGATTTGGGGCTTGATTTTGGGCCTGTGCTTTTGTCGCAGTCCTTTCTTATGGAGGGCTATTGATTTTAGGTTTCTTTTGAGCAGGTTCAGGTATTTTCTTTGGATTCTTGAATTTCTTCTGCTCCTGCTTCTCTGCTTTTCTACTTCTCTGCTTTTCTGCGTGTTTGCTCTTTTGTTCTCTGCTTGTATGCTTTTCCTGCTTTTCCGCTATTTTGTTTTTTTCCTGCTTTTCTGCTTCTCTGCTTTTCTTGCTTCTCTCTGTTCTGCTTCCCTGTTTTTTTCCTTTTTCTTCCTGCTTCGCTGCTTTTCTACTTCTCTGCCTTTCTATTTCTACTTGTCTTTTTCTGCAGTCATGCATTTTCATGATATTTCTCAAGGACAAAAATACGCACACCATTCCCATATTTCGTGTTACCTTTAGTCGAATTTGAATTGTGCAAGCAGCTGTAATAAGCAGATTCCCGATTTCACCAATTCCCACATAATGGGAATCTGCTTATTACAGGTCTGATTTAAGGGTACCCCATTCTAGCAGATCCTTATTTGAGCGTTTTTGAGGGTTTTTGGGGGTGTGATAAGCAGATGAAAATCTGCTTATAACCTGTCCGCGACTATAAATCCTCCTGTTTGCTGGTGAAACTACAACGGTTTGAGGTTTAAACCACCAATTCATCACTTAATGTCTCGGTTGTCATTCACCATTGGGTTGTTTAATTGGGGGACATTGGGGGGTACAACTGTTTAGTAGCCAATGACATCACTGGATTGAGGCAACAAACCTTAGTTCAGTCACTGGCGGTGGTGCCCCAGGGTCTTTATAACTATCTTAACTGATGGTTTGTGGTGATGAAAAACCATCTAACTACATACATACATTTGAGTAAATCAACTAAGATATAATATGATATAATATAAAATAACATAACATATTCTAATAGAATAAACTAAAAAATATTGTGAAAATATAAAAACAAATATTTTGGATAAAATAATGCAAAATAATAGAATGTAAAAAAAACATATATATAATCAAATGCATAATCATAAAACTCATGATATAATAAAGTTAAAACATATATTAAAACATAAAAAAATAAAATATAGTATCGTAAAATGGAAAATGGTATGATATAATAAATATATATACATACATACACGATATTTTCAAATATATATATATATAATATATAACCTAACAAAATATAATATAAAAATGAAATATACTAAAATATAATACACTAAAATTAAAATATCAATAATATAACATGTTAAAAAACAATGAAAAACAAAAACAAAAATGACATGATGTAATTTAAAAACCATCTAACATAATATATAAAACACACAGAATATATATATATATATGTGTGTTTGTATGTATATCCATACAACATGTAGATAAATGCATATATATATATATTATATAAATAAATATATGTACAAATTAATAATTTCATAAATGAAAAGATAAACGTATATTATATAGATCTTTTTAACTAGGTACATTTACATATATGTGGATACATATTTAACGTATGTGGGCACCACAGTGCTTAGTTGATTGAACCCCAGGCATATCCCCATTTATTCAAGTATCCCCCATGATACCACTATGGTTGTTCCTTCAAAATACTTAAAACTTAAATCGCCATTCTTGTTGGTTAAATCATATTAAATCATCAACCATGAGGGCACATTGTAATCCCATTATGTAATCCCGACTAAATACCTTTGTTGCTGGTTAAACGTTCCCTATTGTCACTATTTTTGTTGCTTATCCACATATTAAAGCCTATTAAACCTCCCATTGTCCATTTATAGTTCACTCTTGGGTTTGTCTCCGATAATTCTCCACTTCTTGGTTAATTCCCTAGCATCTTCCAAAATATCGGGTTGCGAACTGGTTCTACTGGTTTGTATGGCTTGTAGCTATTCTAATCATGGATTGTTGGATGATCCCTTTTCACTGGCTTAGTAGAACCCAAATATTCACAATAACCAACAGGTTTTTGACACTGCTCAGCTATAGAAGGCTTGGTAAATTAAATGTCAGGTTTTCGGGATTTTTGAACATCACTTTCAAATATCTGTTCGACCCCGATAGCTGAGTGATGTTCAATATTTCAATTGGGACATTTACCAACCCCCTTTCCCAAATCTCCTAGATCCTAAACAAACCTCCATATTGTCATTAATTCATCATGATTAATCCCTACTGAACCAGCATTTTATAAAACCTTCATGTTTTTTGCCTAATCCCCTCTAAGCCATTATCAAACACCATTAAACCTCCATTTTCAATTGGCTTGATCATGGTTGCCTTCTGGTAAATTAACATAACTATGGAAAATCACCATTTTTGGGTAAGTCAAATATTTCCATGGCCATTTTCACTAGCAAACTGTTCGTTTACCAGAAGGTATATTCTATACTCCCATTAAAATATCCCAAATCCCTGAAAAACGCCATTCATCCCTATAACCGCTTTTTGACTGTTTATAAACCTCCAATTTGGTCCTATTTGGTTAATCCCTCATAGAATGCCCACCTCCTGGCCCCATGCCGCGTGCCCCGGCGGCGCCTTTTCCCCGGTGGCCACCAGCTCTTGCCCAGCCCCCTCTGCCACGGCGATGACCATGGAGCCCTTCTGCGCCAGCGTCTGGTCCACGTGCGCCAAGACGTCCTGCAACGTTGGGAAGAACGGTAACGGAACGAAAATGGCCGTGGATGAAGCAAAAACATCGGAAAAACCTAGGAGGAGAAATTACTAAAAATATCTAAAAATGACGTTTTGTCGAAGAGAAATGGTGAAACACCGGAATGTAAAGGATTTAAGATGATCTATCATTATTCTTCTACCGCAATGAGTCTGAAGCAACAGAGGCTCAGCATGGTTCAGCGACAGAAATGTTGATGTGGCCAGCATGCAGGGGTAATTTTGACATATGTCTTGCTATCATATTCAACCTTGCAGCAGGTCGGGCAGAGGGGGTGCAGACCTCAAAGCATTCAGCCAGCGCACGCCCTCACCTCATGATCGCGGTCAACAAGTTATGACCAGTCCCGCCGCCGCAAGGCCGTTCTGTGGGAGCACACAGAGCTTGGAAGAAGGCCTTGTCAACTGTTCCCTCTTGGAGCCTAGTTTTCGTCAATTGTTGAAAGAACTGCGAGTGCTCTGCCATGCAGATCACATTTGATAGATGCCGGTAAAACAATCTTAATTGTCATCTGATTGGTGGTGCAATAACCATCTTGAAAAAGATGAAAGTCAATGGGAAGGATTATCCCATATAATATATCATGAAAAAATAAAAATGTTCCAAACCACCAACCAGTCATGGTGACATTTGTGCACTGCAGTAAATACCGTAGACGTAGACGCTAATGGATTGGTCGTCCGGGTGGAAGATAAATCCTCTGGCGCAGCCTTGCAAGATGGTTCCCAACTCGCTGATGTCGGCTTTCAAGGCGCCGCAGACGAGCACCCGCTCTGTGCTCGGTACCTTGACATTGCCACACTCTCCGACGCACGTGGGTTTAACGACGTCGACCTCAGGCCAGCTTTTCTCAATGTTGATGCTAACTTCCGAGCCGGCCATGCCTCGTGCGCTGACTATGTCGCTGGCGCGGAAGAAAGTGCGGCCGTCGATGGTCCAAGCCATGATGGTCCACTGCCATGTACACAAGACCATTCGCCAAGCGGTTTCGGTGTTTTTGGCAACGGCAGATTGATGGGCCATGGCGGCCGGAGCTAATTAGTTGTGGGTAGCCACGGCCCATCATCCATTTACTAAGTTATTGAGATATAGCCATTGATTGGAGATATTGTAGTTATTATTGGGATGGCCATTGACTGTAATTCTTACTCGGGTAATTATAGTTACTAGTATCTAGTTCACTGGCTTATAACCCATTTAAAAAAACTGGTTCACTAAGTCCATGGCCCATGAAAAGACACTTCCCGCATCCTTCATCTCGACCTTCACCTCTGGGATCATACAGAGATCCACCACATCTGCCGCAGTTGCACCATGCATTGCCACGAAACCCGAATCGCGGCCCATGAGTTTCACGATGCCGACCCCTGCGGTGGAAGCTGGTTGGTACCCGGTAAGGTCAACGTTTACAGTTTGCGAACTGGAAAAAGGCCATAGAAATGGTTAATTTACGCATTAAAACATATTGTGATTGTCCATAGTTATGTTAGTTTACCAGAGATGAAAGCTCTCTGGCAAATAAACAGTTTGCTATGGAAAACAACAATTTTTCACAGGGAAATGATGTAAGTATTTTTGTCATATGTTCATTCAATGTTCCACTGCTATGTTAAATGACCGGCGGGCAACTCGTATAACACCCCGTTTCTATGGCTGAAACAAGCATCATAAACCTCTAAATGCCACCCACCCAGCCCCAACTTTGATGGTTAAATCATGTTAAATCCTCTTATTTGTACAGGATGGGGCCCCCAAGATAGCTAAGTTGGCTTATAACATTTTATAATTTCAATAACTATGGTTTACAGTGATATACCAGTATCTATAGTTCATGGGCTTATAACCTATTTATAAGTGGGAGGGGCACCACCTTGTACTTGTATCTTTATTGACTGTCAAAGCTTAGAACATCCCGACGTAGATTCAATGGGATACACAGGAATGTATCTGAATGTGGCATCCAATTAAAGACAATTTAATGATGACATTAATTACAAGTCATCTTCTGTTCATCCGTTGTGAACACAGTAAATCTTATAACATATTTTATCACATCCGAGTTATCTTTTCACAAGCCAGTTTTCATCCGTCCATCCCCTTCAGATCTAAACAAGTCCTCAAAACCCGAATTCCAGTCCAGTTGCTTAAATTACAGTTATCCATACAGTTAAGGTCATTCATTAGTTATAACTCTTGTTATAAATGGTATTATACATTCTATAAATGGAGTTATAAGTACTTATAACTGGTAAAGGGCCATAACTGTAACTATCCATAGTTCCATCATGCTAGTTGCTTCGTTACAAAGTTTATTCTCCTCAACTCACTTCTCCCGTGTCATCAAACGTGGCTTGGAAAATCCAGCCATACTTTCCATACTTCGATGACCTTCCAAGAACTGGATGAATATTCAGAAAATAGTCATATCCACCATCCCCATCCCCAACTCATCCCTCCAAATATGAAAATATCCCCACATCCCCTCTGGTAATTTGTTACAGTTTGCATGAAAATGGCCATAGAAATAGTTGATTTACCCAGCTAGAAAATGGGTGGATTTTCCATAGTTATGTAAGTTCCTTTACCAGAGGGTATAGATTCTCCCATTACATGTCCATTCTATATCCATAAATCCCATGATATGTCCATTATATCCCATTAGATATCTAGATATCCCAATAAACCACTTTATATTGGTAAAACTTAGACCATCCCTGCAGGATGGGGCCCCCAAGATAGCGTTCAGTTGGTTTATAAGTGGCTGAATTCAATGGTTTATGGTAGATATAACGAACTAGTTCATGGGGATTGGCTCATGGTTTATAAACCAACGTTCACATCACTGGGGGGGCCCTATCCTGTGCCCTAACCCTATAACTTAACCATCCCATTAGATATCCCAATAGATATCCCAACAAACCACTTGATATTGGTAAAACTTGGACCATCCCTGCCCTAACCCTATAACTTACCCTCTGGTAAACTAACATAGCTATGGAAAATCACATTGTTTTATGGGAACATTCACTATAAATGGCCATTTTCAATAGCTATGTTAAATTACCAGAGGGTAACCATCCCTCCAAAATCTTCATGGCTCCCATCACCCACACAGCGAAACGCGACATGGCCAGGCCGGCCTCGCTCGCAGCTGGAGGCCTCCACCCAGGCGTTGCGGATCACCTCCGAGGCTTTGGCTACGGCCGTGTCGAAGCCGAAGGTCCGGTCGAAGAGCACCACGTCCTAACCGGCGTCGGGCAGAGCGGGGACGTCACCGGGGGATGGGAGACATGGGAAAAATGGGATGAAAATGAGATGAACATGAAGATGGGAGGATGATTTAAAATATACTTTAGATATATATATATATATATATTGTAGGAAAAAATTGGTGATTTATTGGACATATATGGGAAATATGGTGGTTATGGATGATTTACCGACTGGTAAACGTTTACAGTTTGCTATTGAAGCCATGGCCTCAGTCGAAATAGTGGATCTACCCAGCTAGAAAATGTGTGGATTTTCCATAGTTATGTGAAAGTTTACCTGAGGGTAGATATATTTAGATGGAACTATATATCTGTAAATGGGATTGTTTCAGTGGAATTTCCGGTGGGAATTCATGAATGAATGGGATTGATCATGTGGTTTTTGGGGATTGGTGGGATTTAAGAGCAGAGGAATGAACATTTACAATCGCCAGAAAAATAACGATTGGATTGGTTTAAGACAAATATAGATATATATAATAATAATATATATATATATATTATAAAATATATTATAATATATATATATAATAATATATATATATATATTATAATATATATTATATATATATATTATAATATATATATATAATATTAGGATGTACATACATATATATATATAATATTATTAAAATTATTATAATTATTATGATATATATATATATAGGGGTGAGTTGGTTTACTTACCACTAAATATAGGTGTGTTTTTCCACTAAGCGGCTGTTTAAGTACTTTTTTTCGGCGGGTGGTGGAACTGGAGATAATCCAACTGATGGTGGTCAGTGCTAGCTGCATTCCACGGATATAGCTTGGAGCTGCATTCCATGGGCAAAAACATGAGGAAAATCATGGAAAATCATGGAACATGTGGGTAAAACAATGCCATAAACCTTTGCCAATCTTAGATACACTGCAAAAAATGAATCAACATGACAAATTCTTAGCTGGTTAGTAGATAATCCCATTGATACCAGCCAAGACTAGTCAGGATTAGTTTCTACCCATCCAAGATTGCCTAGGATCATCATTAATCATGACTATCAATCATTATTAACCACTACTAGCCACTATTAACCACCAATAACCAATGTTGCAATTGATATCTTCTTTTAGCAATAACCCGGTGCAACTGGTGCAACTGGTGCAACTGGCAGTGAGTTTTTTCCAACAAAATCTCCAAGTTACATGGTTGAAGCCTTGATTCAATTCAACCAATCATAGTACTGGTTGGTGGTTGAGCCCTACCCCTCTCAAAAATATGAGTTCGTCAATTGGGATCATTATTCCCAATATATGGAAAATAAAATAAATGTTCCAAACCACCAACCATAATATATATATATATAATTATATACATATAATCATAGGGTGAGGTTCACTCAAAATCCTGCGGCCAAAGATTCGTTGTCAATGGACTTGGGAATGCCCACGATGCTCACAGGCAGTTGTCGTTTGCGTGCTGCCTCATAGAGTAGGTTTCCTGCAAACTGCGTACCATCACCGCCCACCAGGAAGAGCATGTTGATACCTGTCTGGGGCGGAGTTTTTGACGTGGGGAAAGGATTACTACCCATAGCCCAATGGTGAAATCATGTTAAGTCACTTCAGTTCTGGTTACGTCCCTAGTTTGGCGAAGTCCCCGTGATGAAAAAAATGGTGTCCATATCATCCCGGGTTCCCTACATGTAGAATATCATGCAGATATTTATATTGAAAATTGCCATTTATAGTGGATTTACCCATTGAAAATTGCGATTTTCCATAGTCATGTTAGTTTACCAGAGGGTAACCAGCATTTTCCCTGCCGCATCAAAGCCACAAGTTGAGGTGCCCCAAAATGTAAGTTAAATACCCATATCATCTCATATCTCGCATATGGTTTTGCAAAATTTGGTACCCCAAAAATCTCAAATGGATCATCTCCCCAAATTATTTGATGGGAATTTCTAGCCCCAGAATCCATGAGGACAGCCGGACTCTTCTGTCCCAGTGACCCAGGCGAGACAAGTTATCGCAGATCTTCTCCGCATCAAAGCCGCCCCTGCAGGGAATGGGTCCAAATTGAAGGCCCACTGGGTCAAAAAAAACAAGGGGCCATGAAGTAGGGTAAGTAGGGTTAGTCCACTCATAACTGGGGTTATTATAACTATAACCCGCTTACGATTCGTGGGGTGAGCCACCAAGGAGTATTAACCATCCAATTTGTGTATGGAATTTTGACCTATGACCTATACCCTGAAACTACAGGGATCGGATCTGGAAAGAAGAAATGGCGAGCATTTTCACGCAAACACCATGTTCAAATTTCCAGAAATCTGAACATGTGGCAAAAACCACTCTAAGATGGTTGTTGTGATAGGGAACATGATGCGAAATGATGATGAACCATTGCTGCCATTGTTTTGACGGCTTTTCCCATGGTTTTCCCATGGTTTTTAGACACCCCGTGGGATTTCCATCATGTCAGTGGCTGAAAAACTATGGTTTTTGGTAGATATAACGAACTAGTTAATGGGCTTTATAATAGTTTATAAGCCAACAAACATCACTATTTTTATGGTAGATACAACTATAGTTAATGGGGATTATTTCATGGTTTGTAAACCAACGTTCACATCACTGGGGGGGCCCATCCCGCATGATTAGGTAAGTTCGGGCCAACCTAATCACCCCCGATACAGATAGATCTGACTGATTTCTCGTAAAATATAACGGGCAACGCACCTAATGACTAACGCTTTGCGCTATCACCATCTTATAGCTACTTATAGCTATATAGGTAAATCATCATTTTTGGCCAACTAAATGGGCAATTTTCCATAGCTTTGTTAACTCCCCAGGGATTCAAACCTCAAACATGTTTGCGGGATTCTGATGTCCCTGTCTGCTGCATGGTGCCGGCCTAGCTGCTTTGATGATGCTGCCACCCTTCATATGAATATCACCTGGACATAAGATTGGAAGATTTATGCTGGCTTCAGTGAAGGGAGAAGTGACAGCCTGATCTCTAATTTGTTGGACCTCCAACCAACAAGCATCAAGGTCAGGCACAATCATCACCCAGCTATGTTTCTTGCTTTATAAACCCTTCAACAAGACTTAGCGAATTCGAAAGTTTACAGGGCCTCACCAAAAGTAGCTGTCACACCACCAACCAAATATAATCAAATATATTTATAAGTTAACTGATTGATATCCCAAGAGCGATTTCATATCCGCCTGTTCAGAAGCCGGAATGCCAGAAATTGCGGGATAAATCAAACTTCGAGATGTAATCACTTGGGATGATTCTTGGGTTAGTTCTGGGATATAGGAGAATATACCCTCCAGTAAATTAACAGTTCGACCCTGGCAGTCATCGGGGTTGGAAGATTAGTTTCCATGAAAAATTGGTGATTTTCAGGGTCCAAAAATTGATTTACCAGAGGGTACCATAATATGCCACTATTTCGGATGTTGATATCCCGTAGGTCTTGATCTCCTGAAACCTGACTTGGGGGGGATCAACCTCAAAAACTCCGACACCAGAATGATATGGGCGCTTACCGGAACAAAAGGAATTCATAACTGGTTAATATATGGTTAATATATGGTTATTGTATGGTTAATGATGGTTAATAATCATCTGGTTGGTGGTGCAATGTGCCCATCTTGAAAATGATGGACTTCGTCAATGGGTTTCGGATGACATCCCATATATGAAATGGAAAATAAAAAAATGTGTGAAACCACCCATATGGATTGATGGTTAAAAGGCACCCATAGGAATGGTGATTTTGGGGTTTGCTATTGTTTTAACCACGTCATACCAGCTAAATCATTACATAAATCCTTCTACACTTCATCACTTGTCATTGGGCCTACACATATCTGGGTAAATTATAATATTTCACTAACCTGAATAGTTCGGCCATTTGGGGATGATTTCCCTTACTAACCATCAATCCCAGTGGGGGAGGACAGTGAGGTCATGATGAAATTTACCCAGATCTTCTGCTTAATCACATTTTAATATACCACATGAAATCCCACAGTTCTCTATGTATCATTTGAATTTTCATGGACTCATCTTGGCAGCTCCCAGATACCCTCTGGTAAATTAACTTGTTGACCCTGAAAATAGCCTAGTTTGAATGGAAACTGATCTTCCAACCCCGATGACTGCCAGGGTCGAACTGTAAATTTACCAGAGGGTAAATCCCATTAAATCCCATTCAATCACCATCGAATTCCATTAAAGTCTCACTAAATCCCATTAAATCCCATTAAATCCCATTAAACCACCATTTTTGTTGGATAAGTTACCAGTACCATTTTCCTATCAACTGTCGCGATTTCATCCCGGCTCCAGGGTATCTCCCCAGCCGGCTTCGGACAAGTGGCGCACCATCTTCTCCGTGAGCTCGATCGGTGGGTGGCTCACTGGATCGCTCAGGCCGTTGTAGCCCGCAGTGATGCCCAAAATATGTCGAACGCCATAGTCCTGGGAGCCATGCGAACGGGAGGTTGAATGAAATCACGTGAAATCTCATGTATGTATATATATATAGTTATGTAGTACAATATATATATATATATACATATATATAATATACATATATATATATATAAATATGTATATACGGATATATGTATATAAATATATACATGTAGTACAATATATATATATATAGATATATATATATATATGTGTATGTATATATATATATCATACGGTTTATAATTTAGCGATCATAAATCCCATTCAATCGCCGTTTTTGTTGCTTAGATCACCATTGTCCTATGCTTTTCTAGGGGGCACCACTTTGTAGGTACTATCAAAAATTCATTACCCAAAACATTGAGGGACACACGGGGAATGATTGATCCTTACAAGGACACAGGTCGGAGCTAGAAGGGCGGAGCTATGAGTCAAAACCGACCCTAATTAGGTACCTTTAGAAAAAATAGCCGGTTTTCATGGAGATTGATTCCTCCCAATATGGTAATCTGGTTGGTGGTACCTACCCCTCTGAAAAATATGAAAGTCAGTGGGGATTATTATTCCCAATATATGGAAAAAAATGTTCCAAACCACCAAACAGTAATTTCATAGGTTCTGACCCATCACCATTTCTATCGCTGGTTGGCGAGTGATTTTCCATTTCTCAACAGTGAAGGATTCAACTAGCCATCCAGTCACTTGGGGATGTTTTTTTTTCATAATCACCAACAAGATGCTGAAAAGTGGGGATTACTATATAGACAATGGGGATTACCCTCTGGTAAACGTTTACAGTTTGCTATTGAAAATGGCCCAGTCGAAATAGTTGATTTACACATTGAACATGTTGATTTTCCATAGCTTTTTGTATGTTTACCAGAGTGTAGATAATGGGGGTTACTATCTTTTCGGGGATGACTTTTTTGTAGATATCTCTACCGTTTTTCACATCAACCCATAGCATGTCGACTTCGAAACCAACCGGGCCAGCTCATGCTTTGAATATCACTCCGTAGTTCATGCTGGTGTGCGGGAAAACCTACCAGCTGGGACTGGTTTCTACAAACCATTTATTGTGCAACAATTGGGGATGAATGGGGTATACCACATGTTTCATTAGCATCTCAAAATCTTCATGTTCCTGTACGGAAAATATGAGATATGTTGCCACAGTTTAGCATAGCTCGTGATATTTTCATACTGTGGATGCAAGAAATCCTGCACCAGTTGATAGGTGGTTGGTTTGTCCCATTATTTATAGGGTTTCAACCATCCTTTCGGTGGTGCAGGATTTCTTCCATCCACCGTATGTTCCATAGCCAAACACATTCTGTGAAAGCATTTACTTTTCATTGCCAAATATCCCCTCCCTCATTTCACTTGGCAAGACACTGACTGACATTGTAGTTATAGTTAATAGCAATGTATAGTAGATAACTACAGAAATAGGATAATTGAATAGTTCTGGATATGGATAAAGGAATAGTTATAAAATAGTATATGGATATATCATACCATCTGGTTATGACTAACAGTTCGCCATGGTATAGATGGCCCATAGAAATAGATGGTTTACCGAACTTAAAAATGGTGAATTTCCATGGCGAACTGTGAATGTCATGTCATAACCGTATCGGGTATCTCATTTCCAAAAACATGACCAAGTATTCTGACAATAAGTTAACCTCAATCGTTAAATCCCATAAATTGTGGTATTATCATCTATTTCAGGCCAATGTTGATGATTCATTCTGCAGTTAAAATTACTTCACTTCGAATAATCCCCACCATGGCATATATAGCTACATACTCCACAGCTCTGGAAAGAAATATCTAAATACGCAACCTGGCCGAAGGACACCAAAGAGCAGCATCATTTTTCCACCATGTTCTTGCATACCCTCAGTCATCATGCGGTTGGCATAAGAAGTGATATAAATACTTTACATATATTTTGTCTGACACATCTACAGATACATCTTTCTGACATTCTTTCCGACATTCTATCTGGCACATCTTCTCTCGACCTCCCCATCTATCTCGCATATCTAGCATATCTTCTGACATTCTATCTGGCATATCTTCTGACATTCTATCTGGCATATCTTCTGACATTCTATCTGGCATTCTATCTGGCATATCTTCTGACATTCTTTCTGGCACTCTATCTGGCATATATTCTGATATTATTTCTGGCATATCTTGTGGCATTCAGAACATTCTTTATGACATTCTTTCTGGCATATCTTCTGACATTCTTTCTTACATTCTATCTGGCATATCTTCTGACATTTTTTCTGGCATTCTATCTGGCATATCTTCTGACATTCTATCTGACATATCTTCTGACATTCTATCTGGCATATCTTCTGACATTCTGTCTTGGCATATCTTCTGACATTCATTCTGGCATTCTATCTGGCATATCTTCTGACATTCTATCTGACATCTTTTCTCACATTCTTCCCGTTGAGGTTCTGCAGTGCCCACTGCGATCTGGAAGTCCCGGTTGAGGGCCGGCAGTGCCCACTGCGATCTGGAAGTCGCGGTTGAGGTCCGGCAGTGCCCACTGCGACCTGGAAGTAGCGGTTGAGGTCCGGCAGTGCCCACTGGGATCTGGAGCTCGCGGTGGAGGTCCGGCTGTGCCAACTGGGATCTGGAGCTCACGGTGGAGGTCCGGCTGTGCCCACTGGGATCTGGACTGCGAGGAGGAGGCGGCGGGTGAGGAGGCGGAGGCGGAGGAGAACAGCTCTGATAAAATCTAACAACCCTCACCTGGCAGGTGGGGAAAAATCAACGTGTGTCTTGTAACAGATTTTCAATAACCATTGTTGTTGCTAAAATGTCCTATATGTTATATGTCCTCATTGAAAATCAGATTTTTCCAGGTTTAGTCCCCAATTTTATCTCGAAATCTCAACTTCTCAGGGGGGAATCCCAAGTTTTTCCTTCCATTTCCCCTCGCGTTTTCCTGCTTCAAATCTCCATGTTCAGTTTTCCCGTTTCAAATCACCATTCTCATCCTTCACGGAAAATCGGAAAAAAAGTTTTCCATAGAGTTTTCCCATCCGCAGACCTCCGGAAACCCAAGTTTTCCATAGGGTTCCCACAGTTCCCACTTCAACTTCCCCATCTCTTCACCTTACCCTCTGGTAATTTGACAGTTTGCTATCGAAAATTGCAATTTTCTAGCTGGGAAAATCAACTATTTCTATGGTCCATTTTCTATGTCGCAAACTGTTAGTCATTACCAGAGGGTATCGGCAGCAAGGCACGTTCCAAAGGCATTTCGTGACCCCGCGGATGATGGAGTTCAACCCCGGACAGAGACCACCACAGGTGACGATCGCAGCCTTGACCTGAGACTCAAGATGAATGGATCTTGGAAAATCCCAATATTGGAACCATTGATTAGATGATATCTAATGTTACTAGGATATTTAATGGATATTTAGGATATCCCAATATCAATGGATATTTACTAGGATATCAGAATCTAATGTATGTAAAACCCCCATGGGAATCCAATTCATCGGGGATAGTCCATATATAGCTAATATTGGGGATCATCATTCATTGGAAAATCCCAGCATATATATAGCTAATAGGATATCTAATGGATGGTCCCCAATATTAGCTATATATGCTATATGTAGTTGTGTGTATATATATATATATAGTAGCTATATATGTAGTATCTAATTCCAACGTCTAGTAGCTATGTGTAGGAATGTATATATGCAATAATTATTATAGTAATATTAATATAGCTACAGTATATAGTAATACATTAGAGTAATAATTTATAGTAATGGTAACAACTACTGTGGATGGTTGCGAAATCCTGCGCCTATCGACTGTCAACTGGTGCAGGATTTCTTCCATCCACAGTATTAATAGGATATCTAATGGATTATGTTCCACAATATTTAAGACTTTAAGATGAATGGATTAAGATGAATGGCACATATTAATCCCACAATATGATTAAGATTTTGGGATACACCATTGGGTATGGAAAATATATTGTGTTAATATTAATTGAGTATCACTATAATGATATATGAATATTGATAATGATATATCAATTATATTGACAGAAATCATATTTCCATTTTATATTTTCCATTTTTCCATTAATATTGTTTTGTTAATATTCATCCAATGGATCTTTTCAAATTTCCATACATATGTTCCATTCATTGATACACCGAACCTATTAGTGGAAAATATGAACGAAAAATATGAATGGAATGCAAGATATACTGAACATTGGATGATTTCTGTCAATATAATGGATATATCATTATCAATATTCATATATCATTATAGTGATACTCAATTAATATTAACACAATATATTTTCCATATTCAATGGTGTATCCCAAAATCTTAATGTATTAATGGAATATGTTTTCATGAAATAGATTTTCATGGATTTTTTTTTCATGGACTCAGTCATGGATTCGTTCATCAAAATTCCACGATCATTCGGTGCTCCGCACCTTGCTGGGGTCCCAGTAGATGTGTTTGGCCGCGTTCGCTCTGAGGCAACCGGACCTGAACAATTCGGGACGAGCTGCACTGCAACCATGGGAGGTGCCATGATTTTCGAGTGGTGGATTTTCTGGTGGATATTTAAAACATAGTAAATATAGGTATATCTACTATAAACCCAAGTTTTTGGAGTTGTGTTCTCCAACTTTGCCATGATTTTCGTGGTGTATTTTCTGATATTAACCAGTTTTATATCTAAGTTCGATATATCTACTATACACACAGAAATTGGAGTTATAAACCATAGTAACGACTATATTGATATATCATATAATGTCAACCCCGGATTAATAAACCATGGTTTATTAATTAGGGGGTACCCTCTAAATAGTCACAACATGCTACATAAATGGTACCCTTCCAATTAAACAGACTAGGGGTTTATTAATCCAGGGTTGACATTATCTACCATAAACCGGGGTGAAATTGGAGTTTTGTGGCCCCCACCTTTTTGCTAACGAACTATGGGACACCACGACAACCATTTTTTTTCAATCGCACACCAGGGAAACCAGAAAAAATGCGAGAACATCGTGGCAATTTACGAAGATTCTGGCTGCCAATTCATGTCCATCATCCATATATATATATATAAATGTATGTACATATATTTTTACACAATTATATACTTATACTTATATACATGGCTATGAGTCAAAACCTGGGAACCTGGATGATACCCTAGAATCGCTGCTTAATGGATGTGTATTCCCACAAAGGTGGTAATAATATGTAAGAATAGGTTTTGACCCATACCCATATATATATATATATATATATAGATGTAGTTACTGATGCGGATGCCACCAAGCAGAGTGGATTGTGGAGAGGCAAACTGGGAAGTCCTGGCACAGTCCCCAGTCAACCTGCATGGATCCCGGAATGAGTATTGCCCAACACCCAAAAATATGGGTGTTTCCTGAAATAAGGGTATGGTGTTTTTTTCAATCAGGAGGAGGAAAAACATACACACTAACTGACAAAATGGTCCAGCTATCATGACTTGGATATATATATATATATATGTCCAGCTATCATCCATTTCAATAGGATTGTCCATTATAAACCATCCATTGTTGAGTACCTTTATTTTAGAAAACCCCCATATATATATATACATGGATGTAAAGCCTGAAATAGGGGTACCCCCAGTTCTCATCCATTGGGATGAATGAAATTTTCCGAAATAAACCATCCAGCGAGCTTTGGGTATCCCATGGCTATGGAAACCCCCCATATCTTCTTAAATCACAACCATTCTTTGGCTGAAATCCTCGTTTTAGCAGGTGGAATCATAATGATTCTTGGTTAAACCAGGTGAAAAATTGTCATTGGCTAAATCAGCTCCAATCAATGGCCATGATCAGGAACCTAAATTGGAGGTACCTACCATATATAAGGCCTATGTAAGGGCTATGTAAGGGAATATCCCAGCAAAATATGGCCTTATATGGTACAGTACCTCCATTTTAGGATCCTGAAATTCCCATTGAATACATCACTAGATCACTAAATCACTATGGTTAGTTGAATTTGCGAACTAATCATTTTACTAATGATTTAGTGAACTACTGATTTAATCACTATGTTCATTTTATTAGAAAAATCACTAATTAATTCACTAAATCACTGTTTCATGGGTTAAATCATGGTTCTTCGTAAATTCAGCATGTTCTGAAACTCATTTTTCCCCCCTTGTAGTTATTCCCCACCTGCCAGGTGAGGGTTGTTAGATTTTATCAGAGCGCTCTTCCTCCGCGTCCTCGTCCTCCTCCTCGTCGTCCTCCTCCTCCTCCTCCTCGACTAGCTGTCCTCTTCCTCCTCGTCCTCCTCCTCGCCTCCTCCTTCAGTTTCCCCTCTACCATGTCTGCCTCAACTTCCACCTGCACTTCCGCCTTGCCAACTCTTCACCAAGCTCTTTGCCAACTCTCTTCGCCGACTCTCTGCGCCAAGCTCTTTGCCACCTTCCCAGCTCAGTGTGCACCGCTGGACCTCAACCTGGGAGCTGCCCAGCTCAGTGTGCACCGCTGGACCTCAACCTGGGAGCTGCCCAGCTCAGTGTGCACCGCCGGACCCCAACCGGGGACCTGCCCAGCTCAGTGTGCACCGCTGGACCTCAACCGGGGACCTGCCCAGCTCAGTGTGCACCGCTGGACCTCAACCGGGGACCTGCCCAGCTCAGTGTGCACCGCTGGACCTCAACCTGGGACCTGCCCAGCTCAGTGTGCACCGCTGGACCTCAACGGCCAGATAGAATGCCAGAAGATATGCCAGATGGAATGTCACATAGAATGCCAGAAGATATGCCAGAAGATATGCCAGATAGAATGTCAGATAGAATGCCAGATAGAATGCCAGAAGGTATGCCAGATAGAATGCCAGAAGATATGCCAGATAAAGTGTCAGAATGTTTGCCAGGTAGAATGCCAGAAGATATGCCAGATAGAATGTCAGAAGGTATGCCAGATAAAGTGCCAGAATGTTTGCCAGATAGAATGCCAGAAGATTTGCCAGATAGAATGCCAGAAGGTATGCCAGATAGAATGCCAGATAAAATGTCAGATAGAATGCCAGAAGATTTGCCAGTAACAAAATGTATAAATGTCATGGTGGGGATCACACGAAGTAAAGTAATTTATTTTTTTTAGTTTTCCCGGAGCAGCCCTGTTTCTATTGTGTCTATTGGTTAAAGCAGGTTAAACCACCATTTTCATTGGCTAAATCACTAGGTTTGTCAATGTTTGCTGGTAAATTCACCCATTCGCATCTAACCAACATCCTCTCTTCGCAATGAAGTATGAAACTTCGTAATTACCAATCCTTTTTCGTCATTAGACAGTACCTGGTTGGTGGTATACCTACCCCTCTGAAAAATATGAGTCAGTTGGGCTTATTCTTCTCAATGTATGGGAAAACAATCCAAATGTTCCAGTCACCACCAACCAGATCACCATCATATTCCCATTGTTGTTGGTTTATAGCCTATAAAAACCACTATTAATCATCACTATTAACCATCACTATGAACCAGGTACGCTAGCCATCGGTTTAAAATCACCCATCAAAATCGCTTGGCAAAGTGGCGCCAAGACCTCGCTACTCCGAGAGCAGCCGGAAGAACGCGAGTGGTTTTGGATGATGTTCCCCATGACCTGACGTTGTGCACCCAAGGATCATTGTTACAATGTGAGGCCCCCAGTCGATAGCTAAGTTGGTGCACATAACTCCAATTTCACTATGGTTTATGGTATTTATAACGAACTAGTTACTGGGGCTTAGAAACCAACTTATATCTTGGGGGCCTCACATTGTATTAATGGTTAATGAATTCTATGGTTAATAATGTGTGATAATGGTTAATAATGGCTAATGATGATTAATCATGGATAATAATGGTTGATAAAGGTTAATAATGGATACAACTGGTGTTTCGGGGAAGTCTAGTTGCTAAACAAAACCATGGAAAGTATGGGAAGATGATCTAAATTACTTTACTTCGAGTTATCCCCACCATGACATCTATACGTTTTGTTACTGGCAAATCTTCTGGCATTCTATCTGACATATCTTCTGCCATTTTATGTGGCATATCTTCTGGCATTCTATCTGGCATATCTTCTGGCATTCTACCTGGCATAACTTCTGCAATATGTTCTGGCATATCTTCTGGCACTATCGGGCATATCTTCTGGCATATCTTCTAGCATTCTATCTGACAAATCTTCTGGCATATGTTCTGGCAAACATTCTGGCACTTTATCTGGCATACCTTCTGGCATTCTATCTGACATTCTATCTGGCATACCTTCTGGCATTCTATCTGGCATATCTTCTGGCATATCTTCTGGCATTCTATCTGGCATATCTTCTGGCATTCTACCTGGCATATCTTCTGGCATATGTTCGGGCATATCTTCTGGCATTCTATCTGGCGTATCTTCTGGCATTCTACCTGGCATATCTTCTGGCATATGTTCTGGCATATCTTCTGGCACTCTATCTGGCATATCTTCTGGCATACCTTCTGACATTCTATCTGGCATTCTATCTGGCAAATCTTCTGGCGTTCTATTGGCAAACATTCTGGCACTTTTTCTGGCATACCTTCTGGCATTCTATCTGGCATTCTATCTGGCAAATCTTCTGGCATTCTATCTGGCATATCTTCTGGAATTCTATCTGACATATCTTCTGGCATTCGATCCGGCATTCTATCTGGCATATCTTCTGGCATATATTCTTGCATATCTTCTGGCATATCTTCTGGCATTCTATCTGGCATATCTTCTGGCAGATGTTCTGGCATATCTTCTGGCATATCTTCTGACATTCTATCTGACATATCTTCTGACATTCTTTCTGGCATATCTTCTGACATTCTGTCTGGCATATCTTCTGACATTCTTTCTGACATTCTTTCTGGCATTCTATCTGGCAAATCTTCTGACATTCTATCTGACATCTTTTCTGACATTCTTCCCGTTGAGGCCCGGCAGTGCCCACTGCGATCTGGAAGTCGCGGTTGAGGTCCGGCAGTGCCCACTGCGATCTGGAAGTCGCGGTTGAGGTCCGGCAGTGCCCACTGCGACCTGGAAGTCGCGGTTGAGGTCCGGCAGTGCCCACTGCGATCTGCAACTCGCGGTTGAGGTTCGGCAGTGCCCACTGGGATCTGGAGCTCGCGGTGGAGGTCCGGCTGTGCCCACTGGGATCTGGACTGCGAGGAGGAGGCGGAGGAGGCAGAGGAGGCGGAGGAGGCGGAGGAGGAGGCGGAGGAGGCGGAGGAGGAGGAGGAGAACAGCTCTGATAAAATCTAACAACCCTCAGGCAGGTGGGGAAAAACGGTATAACATGGTAATTCTCCATATAACGAGAAGGTAGGGTAAATACCCCTCCCGATACGGGGGATGCAGTACCGCAACTGATGGCCATCAAATATTGGGGAAGTGACTGGGATACATATGGATTAATGTGGTTAAAAGAATAATAAACCATCCCCCAAATCACCATAAATAGGTGTTATAAACCATCAAATGGGGTGGTTTATTGTTGTTTTACCCTCATTAATGCGAAAATGAATTGTCCAATCCCATTGTTGACATTTCTCTTGCATATCTTGTGAGGATACATACACAATAATGTCACGAATGCATTCTATAATATACCCTAAAATACCCTAACATCAGTTACTGCACTTGGCTGAAGTGCAATAATTCACAAACCTGAAAATAGCTGTTTTCATATGTTCGGGGATGATTTCCCTTACATCATTCCAGTGACATCACAGTGAGGTCATTCGAATTCATAGGAATTCCAATTAAATTCAACGTTTAATTCCACAATGTCAAGTCATCAACATGAACAGATCCCATCCATATCAAATTCACATTCGATTTTTACAAGGTGGTACCCCCCCAGCTATAAGTTGGTTTATAATCCCCACTAATTATAGATATAACCCCAATAAACACCAGATATTGGACTTATAAACCAACTTAGCTAACGAACTGGGGCACCACCTTGTACCCTCCGGTAAACATACAAAAAGCTATTGAAAATGGCCATAGAAATAGTGGGTTTACCCATTAATAGCATGGTGGTTTTCCATAGTTATGTAAACGTTTACCAGAGGCTATAGATTTTCCCATGACATTTCCATTATATATCCCATGATATTTCCATTATATCCCATTAGATATCCCATGAAATCCCAATAAACCACTATTGATACATGATTTTGCCCAGTAGATGATTAGGAAAACCATGGAGAGATGCCAATACCACTGGCTGCCACAACGGCCACTAGCCGAAGCCAGAGGACCATCTCAAAGGAGTTCAGGAAGGTCATATCCTGCAGGGAATTTCTACACATGGGAATCTCCGCATATCGACCATTTTGTAGGCAGAAAACCAAGGAAAAATGATGTGGATTCACTATAACCTACAAAATCTATGGTTAATATATGGTTAATCTATGGTTAATCTATGGTTAATATGTGGTGAATCTATGGTCTATGGTTAATCATGACCAGGGTTGACATTAACTATATTAACCTACAAAATCGATGGTTAATTAACTATATATTAATCCCCAATAACTAGTTATATCTACCAGAAAACCATTATTGGGATTTAAAATGACTGGTTGGTGGTTCTAACGATCTTGAAGAATATGAAAGTCAAATGGGAAGGATGACATCCCATATATGAAATGGAAAATAAAATTCATGTTCCAAATCACCAGATGATGTCATTGTGCTCTTGGGATTCGAATGTGATTAGCTATGGCTTATTGATGTTTATGGTAGATATAACGAACTATACTGTATTTATTGGGGATTATTTCATGGTTGTGTTTAACCAACGTTCACATCACTGGTTTTCCCCATCCTGTGGGATTTCATTGGATTTTTTTGCTGATGGAAGGGGATTTGAATTGTTTAACCTCTGGTAAACGTTTACAGTTTGCGAACTGGAAAATGGATGAAAATTGCCCAGTCGAAATAGTGGATTTTCCCACGAAAAATGCATGGTGATTTTCCAGTTCGCTATGTAACAAATTACCAGAGGGTACCCTCTGGTGTCATCAAATATGGCTCGTCCGAAAATCCCTACATCTGATACATTGCTGGGAAAATCATCGATGCTTTTCTGGTTGGTGGTTTCAACCTACCCCTCTGAAAAATGATGGAGTTCGTCAGTTGGGATGATGATTCCCAATATCTGGAAAATCATAAAATTCCATGGTTCCAGTCACCACCAAGCAGTTTTTTTCAGCGCGCCATGTGTGATTACCACAGGGTACATTGTTTCACATAAGTTGAGCCGTTGCCGGAATGAGGATGACTCACCCAAATATATGCCGTGAGAGCTGAGTTTTTTCAGGATGATCGATCTGCGTCCTGAATTCCCGCGACTTGTCACGTCTACATCTGGTGGGTTTCCATAGTCATGGGGGTACTCCAGTAGCTGGAAGGTTTGTGGAGAATCCATCTATAAAATTCTATGGATTACCAACATCTCAAGACTGAGTTTTTAATCACTAGACCATCCCATATGCTCTGTATGGTATATTTACCTACTTGTGGGTGATTTTCTTCGGGCAAATGTTGATGGGCATCAAGAATACGCTTGAAATCCGATGTCATCATGTTGCATCCATGCTGGAAGTCGAGGTGGCTCAACTAAAGAGATCAAGAGCTTAACGTCAACGAGTTTTACCTGCAAAAATGATTTATCTAATCCCTTGCCTCTACTATTAAACACCACAAGAAACGAGGCACGGATTATATTGCCTATGTTTTTGCAAAGGATTATATACCTTTAAGAAACGAGGCAATTCTAAATCTAATCCTTCCCATATGCTCCATGTATGGAATATTTACCAACATTTGCCCTATAAATCACCCAAATGTAGGTAAATACACCATACATGGAGCATATGGGCTTTCCTATGGTTTTTGTAATTAAGGGATTTATACATAATGGAAGGACCATGGGATGAGGGTGTGACATCACCAATGTCATTGGTCAAAATTCAGTGAATCAACTCGTCAAGAAACCTCAACAACGGGGGGCAATAGTTCAAGAAATAACCTAAACAATATATGTCAACCACTTAATTTGTTGCTTCCATGGATTGGTTTAAGGGAAAATCTTAGCCGGAAACCATGGTTTCCCCGTCAAATATATATGAATGGTTTTCCTGCAGAATTTTCCCTTGGACCAATCCATTGGTGCAATTTTTTGGACTGTATCGTGTCACGATCCTCACCCAGTCAGCAAAACCCAGTCAGCCAACCATCATTTGTGGCAATTATGATGTTACGCAACATCAAGGGACACCCTTTCACACCATCGGTTTCCCGGAAATGAATGACCACTACATAGCCTATGCCTAGATTATTAGTTTGGGGTTCACCATGATCTAAGAAACTCCCATATCATCAAAATGTAACCCCTATTATATCCTCATCATGCTGCCATAGCTTCATCGGCTTATAAAACTAATTCTATGATCCCATGATCGATTTATATACCCTCTGGTTATGACTAACATAGCCATGGTATAGATGGCCCATAGAAATAGATGATTTTCCCAGCTAGAAACCTCCATTTATAAGAGATTTTCCATGGCTATGTTAAATAACCAGTTGGTAAGTTGTATCTCCCCATTGAAAAGCACCCCCTAAATTGAACATTCCAGGAGTCTCCAAGATATCTCCATACACGTCCATAAATATCTGGGTAGTTCGGCCATAATATTTCACTACCCTGAATAGTTCGGCCATAGAAGGGGATGATTCCCCGGATCCAATTCCCATGATTTCCAGGGCTCGGGAGGATGCTGGAAAATCCACCAGCAATACTTCGATGATTGTCCCATGAAAATCCAGCCATTTATACAGGTAACTGGCCCGAGTTATACCAGTTGTTTTTGTACTAACAGTCGTCACCCCATAGACATAGAATGTTTCTTATCCGATAGAAATAGAAACAACCAGTTATTTCACTAATAGCCATGGCCAAAACTGTATAATAGGATGTTTATGGATGTTGATAGTTATAACATGTTATAACAATCATGAATCACTGCTATTAACCACCATGAATCACCATTACAGAAATGTATTTTCCAGCCATGTTTCATTCCCCCAAGATCTCTTGACTTTTCGAGGCACAGGAAATTGCTCTGCCAAGGGATTCTTGGTCTTGTTCACCGCATCTTCGTCCACAGGACCTGTGTTTTCTGTAGGAATTTCACCCAGTATTTCATGGGGATTTCGGGATTTCAAAAAAATGCGGATGTTTGAAGGGCATTCAATGATGACTTAACGGGATAACTGATGGAACTAGATAAGTTATAGGAGGGCGTCTTTCATCCGACTTAGCTATCTTCGATAATTTCTTTGCTATGAGTTGGTGGAAACAACATCAGTGGGATTTATGGTAGAAGAGTCTATAGACAATGGAGTTAATAAATCAACTGATTGGTGGGTTCAACCGCAAAAGAAAAAGGTAAGTTGGGATCACTCTCCTGGGTGAATAGCTGTGAAAGCACCGACCAATGCCAGCTTTTCTGGGAGTCTTCAGAAATGACCCAACAAACACGGCGATGAAGTACCAAGGCATGTATTTTGTCATGGCGAACCTTAGATACTGTGCCAAAATAACTCGACTCGTAGTCCAGGAACATATCATATTATATCTGGTTGGTGGTTTGAACCCCTCTGACAAATATGAAAGTGAATGGGAAGGATGACATCCCATATATGAAATGGAAAATAGAAAATTCATGTTCCAAACCACCAACCAGATATCTCATTAACCATTATTAACCAGGATGAACCACCATTATCCACCATTAACCAAGCCATTTATGGCGAAATTCGCCAACTTCACATCCATCAGCCATGGCTTCACCCAGAACCAGCCAGCCGCGAGGCTCGCAAGTGTTAAGTGTTCGGAAAAGCGCTAAGCTGTCATCAAATATGGGGTTTACTAACGGGAAATAGATGGAACATATGGTGATTTATTGGAAATATATGGGAAATATGGTGATTTATGGATGTCTACCCTCTGGTAAACATACAAAAAGCTGTTGAACATGACCATAGAAATAGTTGATTTACCCGTTAATAGCATGGTGATTTTCCATAGCTATGTGAAAGTTTACCAGAGGGTCCCATAAAACGTCTTGAAGATATGCTGGTCATTAGGGATCATGATCCTAAAAAACTTAAACATGGTTCAAGGTGAGGCCCCAGTTACAAGTTGCTTTGTAACTCTATTAATTACACTTACTTGAACATATCCTATACTTATATATATATGGCTATGGGTCAAAATTAGGTACCCCAAAATTATGGATGGTTAATACTAAACTAGACATTTCCATCTGTGGTCCCATTAATGGTCTTCCATTTTGACCCACATCCATATATATATACACACTATATCATATCCTTCATAAACTGTTTTCCGCAAGTCGAAAAACTCAACTTGGCTATCTGACCTCACCTTGATCCAGCCAACCAGCCACCAGTGGAACCGATTTTATGCAGGATCCCAAGGTAGAAACCAACTTGTGGTGGCTCAACATAGTACAATGGCAATATCGCATAGTTAGCTTCCGGGGGTTATTGTGATTCCTATGTAAAATCAATGTGGCTTAGTAAAATCAATATGTTGAGGATTACATAGCAAAAGTGGCTCAAGTCCTTCAATCTTCTAAATCCATTTTTGGGAGGGGGTCCAAGTTTGCTTCCAGGGGTGGTTGTTAAATATGCACACAGCTGCACACAGGTTGGGATTTACATGGTGATGACGAAGATGCCCGACGTGCAAATCACGTAGGACACAGCAGAGATATCATACATATGAAAAACATATGGTATATTATGTTATGGTATAATTGTATAAAGGATGGTAGGTTACTATACATATGACAGAATTGGTATTTTATATTATGTTGATGATAACAAACAGAATATAGCAGAGTTTATTTCTTAGTGAATATCGCGGTATAGCACCCAAAACAAACGCAGAACAGCGTTTCCAGGATGGTATAGATGATATCTACAATTACGTACAGACCCCGATAGTGGGTTTTCATCCCAACCATCAACCAGCAGATGGCTTTACCATCATCAACCAACAGAAGGGTTAAACTTCTACATTCATTGAAGATCTTCAATAAGGGTTGATAAATTATCCCATCCCCGTTAAACTTCTACATTCATTGAAGATCTCCAATAAGGGTTTATTAATTTTCCCACCCCCGTTAAACTTCTACATTCATTGAAGATCTTCAATAAGGGTTTATTGATTCTCCCACCCCCATTAAACTTCATTAAACTTCTACATTCATTGAAGATCTTCGATGATTTACATGATGATATACGCTATGAAATACAATTGCGAGTCACGGGCAAACCTATATATGTCCAGGTGTTCAAGGTCTTTTCTATCTATGACTTGGGGTTGGTCACATCTCCTTCAATTTTTGCTTGGCTTTTTTTGCCCTGGGGGCACCCCAGTGACTCGAGAGTCGGCTGCTGGCACTCTGGCACCTTGAGATTCTGTTTGCCATGTGGCAAGATGGCACTTCCCCAAGTTGGCAGACTCACTCATGGCGACCAGATGGCCCTGGGAGGTGGTCACCAAAAAGATCCGCTTAAAGCTGAGCCAATGAAAAGCAGTCTGACTTATTGAAAGTTATGGCTGCACTTATCGAATGCTAAAGTGAGGCTCCAGATGGGTCCAGCATAAAAAAAGCTCATGTGGAGTCACTTGATTTCTGCCATGCTTCACATGTCGCTGTGTGCTGATCTCTGATGAGAAAATCTGTCTTCAAATGGCTATGACACCATGTCATCAGTGTCCAAAAACCCATTTGCAAAGCTCTTCTGATGGTTGATAGGGGATTTCTATTCTATCCCATTATGAGGACCTACAGAAAAATCCCAAAATATGTTCGGCCTATCAATCCTCTTAGTATAGCCCCAGTCCCAACAACAACAACAACAACAACCACGACGACGACGACGACGACGACAACAGAAGAGCTCGGAAAAGGCTTTCAAATCTGACCCAAGACAAGCTGAAGAACAGGAAACATGGTACAGGGTCGTGAACTCCACTTATAAGTTGGTCTATCAACCCTATTATCTATAGGCATATTATATACAGATGTTGTGGCTATAAACCAAGTTAGTCAGCTATGTAGGGGGCACCACATTGTATGTCAAGAGCCTATCCTATCTTTGGATGGAAGAAATCCTGCATCAGTTGGTAGATGGCTTGTCTCATTATGATCCCATTATTTACAGTGTTTCATAGTTACCAATAGTTACCAACTGGTGCAAGATTTCGCAACCATCCACAGTATCTTTGGCAGAATGCTTCCAGAAACATGGATGCAATGGGTGTCCTTTTTGTATCGCCATGAAAATTGATCAGCTAATCAGCTACAGTTATAGCTCCATAGCCAGCTATAACGGGCGAAAAAAAAAAGAAACAAAACACTCATACAAGTGATATATATATATAATGTGATTTATCTATCTTTATATTATATATATATATATATTAACCCTAGTTACAGGAGTCATTCCATCCCATTTATAACTGGCTATAGGACCATAACTGCAAAAAAATCGATGGCTTGGAAGCCCGCACGGGGCTTTTCCTACTCACGCGAGGTACGTGACGTCGTCTTGGGGATGTCCTGTTTGCTGCAAGCGCAGTGGCAATACCAAATATTCCCAACAAAAAAATATCTAATTGGTGGTTTCAACCCCTCTGACAAATATGAAAGTCAGATTGGATCATCATCCCAACTATTGGGGAAAATAATCCATTCATGTTCCAAAGCACCAACCAGATATCTCATTAACCATTATTAACCATTATTAACCACCATTAACCATTATTAACCACCATTAACCACCATTAACCAAGCCATGTTCCAAAGCACCAACCAGTCTGGAGTTCCACCAGTTCCACTGAGCGGAGGATGCTGAACCAATAGGTACCACATTTCCACAGATACTCCACGCATCGTGGATAAACCAACCAAGATCAACCAAGAATGGTTTTTTGGTCATGATTTAATGCACAAAAACATGTTTTTATATATCTCTAAGCAAAATTTCAAAAAGAAACGAGGATTCGATCACAGAAAGATACGTGGACTTAATTGATGAGTGGCCGCACGGCCGCACCTGGATCTCATCCAACTTGGAAATTCTACCAGAAAATGGTAGTCGAGTCGCGCTTACCATGGGGAAACATGGAAAGTACTATGGATATTACTGGATATTAAGTACTCATTTTATTATGGATATTCCAAGTATACGGTATAATTTACCATCATTTGCCTCTTTATCTTTATCAGTGTTTGTTGACAATTGGATGAGATCTGCCAACTTGACAACTCACTTGTTTGTTTGTTCATTACTGTTTGTTCCATACACAGATGTGTTTGTAAACACATGTGCACAAGAACACACAAACGAATAGTTCCAGTAAAAAACACATGATGTTTTGCATTGTGAACCGATCCAAATCTTTCAAATTCTGCTAAGGCCAGGCCCAGTGAGCGATGAAAATCGCTATGTTGGGGCTTACATAACTCCAATAGATAGTTACTATATATTACTATGGATTATAAACCACTAGAAACCAACAGACATTTTGGCTGCATCAACTGCCATTGACATCCGACGAATCCGACCAAACTCACAAAGTGGCGACCCCTAAAGCGAGCTAAGGTTAAGCTTTATATAACTATAGGTTAATAGTGGCTAATATATGCGAAAAAATCGGTGAATAATGGTATGATTGTAAACATATTATCCAACTATAGCTGATTACAATGGATTACATATCACCAGAAGTTCTGATAGGTAATAAATCATTATCAACTCATGGTGATTACATAGTGTCTATGGTGATTATAACTGCAGTTGCTGTAGGTGGGTTAATAAACCAACTTGTAACTAGGGGGCACCACGTTCCACCATCATTGCTTTCCCCACCCCATGATGGTCCGCAACAAACCAGTTCCAAATGGCTATGCTAACTGAAAATGTTGCAAACAACACCGAAAAAATAGGTAGTTTTCATCAGACTTGCCACAAAGTGGAGAATTTCAGACACACCCAAATGCCAACAAAAACAGAATGTGGTTCTCAATTTTTTCCCTAGTGATCTAGTGTTCTTTAGAATGATATCGTATATCTGTATGCACACATCTATACACACATGATACTTAACATATGTATATTATATATATATGTATACAATTATATACATTCATTACATCATGATATTTACACATGGAAAACATATTCATCCCATATGCTCCATGGTGCTGGAATATTTACCAACATGTGCCCGAACAAAATCACCCAGTCATGTAGGTGTGCATATACCAGCACCATGGTTCGCATATGGGCATGTTAACTTGTGATTTTTAAAACTCACTCTTGGAGCATGTTGATAAAATCCATAGAATTTTATTTCGATGGATTCTCCACAATAAACCTTCCAGCTATTGGAGTACGTCATTTTAAATCCCAATAGTGGTTTTCTGGTAGATATAACTATAGTTATTGGGGCTTAATATATAGTTAACCATAGATTTTGTAGGTTAATATAGTGAATGTCAACCCTGGTCATGATTAACCATAGATTAACCATAGATTAACCATATATTATTAACCATATATTAACCATAGATTTTGTAGGTTAATATAGTGAATCCACATCACTTTTTTCTTGGTTTTCTGCCTACAAAATGATGCGGAGATTCCCATGTGTAGAAATTCCCCGCAGGATATGACCTTCCTGAACTCCCCGCAGGATATGGGTATGGGTCAAAATTAGGTACCCCAAAATTATGGATGGTTAATACTAAACTAGACATTTCCATCTGTGGTCCCATTAATGGTCTTCCATTTTGACCCACATCCATATATAATATATATATATATATATATATACACACTTAGATTAACCATAGGTTAACCATAGATTAACCATAGGTTAATATAGAGTACCCCCATGACTATGGAAAGCCACCACCGATCAGCCAAGTCTCTGTACAGAGGCTGCTTCAAACCTCGGATGAATTCTGGCACTGGCACTTACCCGGCCTGGTAAACCATAGGAAAACCATAGGAAAAATGGTGGTTTAATGGGATTTAATGGGATTTAATGGCACTTACCCTCTGGTAAACTTTCACATATCGAAAATCACCATTGTTAATGGGTAAATCCACTATTTCCATGGGCCATGTTCAATAGCTTTTTGTATGTTTACCAGAGGGTAAGCTAACCCCATATCGGACTCATACCCCAGCTACCCTTGTGATGGGCGGGATCCATAGGGAATGAAAGTGAACTTTACGAATTCGGACATACCCTCTGGTAATTTAACATAGCGAACTGGAAAATCCATTATAAATGGAGGTTTCTAGCTGGGAAAATCATCTGTAAATGGGTCATTTTCCATAGTTATGTTAAATTACCAGAGGGTAATGAACATGTGTGATTTTTTCCTGACTGAAAACTGGAAATCTGATGGAATCCCAACAACAGTGATGTGATTTTGTTGCTTTTCGGAGCAAAAACAACTGAGCTGATGGAATCTGAATCAAAAGTGATGAATTCACATTTCTCATGTGGATTAAGAAAAATGGTAATGCATCCTCCTAAACATGGAAATTTCACCCGTCCAAAAAGTGAGGGCTTTATCCATCAATTCATACTTTCAGTATGGTTACCATATGTTACCATCAACAGGATTGAACTACCGGAGGGACCAAGCAGAATGGTCTCTCTAGTCACTATAAGATAGATATGGAACACAAACCATTTCTATATCATGTTCCTGTGGTTTCCCCATGAGTTTTCCATCTCTCTGTCCCCATAGATATGGAAAATCACCATTTCTAGCTTGGAAAATCAACTATTTCTATTGCCATTTTCCAGTTCGCAAACTGTAAACGTTTACCAGGCCGGGTATCTTCAATAGCAAACATCAAACAATATCAAACAAAACCATCTTCCCCATCTTCCCCATGTATATTCCTTTTTATAAATACATATCCCATCATTTCCCCGGCTCAAACCCTCCACCGACCCTCCACCGACCCTACTCGCAACAGCCGCGCCATGGCACGGCGTTGGTCCAAGAAGTGCCCCACAAGGCCCAGCGTGCGCGAGGAGACGAAGAGACCGTTGAGGACGCCGTGGGTGACGAAGTCATCGGCTTCGCTCCTGGCCAGGGGATGGGTGGCCAGGGGGATGGGTTGAGGGCCACATCACCTGGGTTAAGGTTAACTATGGTTTATGGTAGATATAACGAACTAGTTAATGAGAATGATAATGACTATCAATGACTGATCTGGTTGGTGGTTGACCTACCCCTCTGACAAATATGACTTCGTCAGTTGGGATTATGAAATTCCCAATATGTGGAAAAATAAAAGTCATGTTCCAAAGCACCAACCAGATTTTATGTTATCCAATGACTATCTGGCTGGTGGTGCAATAACCATCTTGAAAAATGATGGAGTTCGTCAATGGGAAGGATTGTCCCATATATTATGGAAAATAAAATTCATGTTTGAAACCACCAACCAGTATAGATATATATCTTAATAACGAGATAAATCTGGGAATCTAATGAAATAGATATATGTAGATATATCTAATTTTCATGGAATGTATATCTAACTATCACCAGTTGGTGGTTTCAAAAGAGAGATGGCCATGTAGATGGCCATCTAATTTTCCTTTGGGAAGGTACAAAAAACCAACTAACATAGCTAGCTTATGGTTGGGGAGGGATAGGTTCAGTATAATATGTTACTATATATATACACACGTATAGTTAACTACGGGGATAGCTTCTACCAAATCGCTTTAAAGTTGGCAACTGAACTAATCGCTTCACTTCGTTGGGTTTATGGTATGGTAGATATACCCTCTGGTAATTTAACATCACTATGGAAAATCACCATTAATGTTGTGAATTGTCCCATGAAAAATGGTGATTTTCCATAGTTATGTAAACGTTTACCAGAGGGTATATCGAACTGGTTGATGGAAGCTTCCAACATAAAGTTCTGTGAGTTCCACAGATCTGATCATATGAATTGTATAGCACTGATGGGAATATACTGGGAATATAGTATATATAGAGTGGATATAATTAGAATATTTATGAACATATATAATGGGAATATAGTGGATATAGAGTGGATATAATTGATGGGACATGTCCATTGGAATGTCAATGGGATGTCAATGGGATGTAATGGAATCTTGATGGATATGTAACCAACATAAGGGATACAACCAATAGGGATCAATGGATTGTCTTGATTGTGGGTTATCCATGGAAAGTTCGCGGCCAGGGAGACGAACTCTGTAAATAATTTGCCATATACATATAATATCATATAATGTAGATCTAGAGGTTTTTTGAACATCTCTAAAACAACATCTGAATCTATAACAAGTGGAAAGTTTTTATATAGGGATGTTCGGATGAGCAATTGTGTACTGTAACAAATTTAAATTTGTCTAATAACATCAATTTCCATGAACAACTTTAAATTTGCATATTATGGGTTTCTGAACCAGGTTTCCTCAAATAGCGCTTCAGATTCCCAAAATCTCATTGTTGATTGTTAATCGCGACATTGTCTCCATCATATATTATTCCATATGTTTGGTGTTTTTTTTATGTGTTTTTTCCCATGAAAATCATGAAATTGAACATGATTTGGATTTGCTTGAGGGAGGTTCGCCCCAAAACAACATACTATTCCCTTAATCCATTCCCAAGTCATGGTTGATTTCCCATTGGCAACATGCAAAAAAAATCCACTTAGCAAATCCAGGTAAACCCCATAAAAACATTATAGTATATTATAGTCATCTAGTTACGTCCTGTAATGATGTAATGTGGGTAAAACAATAATAAACCATCCCCCAAATCAGCATTTTTATAAGTGGTATTTTACATGGCATTGTTTTACCCACATTCTTCCCAGCTAGAAACCTCCATTTTCTAGGGGATTTCCATGGATGTCCCCAAATCACCATAATCCCATGGTAAAATCCTATGTGTTAACCACATTAATCATCATTAATCATCATTGATCACACCATTTCACACCATTAATCACCATGAAACCTCCATTTTCTAGGGGATTTCCAAATCACCACAATCCCATGGTAAATCCCAGGTAAATCCACTGATCAACCGACGCGCCTGGAGAATTCGCCGCAGGTCCGTAGCAAGTCCACGAAGCACACGGCGATGCAACCGTCCACGTTTAAGATGAGGCTGGCCTGTCAAAGTGCAGAGCCAGTGAAAAAATGAGACTTAACCAATGAAAATGGTGATTTGACTTGATTTAACCAATAAAAACAGGGTAGCAAATTCACATAGACCCTGGACATCGTCAATTTTGAGTGGAAATTAATCTTCCAACATCTTTCAACCCCCTATCTGGCAGGGTCTGTATTAATTTGGGGGGGGGGTAGCCAGCCAATGAAAATGTTGATTTCATATTCCACCATTGTTGGGAATCCTTATATTGACAATTACCCTCTGGTAATTTAACAGTTTGCTATTGAACATGGCCATAGAAATAGTGAGTTGTCCCATTCAAAATGGTGATTTTCCATAGTTATGTAAACGTTTACCAGAGGTTATATCCCATTAAATCCCATTAAACCACCATTTTCCTATGGTTTTCCTATGGTTTTCCTATGGTTTACCAGAGGTTCTATTCCAAGTTAGTTAATGTCCCAATACTGTTCGGTTGATCCTCCCCAAATATGGCTAGATAATGCTACCTCTGGGAATCACACGCGCCCGACGGAGAATCCGCTACAAACGTAGGAAAACTCCTAGGAACATCATCTTTTTTAACGGATCATGTTCCAGTGATGTTTGATACCCTCTGGTAAACGTTTACATAACGAACTGGAAAGATCCACCATGTTATAGCTGGGAAAATCCACTATTTCTATGGGCCATGTTCAATATCAAACTGTTAATTTTACCAGAGGGTAACACGCCAGAGATAATCCACACACTTCACCAAGTGTATTTTGCAGCTAAAATGAATCTCATCTTAGCACTTTTTTCAACGGAATTGTCCTTCTGGCTTTTTCCATGGTCATTCAATGATCGGATCGTTCGTGTTGACTCAGGGAGCTCATTTGTAGATTCAGAAATTTTCCCATGTGTAGATTCATATGTTTTTGGATGTTTTCCCATGAAACCATGGTGTTTGTTGATGGTTTTGATACCATCTGGTAATTTAACAGTTTGCTATTGAAAATGACAATTTATAGTGGATTTTCCCATTAAAAATGGTGATTTTCCATAGCTATGTTAGTTTACCACAGGGTATGTTTTCCCCTTGGAGCCTTTTTCTTGGTGGTGACTTGTTCCACCGCCAATGCAAAGTCCAGCAGCGGCGTGGAGGGCAGATGTTTCTTCACCTCACGGCGCCGCATGGCCATGTGGGGGGTAGGGGAGGTCCCCCGAAAATTTGGCTGGTTGGTGGTATATAAGTGGCTGAATTAACTATGGTTTATGGTAGATATAACGAACTAGTTAATGAGAATTATAATGACTATCAATGACTTATCTGGTTGGTGGTTGAGCCCTGAAAAATATGACTTCGTCAGTTGGGATGATGACATTCCCAACTGAATGGAAAAATAAAAGTCATGTTCCGAAGCACCAACCAGTTGGGAATCACAAGCAAATTAAATGTTGTGTATCAAACAACAAGAGACAGAAGTAAGGTATCAAACAAAAATGAGAATTGATCCAACAGAAATGCAAGATCTGAAAAATGATTTTGAAGAAGCTTAATTCAGTGACTGATTCCATAGTTCGAAGGATGAAACTGCTGCACAAAAAAACTGCACACATCAAGCCAATAACCTACGTACTATTCACCTTGGCCTCAAGAAGCTTTTCCCTGGCAGAGTGTGATGCTCAGGATCTAGGTCAGGGTACCAGGTGCATCATCCAAGTTGAAGTTGGTAAATGGTGGGTGGTTGGTGGTTACATCCCCTGTAAAATGGAAGGTAATCAACTCAGAAGCTGGTAAGAACAGTTCTGAAACAACCGTTGCTAATCACATCCCCTTCTATTGTAACTGGTATCAATGGGAATTTCAGGATCCTAAAATGGAGGTACGCTAGTACCATATTTTTGGCCATATTTTGTGGGGATATGCCCTGAAAATTAGGCCTCAAAAATAGGCCCAACATATATGGAATCGGTACCTCCAATCAATCGGTTCCTGTTGCATGGCCATTGATGGATATTGATGGTATGATGCTGGGACTGGGAAACACTCAACCAGGCCCTACATGGATATTTTTTACGGACTCACCTCCTCCCAATCACTTAGGATCACAGTTGACCCTTGCCTTCATCAGATTCCCTATTCAAACAGCCATTTCTTGTGGGTATATGATGGTTAAAGCAACAATTTTTTGTGGGTATACGTTCAGATACACCCACGTTGCAAACTATCAGAAACCATCAACCCTTTCCGAACTTCAAACATCAAACATCCGAGGAACAACGTCAGCTGGCACGTCGTGAGTTAAACAAGTTTGGTAGGAAGTGAAAACGAATGTGACCCACGGAGAAAACCAGACATAACCAGACAATCCCTTCACCGAATCCTCCCAATCACCTCGATTTTATGGATTCATATGGGGGCTTCCCTCGTCGATCGTCAAGTTGCATATTCCTTGATCAGGACTACTCTGGCATCCGGATTGTCCAAGGATTTGATTCCTCGAGGGTTCGTTCACAGCCATCCCGGTGGAAAAATCATCCAATTGCGGAACAAGAACAAGTGAGTCATACCGATCTGGCATGCCTTTGGAGATATGAAGCTAAGAGAAAGAGCTCACCATCTGTGAAAAAAAAGGACGGACCGGGTACAACTATAAACCAACACATCTGGAAGGGCGCCCATAGGTGGCAGAATTGAACCGCCATTACCTGGCGACAACTGGAAGGTGGTTACCTGGCGAGGCCCGACTCTTCCTACCTGGCAGAGCTGTCAGTGATCCAATGTGTTCTATCCAAATGATGAATTCACCATACTCCGTGTAGGATGGTGTAAGATGGTGTAAGTATTGTAATCAGATATAACTATAAATGCTATTTATTTGATTTTATTTGCTAGATTATGTGTTCAACAGATGTTCCTTTTCTGATGTGGAAGAGATGTGTAAGATCTCTTGTATGAATCCCCACCCGTCCAGGGCATCAAAAAAAAACATCAAACCTCCACCAAGCATCGATGTCCAATACCCGCAATGACCTTGCAGATTTAAGCGAGTCGACACTAACCAGCGATGCCGATCCAAAAGATGTTTTTCGAAAACCAAAAGAAACACCCGTATTTCATGGGGGTAAACAGGTATGCAACAGGTATACTGTAGATGAAATCATGCAACCCATCATAATTCATGTATTATTTCCATAATTGCATGTGTTCCTGGCTTACTTCACCCCAGTGAATCAGGGTAAGTAGCGGCAATGTACAAGCGATTCCTGGTGTGAACCGCGAAAAAAAACAATCATCCAGATGTTAGTTCCATATTTTTCCATATGAAACCCCATCATCATCATCACTGTAATCATCCCACAGTTTACATGGCAAAGGTTATGGTTCAATATCAGTTTTTGCTGTTTAACCAAGATACTAGTATAAATGCAAAAAGAAGCATACCAAACCATAGAAAAATCAGAGATACAACACTAAATGAAATAGAAACTTATACTTTAAAATGATGCAACGGTAGATTCAACAGAAACTTATATTAAACCTATCACTACTCCCATTCGCTCAACTCCTACAAGCCATTTCATAGCTTGAAGAGCCACTTCTAACGAGCACCGAGCGTCAGTCTTTTCTGCTTTGCACTTCCTGAGAGCTGCTTCTTGGAATCAGTGGAGCGACTGATATACCAACCACAAAAATGCTGATAAACTGGGTATGGTTAGTATATCCAATCAGTATATCCAACCATATATCTGGTGATTACTGGCTTTGCCACATGAATGGTCAAAAACATAGATTGAATTCATGGTTCAATGGCATTCGCGAGTGTCATGGGCATTATGTATCATTATGTGGCCTACTATTACAAATAAAGTTACCATTGTGTTTGGGTTATCACACTCCGCAACCCATAAAACTCAAACCAATCAACAATGGTATCTTGAATGGCTCAGTTGGGATATAAAATCAAATGATACCTAGGGGTACAATGGATACATTTTGGCGAGACAATGGGGATATTGGGTTATGTAATAGGGATATCATGAGACATATATATATATATATGTCTGAATATACCGTATATACACATTAATAACGATAACATCTAGGATTGTAGAATGTGAGGCCCCCCAGTTATAAGTTGGTTTATAAACCCCATTAGCTATAGTTATAAGTACCATAAAACATAGATATCGGAGTTATAAACCAACTTAGCTATCTTGGGGGCCTCACATTGTAGAAATGGAGGGATACAACTATGAAATTTAAGCGTTAAACAACTGGGGATAACTACCAACCAAATGAAGGTTGAGGGGGCCAATGATGTGGCCAACTGATTGAGATATAGGGATGGAACTAGTTTCAAAACCTGCAAATTACGGGGAGAAATATTGCTGTTGAGCGGTGATGAATTAGCAATTCAAAAATCGTTACCCCCTATTGATAAATTATAAGTTATAGAAAAATCAAGGGGTAACAATAATATCATATGTCACATTGTTGGTTTGTTTATATGTTGTATCTCCCATTTCCCCAGTATAGATATATTATATATCACCATTCATAGATTACTTTCCCATGAAATATCTCATGAAAATAGGCTTAACATAGGCTTAGCCATTCATCCGGCAACTCCCAAGGTGATGCTGGTGAATTGTCACCTGTACAGTGTCCTGCAGTGTTCCCTCTTTGTGGCGGCCTCCACTTCTGCCTGGACCTCTTCCAGTTTTTCTTCGCCGTCGCCAAGCCTCCTAAAAGAGTCGCCAGCCATGGAAGATACGGCAGTCTCAGCCAATGTTTTGCACCATCGATCTCCTTCTTATCCGAGGGCACCAATGGGTCTTTGGCTTCACCCTTTGCTAATGGCCAATCCCATGACGTATTGTCCATTGCTTAAAGGGCCCAAGCATATGAAACATAGTTTGGTTAGCGGAAACGTGTTTTTTTCGCCAAGAACCAGGCAGCCAAGAAGCACCATTACATTGAGATTTTTCCAGTACTGAACTGAACCAACCATTATCTACTAGATTTCCATACTCACTATCAGACATTACCCACGTTTTCCCGCATGTTCATTTCCCCGGTTTTTCATATCCCCAGTAAATCTCCAGTGATAGATGTTTTTCCCATGATGTCCTTAAAAGAAAAACCCTATTTATATACTACTATCCCAAGGATTTTCGCATGATTTCCCCACTTTGCCTATGAGTTTCCCACGTTTTTTCCCACGAAAATCGCCATGTTCCATGGTGAAATTCTGCGTAAATCACAACTTTCTCATGGTTTTGCTATGGTTTTCCCATAGAAAATCACCATTTTCCCATAAAGAAAATCACCATTTTCCCATAAAGAAAATCACCATTTTCCCATAGAAAATCACCATTTTCCAATGGAAAATCACCATTTTCCCATAGAAAATCACCATTTTCCCATGGAAAATCACCATTTTCCTATGGAAAATCCCAATTTTCCCATGGAAAATCACCATTTTCCCATGGAAATCCCATGGGAATCCCAGGCGCTCCACGAACTTCTCGGGCGTCAGCTTCAGATCGAAGGCCTCGCAGAACATCCGCGCCGCATCGTCCAAGGCGCCGCCGAAGCGGGGACCTCAAAGCGAGACATAGTTCGTAGTTATAACTATAGAAGACTAGTACTAGTTCGAATGGATATAGCATATAACTAGAATAATATTCCAATAATAATAGTATGGATAAAGTATAATATAGTATGGATAATATAGTAGATATAATATAGTATATAGCAGAATAATAGTATGGATATATAGTATGGATATAGTATATAGTAGATATAGTATCCATAGCTACTATAGTATAGTATATAGTATATAGTAGATATCTAGTAGATATGTATATATAATTATGTATGGATATAGTATATCCCATAGGATCCATGTATGCTATATATGGTAACATTTACCATCAATATACCCCAAATGTTAGCATATATACCATACATGGATCCTATGGGGTAGATATAGTATCCATAGTTAGTAGGTATGGATATAGTCTGTAGTATGGATAATATAGTATGGGAAATATAGTATATAGTATGGATAATAGTATGGTCATAGTAGATATAGTATCCATAGTTAGTAGTTATTAGTTATATTATGATGAATTACATGTAATTAAAAAGTGAAGCGTCTATCAATGGATTGGTTTAAGGGAAAATTTACAGGAAAGCCCCATATTTAATGAGGAAATCCATGGTTTCTTGTAGTTTTTCCCTTAAACCAATCCAATGATTATAGTAATAATAGTATGGATATGGATATAGTATATAGTATGGATAATATAGTATGGATAATAGTGTGGATAATGCATAGTATAGGAATATGGATATGGATGATGGAATAAAATATGCTAAATATGCTCCATAGTATGATGGATAGTTGTAGTAATGGGATAACAGTAATAGGAATCGGAATATGTATAATAGTAATGTATTTAGTAATAGCAATAGCTATTGTAGTTGTAGTTATGGTAATAGCAATGTATAGTAGATAACTATAGTAATAGGGATATGGATAATGGGAATATATGGATAATGGATATTTCATACCCTTAGAAACCATTTCAGTGGAAAAAAAACAATTATAGATGTTTTCCATACGAAAATTGTGATTTTCTATGGGAAAATGGTGATTTTCTATGGGAAAATGGTGTTCCCAGCTATAAACTTACATTTATGGATTCAAATGGGAGAATCATGGAAGCTTCGAATGGCTTTTTCAGCTTCTCTTCACAGTTTCTCTACCCAGGCACCAATCGTGGCCAATCCAGAGATCAAAGAAGACACCAAATCCTCTGGGCAGTGGGCTTGGGAAAGATTTCGAGTAACGAACGCCCGGTTTTGAAGCAACGAAACAAAGCCTGGTTTACCAGCCAAAATGGAGAACTTCTGGTTGATGGTGGATTGGTGGTGATTTGCGCTATGGACAGGGGCTGGTTGCGGGTGATTCGATGGGGATACAAAGAAGTGGCTCGTGCCGGCTCGTGCGTCAACCAGCTCCGGCTCCGGCGTTCGATGCTCACCCAACTGTAGATGACTGGTTGCCACTGGTTGGTGGTTTCCATTGTTTCCATAGTGGGAGTACCCCAGTTGGATGGTTTATTTCAAAGCCATCTATGGATGAGAACTGGACCTAGCCCCATGACTCAGGAAACCTCCATATTTATCTGGTTGGTGGTATACCTACCCCTCTGAAAAATATGACTTCGTCAGTTGGGATGATGACATTCCCAATATATGGAAAGTCATAAAATTCATGTTCCAAACCACCAACCAGATGAATGTTCGCGCAATAAATTCAAGAGTTGTTGTAAGTATAAAAACAACAGACACCTAGGTAAACCAGCATTTTGATCGAAGAAAGCACTACTTAACTACTGGTGAAACCATTTGAAAGCCTATTTCTGCTTATGAAATCCATAATCGGCTGATTTTTGATTGTTAAATCATCTCAAACCCATAGTTCAATGGCAATTTCAGGATCCTAAAATGGAGGTACCTACCATATGTAAGGCGTATTTGTCAGGCCTATGTAAGGGGATATCCCCCTAAAATATGGCCAAACATATGGTACTAACGTAGCTCCATTTTAGGATCCTGGGATTCCCATTGAATAGTTGTCATGATTACAGTAAAATCACGGTTTATACGAATGCTTGATGCTCAACTCCTGGCATTTGCTGGTGAAATAGTGGTTTATCTCATTGCATCTTTATCCTCTTCTATTCCCATTCTGTTGGTTATATGTGTTTAAAATATTCCAATGATATTCCTATCATATTCCCATGAAATAGCAATTGTCTGAAAATAGGGTACCCATTTCCCATTCCATCCAGTGATAAATCACTATTATCCGTATTACGACGGCCATGAATGGGGGGATACACCACATTTTCAGGCATACGGTGGCTGGTTGCAAAATCCTGCACCACTTAATAGGTGGTTTATCCCATTATTCATAGGGCTTGAAATATCGAATGTGGTGCAGGATATCGCAACCATCCACAGTATGAAGGTTTCCATAGTCATGGGGGTACCCCAAAACCGCTGGTTGGTGGCTGGAAAACCCGAAAAATGATTTTTGAACTTGGGTTGCCATATCCTCTAGTTCTGACCCATTAAATTCCAGTAGTCAGTGAATCATTTTTTGAAAAAACACACATAGCCCCAATTTATAGAATATCCATATCCATATCCATATCCATCCATAGTAGCTATTATCCATAGCCAAGCATAGAAATCACCAGTTCTAACTGGTATAACTCGGGCTATATCCGACCACTTCGTGCTCCACCACTGCCGCGCTCCGGTCGCTCCGGTCCTTTCCCGCCCGCGCGGCCACAATGGTGTTGTGCGCACCAGAGACGCAGGGACCGTGGTCGGCAGTGGTGATCATGCCTCAACTTCCAACTCTCGGTTTCCATGGGATTTCATGGACAATCCCCAGACAAAATCATGGGAAAAATAGGAGAATCATCTATAAATGATGATTTTACCTATAGGTTAATGGTCATTTCATAGTGATTAAATAGAGATTTAATGGGAATATATATATATATATATCTGGGTAAATTACAATATATCACTAACCTGAATAGTTCGGCCATTTGGGGATGATTCCCCTTACTAACCATCATTCCCAGTGAGGGAGGACAGTGAGGTCGGTATAATTTACCCAGAATGATGACTTAACGGGATAACTGATGGAACTAGATACAGTAAGTTATAGGAGGGCGTCTTTCATCCGACTTAGCTATCTTCGATATATATATATATATATGTATGTATCTATATATATATATTCCATGGGTTTTAATGGGTATATTGCTACGTTTGATTGCCGGGAGGCTACGCATGATTTTCCCAAAAAGAAGTGGCCAGGGCACTGGTTTCTTGCCATGGTCAATCCGTCCCATGATGGAAATTTCCATAGGAAAACCATAGGAAAACCATAGGAAAATGGTGGTTTAATGGGATTTAATGGGATATATACTGAGTATATAATGGGTTTATGTAATGGGAAAATCTATACCCACTGGTAAACGAACTCAGATAACGAACTGGAACATCACCATTTTCTAGCTGGGCAAATCAACTATTTCGACTGGGCCATGGCTTCCAGTTGGCAAACTGTTAGTTTACCAGGTCAGGTAGTACATCCATAAATCACCATATATTTCCCATATTTTTCCAATAAATCACCATATGTTCCATATATTTCCCATAAATCACCCAGTAGTACATGTGTTTTTCCTATGAAAATGGATTGATGACCATCCCCCCATCAGTGGGTATATCACACTACATCCCATTGAAATATGACGTAGGCTTCCAACGGCCAAACATTGGCAGGGTCTTGGTTCGTTGGGGAAAGGTAAATTAAATTATCCCATTGTTAGTACCCATTATATCCATTAGTACTACCCATTATATCACATTCTATCCCCACTTCGTCCAATTACATCCATATTATCCTCCAAAAATATCCACCCATTTCAACATGTTGAAAAACCAGAATATTTAACCGGTTAAATCGAGGTTTGCTGGAAAATCCCCGACATATGTATTGATAGAGATAGGGATAGCCTTGCCCATCTTCCAGCCATTGAACCCCAAAACATTCTGAAGCCACCCAGCAGCTCATAAAACATAAAACCATAGGGGGTACCCTACACTTTCCGAATAACAAACAATTTAAGTGGTCAATTCTATCTTTTCAACAAGCCCCAAAAAGCATAGTCATGAAGAGATTTCCGTCAGGGTATCCAGCTGGTAAGATCAAAGACTTTCCTTCAGATATTTTACCCTTTGGTAATTTAACATAGCTATTGAAAATGGTCATTTATAGTGAGTTTTCCCATTAAAAGTGGTGATTTTCCATAGCTATGTTAGTTTACCAGAGGGTAGATGGTGCATCACTGCATCACAAGCAGCTCGGCGCTTTTCTGAGCACCTCTTGACTGCGTTCAAAAAGGAACTGCCAGCTGCCGTCTACAACCTAAAGTACCGCCGAATTGCTGAGACAACACTATCCCCAACAAAGAACAGGAGAGCCCCGAGACCAAGGGCCAACGCTAGGAACCCGCCGGTCAGGTCGGCGTTATACTTGTTGTCGATGAGGATTTTCGCCTTTTCACTTGTCGTCCCGAAGGAATCGATCTTCACGAGAATCGCTGCCAGTTGTTTGTTGATTGTCACCAGCTCCTCTGTTTGCGCCAGAGTCGCCTCCTTGATCGTGTTTGCAGAAAATATGATAGAAGCAGTCAACACATAATTTGCAATGACCAGATTGGATACTAATCATTGCACTTGCTCCACCAAATACTGATTCAATACTTGTGCTAAAATACGAAGTTCCATTAACTGTTTTGTCAAAAGTTCCAAATTGGCTTTCATATTGACATTAAGGGTGGTAGTGTAATGAGTAATATAACCTGCCAAAGAAAGGTTAATGAGATGACACATACATTGGATAATATAGTGCCATATTGTAAGTTATGTAATTGTAGTTGTAAATGATAGTGAGGAAATGAATAGCATGATATGAATGATATGATTGAAATGAAGGAGCAACACCTTGCCCAGTTTGTTGGCAAGATAATATTTTCCCTTTCTTTGGTATAATATTATCTGGTTTGAATATTTCAAGAGGCACAACTGTAGTAATGTATTTATACAACAAAACCATATCAGACAGACCATGCCCATCTTCCAACTCCTGTATCTATCCCCCGAAATCATAGTTTATGCCACCTTATCCATCTCTATATGCTCTTCGGGGACTTGTTGAAAAGATGATTTTGACCATTTTTTGATTGGAATTTGGAAAGTGTGTATCCCCCCCTTTCTGGTTTTGTTGATGATGAGATGGTAGGTGGCTTTAAAATGTTTTGGGTTTGATGAGTTGGAAGATGGGCCTTGGGCCTATCCTAACTGATAGATATATGATGTTGATTCATGTTCCAGCTATAAACCTCTGGTGAACTAACAGTTTGCTATTGAAAATAGCCCATTTATATCCATAGAAATAGTGGGTTTACCCATTAAAAATAGTGATTTTCCATAGCTATGTTAGTTTACCAGAGGGTAAACCTTGAGATTCAGTTCACGGATTTGCCAAAAAACCATGTTTGATGACACCAGAATCTATGGAACACCAATATTCTATGAATATTCCATGAACATATCCCTCGCCATTATATAAACTAACTAAATTTAAACAGTTATGAAATCCTATGGAACCACATAAAAAAATGCGTTGATGGTGGATAAATCATCCATTATATCCCAATAACTCCCACAAAATCAGCCATTATATCTATTTAGACCAGATAGAATCCCATCCCAATTATATCCCCATGATTAATCCCATAGCGTTGATTGTATATCCCATTATATACATGCCATAAAATATCATAAAATATCATAAAATATCATAAAATATCATAAAAAATCACTATGATATTCCATTGGATCCACGTGTGGTTCATAAATCTACTATATTCCCATTATATCCAGTTACATCAAACAGACGTGTGGCCCCTGAAATCATTAAGAGACATTCTTGATTGGGGGTGTGTCTGAGAATGGGTTGGAATCCAAGTTTAGGGCAGTTTAATAGGGAACATAATGATAAAGTGTGCCCAAAATGTTCCAACAAACCCATGGTGACACCAATGGTTTCAGATCTGTCGGAAGTGCAGCTGCGAAGCAGAGCTCAATGAACTTGCAGAAATAGGGAGGCAAGCGTCGCCTGGCGAAAACATCACCAGGGATGGCGGTTTCCGGAAATTAAAGGGATCTTCGAAAAAGACAACTCCTGTCTTTGACAGGAAATTGATGGAACAAAATCATGTTTTTTTGTTGTTTCCAGTAGATTGTCTCCCTTGAATCAATCGATCTTTCATAGTCAGCAGCCCGGGTTAACAAGAACCTCAAAGTCATTATATATTTACGGCCACTTCCTGGGTTGAACATCCGACAAGCAAAAGGCTGCCGGATTGGATTTAGATCGGTCCTGTCAAGCTTCCCCTTCCAGCAGTTTCGGGAACGTATGAAGAATCTCACGATTTAAAGCATAGAAACAGATCGAAATAGGAAAATGGCTTACTAACCCTTGTTGTTCCCCCCTGTTTTGCGGATGTTCCAGAAATTTACAGCAAGCCTCGAAACACTTTTGCACCGCATGCCGGAGAAGGAACACAGGGTTGACTAGTTTCATATGTTGAGCCAAAGCCAGCTTCTGGACTATCCCATGAATATTCCCCATGATATCCCAACCGCCATTATCCAATGTTTTTGCAGAAAACCAAAAAAAACATGTTTGCCATGTTCAAGTTACACACGATTCATGGGGCCCAAGGGCCCGGGCTGAAGTTGCTCCTAATTTCAATCCAACTCTTCACCACAGCACAGAAAGGTCGCTAACATACGGTTGGTGGTGCCCCAGTGAGCTAAATCGCTAAGTTGGGGCTTACATAACTCCAATTTCATTATCGTTTATGGTAGATATATTGACATACTTACGATGGTTTATAAACCAACCTATAACTGGGGGGCACCACCTTGTAGATGTTGTTGTTTTTTCTAGTTGATCCTTAAGGCTGATCATTTCATATTATTCTTAGGACGGCATGTTATAGTTCTTTCGCGCAAAGGTGCCCTTCCTATCCCTTTCTTTCAAAGGTTGGAGAACAAGTGGGATATATAATTCAAGAATAACTTCACAGGTACCCATCATTGGTTTTGATTTATTCTGAAGCACAGGGAAACAACAAGTTTACCATATTTCCTCCTATTTACGATCAGGTTACTTTACAATAGATTATCAACACGACAAACCATTAGTCACTGAGGGAGAAGACCATACAAGTCCTAACGCTGCACAAAGGAATCATATTGCACATGTCGCAAGCGATTCTTCTGGGTGCAATTCCAATCATAAGTGGATATAATATTATATATATATATCATAGTTCCAAATTATATCATAGTTTATGTATAATATCATTACTTATAGTTGGAACGAATCATCATAGTTATATATCATAGTTATATGTCATAGTTTCATGTCATAGCTATATATCATAGTTACAACTATATCATCATAATAATCTACCCTCTGGTAATTTAACGTAGCTATTGAAAATTGCCCATTTGTAGTTGATTTACCTATTAAAAATGGTGATTTTCCATAGTTACGTTAGTTTACCAGAGGGTATATACCAATGGTTTTTTTCCCCCTATGTCCCAACCTATGGACGTGCGACGGCGCAGCCGCCTGAACCACAGCAAACAGATGGCGCCCCCAACGCCTACAGGGCTGGCGAAAAAGAGGGCCGGTGGAGCGAGAAATCCCAGTGGTAACCCCCGTGAAGGCTGGGTTTCTTGCCGCGTTTCCTAAAAAATCCCGTGAAGGTATGCTTCACCCCAAGGTTTTCCAGGATTTAGCGAGCCATGTTTGATTACCAGAGGCTATCCCCATAAAATATCCCAAAAATACACATGAATAGTGACCTTGAGGTCGTTCTGACGATAGAATCCCAGGCCCCAAGACACATAAAAACATGATTTTTGCTGGTTGAATCCCTTTCGTTTTGATGCTAGATACAAAGTGGGCACCCCGATAAAACGATCCCTAACTTGGTAAACATCACTACAATAACTATACGGTACTATACGCTTTGTGAATTGAGTTTACTTGTAACTGTAGTTCATGTTCATGATTTTATTAAACCAACCTAAACATCAGGGGGCCCACATTTTCTAGCTGAATCTCTCCAGGTCGTTCATTTAACCGTCATCAAAAAAGCCCCGCGAAAACGCCCCCGCACCCAGCTGCTCATCTTTGGCCACTTCCGAGATGGGAACACCTGGTGGTTGGCTTTCCGGACGGGCTTTCGCCAATCGAAAAATAGGGTTACATATTTTACTGGTGAATGATCGTAAGTCGGAGACCGTTCATGGGTTATCCATGAATTGTGGCTGAATTATAGGAATTTACCAACCTGAAAATAGCTGCAAACCAGTATCACATTGCCATTTGGGGATGATTCCCTGAATCCAATTCTCATCATTCCGACGTCAGGACGTGAGGTCATGATCAAATTCAATCAGATTGATAGATGTTTTTCCCATTCTTTTAATATTAAACATCATTAATTAAACATATTAAACCATATGATACCATATGTTTTTCCTGGTGAACAACCATATGTTTTTCATATTGATTTGGTGAGTTATATCAGTTGTATCCCCATTCTGTAGCCATTTTCCCATGATTTTCCGTTCCCATGATGTTCCCATCAGATCCCCATGTTTTTCTGGCAACCACCAACCGGTGATCCTAACCACAAACTCCTCATAGGACTATCGTTAAGGTAGAGAACGCTGTTTTCAATGTGGGGCCACCCAGTTATGATGTGATTTATTAAAAACAAATAAAGCCAATATAAAGCCAATTAACTATACTCAACAGTTATGTTATTTGTATCATAAACAGTTATTTGTATCATAAACTTATGTTAACTATACTCAACAGTTATATAAACAAATTAGTATCATAAACAATACTCAACAGTTATTCGAGTTATGTTCACCAACTTCAAGCGGCCGCTGTCTTCAGCCCTACGGCGTTGTTCCATGAATCCAGGTATTTGAGTCCGGGCACAGGTAAGGCGTTCGTGTTCGTAACAAGATCTTGAAAAAGGTGGTATCCCCTAGCCTTACAAAGTAGTTTGTTGATGTTTATATATATACATATAGATATATACATATATATATATACATTTATTATATATATATATAGATATAGAGGTTTCCTAAAAGTGGGGTGCTCCCAAATCATACATGTTAAATCATTTTATCATCGGACTTTCCTAGAAACACTTCGCCGTCTCCAGCGATGACGTTGGGGGATCCCCTATGACGTCATTGGGGTTAGACCATAAACCCAATAATGTCCCTTTAAATAGCATCATAAATTATGGAGGTTATACCCATTAGTATTGAAAATGGAGGTTATAGCCATTAATATTGAAAATTTCCCATTCCCCTTTGATATTCCCTTTGATACCAAAAGACTAGTTAGGATTAGTTTCTACCCATTTAAGATTGGCCTAGTCATCATAAGCCACCAACTTCGCTATCGTTTTTTTGGAGCACCGTCTTGCCAGGGCCTGCATAAGTGGCTTCAGCCCCTCGATCATCGCTGATGGAGCAGACGATGTTCGCGGGCCTGAGCTGAGGTATGGTCCCAACCGAAAAAAAACATGGGGACCCATGGAAAATCATGGAAATTAATGGGAAATCATGAGGAAATCATGAGGAAATCATGGGAAAAACATGAAGAAAATCCATGGAAAATCCATGGAAAATCCATGGAAGATGTGGGTAAAACAATGCCATTTTTACCATGGCCAATCATGGGAATATCATGAGGAAAATGGGAAAAATACATGTTTTTTTTTTGGGAAACCCCCATAAAAGATTAATTATAATTCATCTAGATGCATCTATAATCATAGCCAATCTTAGATGCCTTGCAAAAAAAACAACTCAAATTCTGAGCTGGCGAACGTAGATAATCCCATTGATACCAAAAGACTAAAGGATTAGTTTCTACCCATCCAAGATAGACCTAGAAATCATAGGAACATCATGAGGAAAATTGGGAAAATCCTTAAATCATGTGAAAACCATTGGATAATGGTTATTTCAGTGGGAAATCATGGGACAATGACATATCAATGGGAATGTAATGGGATATGCTCATTAAAAATACCCCGTTTTCCCATCTCATGATACTAGTTCGTTGATAGGTTTCCCTACTATGGGTTATCATAATCCCCAGTAAATTAGGTACTCTAAGTCCCTATAGTAACCAATCAACTATTTTGTTCATGGCTCAAATGGCTATGTGTAAAAACATATTAATCTCAACCTAGCGAAGGTCGACGGGTCACTTTGGAACACTACATTTTTTTCGGGTCACTTCAGAACCCCAACATGTTGAGCCACATTCAGAATACCAACATCAGTCACTAAAGAAATGGATGGTATCCCAATGTTAACGACTGAAAAGTGCTGGTATATGGGGGTTTCCATAATCATGGTGGTACCCCAATAGCTGGATGGTTTATAATGGAAAATCCTATTGAAATGGATGATGACTGGGAGCACCCCCATGACTTAGGAAACCTCCATATACTGAAAATTTGATGAAAATACCGATGGTATCCCACAGCGAATGGTTTGAAAAATAACCAAGACGTCCCACTTGGCTATGGCTGTCAAAATAAAAATCATAAAGCACCAAAAAGTGGGTACCCTCCGGTACTCAAACATGGCAATTGAAAATCCCTCATTTATAGATGATTTTCACAGCTATTTACCCTCTGGTAAACTAACATAGCAATGGAAAATCACCATTTTTAATGGGAAAATCCACTATTTCTATGGCCATTTTCAATAGCTATGTTAGTTTACCAGAGGGTACCTCCATTTAGTTCGGGGATGTTGGAACATCCACGTGTGAAAATACCCACTGAAAAAATGACTGGCAGATCCTGGTGATGCCGAAGACAGTATCCTACGTGTGGTAATGGAGGGCCACATGTTGCCATACATTACACGTATCATATGTATATTATATATATATATATATTATGTTACTTAATTGTTATATGGGTACGGATCAATACCTATTAATACCTATATATATATATATATCTGGGTAAATTATAATATTTCACTAACCTGAATTAAGGCCATTTGGGGATAGTCACCCTTACTAACCATGAATTCCAGTGAGGTCGCAGTGAGGTCGTTATAATTTACCCAGGTATATTATGTTACTTAATTGTTATATGCCTGGAACCCCCATGTCCTCTCTTTTGAATGATCATTTGGCTCCAATTATATTGCATAATATTCCATCAATATTTCATTCTACCCAATTAATATTCCATTGAATCACGGTATAAAATCCATTATAAATAAAACCTAACGGAAACTTCCATTAAACTCCCATTAAAAATTCCCTTTGTAATATCATACACATCCACATGTTTCTTGCTTAAGTCACCATTTTCCTGTTTTTTTCTTAGTTCAGCCTCACTTTGTACCAACCTCCATCAAGACTCAATTCTATCCCATTAAAATTCCACTAAACCTCCATAATATCATTACTCCATCAATATACCATTCATATCCCATGGTTTTCACATGGTTTTCCTACAGTTTTCCCATGGTTTTCCAACTTCTTATAGTTTTTCCACGGTTGTTCCGTGGTTTTCCCATGGTTTTTCCAACTTTTCATGCTTTTCCCATGGTTTTCCCAGGCTTTTCCCAACCTCCCACGGTCTTCCGCGGCGCTTTCGCACCAGTCCCTTCTTCTTCAGCGCGTCGTAATCGCTGGGCAGCTTCGGCACCGAGGGCTCAGCGGCCACCACGATGGCACCTGCCTGGCGAAACTTCCATGGCCTTTCTCTGGGACATGGGATATAATATATATATATATATAATGTGTATACAATGTGTATACAATGTGTATATAATGTGTATACAATGTGTATACAATGTGTATATAATGTGTATATAATGTGTATATAATGTGTATATAATGTGTATATAATGTGTATATAATGTGTATATAATGTGTATATAATGTGTATACAATGTGTATATAATGTGTATATAATGTGTACATAATGTGTATATAATGTGTATATAATGTGTATATAATGTGTATATATAATGTGTATACAATGTGTATAGTGTGTGTATATATATATATATACGCTCGGGGCCCTAGGTTTCCGCAGGGTATCTTGGCTCTCATTGATCCATATGTCAAAAATCATTGTTTCGCCACAGGGAAATGTGGATTTTGCACATTCTTCTTTTTCTTTCTTTAATGACAATGTTACGGAGCTAAATTTTTAGGCCCGCGCAAGTTGCATGTTATGACATGTTATCCACAGTACATGTCAATTGTGATTTTTATGTTTTCCTACACGAAATACCACTTTTAATGAATTTCTGTGTTTTTTTATCCGGAATTGTCATTTTTTTTACTGCGGCACGTGGGGTAATATGAAGAGGTATCTTTTTTTATTGGTATTTGCAGTGAATTTTAACGTTAGCATGAAACGGCACGTGTTGATAGTCAGCCTTTTTTTTTGCTCGTTGTTGCTTCAACTTCATCAGCCTGCTGCAACATGTTCTTTTTCAAAGTTTCTGATTTTCTCGTTTTCCCACACGAAATAGCACATTTCATGAAAGTCGTTGTTTTTTTTTTAAGCGGAAAAGTGTTGTTTTTACTGCCGCTCGTGGTGTAATATGAAGGGCTGGGTTTTTTAATTGGTATTTGTAATGTTTTTTATGTTAGCATGAAACGGGACAGGTTGATAGTCACCATTTTTTGCTCGTTGTTATTTCAACGTCAACACCCTGCTGCAACATGCTGCAACATGTTTTTTTCAAAGTTTCCACGTACCATGAACATGACGTTAACATGCCCCACCCCACCCCTCCCATCAACGTACCATGAGCATGACGTTAACATGCCCCACCCCACCCATCAACGTACCATGACATGTACCATGAACACCCCACCCCTGTACCCCCCCCCACCCCACCCCACCCATCAACGTACCATGAACATGACGTTAACATGAACCGTTAACATGCCCCACCCCACCCCACCCATCAACGTACCATGAACATGACGTTAACATGCCCCACCCCACCCCACCCCTTGCGGAAACCTAGGGCACCGAGGGTATATATATATATACCCATAGGATCCATGGTGCTGGTATATATGCTAACATGACTGGGGTATATTGATGGGATCCATATTACCATATATAGCATACATGGATCCTATGGGATATATACACATAAATATATGTAGTATATAATCCGTATATAATCTATATATAATGTTTATACAATGTTTACATAATGTGTATAATGTATATATAATGCATATGTAGTGTCTATATATATAATATATATATATATCCAATACATTATGAATCCTAAATGAAATAACATGTAAATTCATAAATATATCGATATCTATAGGTTGATATGCCTAAGATGAATATCCATTTCTCTGGAAATGGATGTGAACTTAAATAGAAATTGGATGATCATCATTTTCCAATCTATGCTGAGTATATACTTCAAATCCAGTGGTTGGTCATCATTGTCCAGTCTTTTTCCAATTAAAACGCGGATTCTTTTCTGCAATTCTTGCGGGTATTTCACATCTTTAGACACATTTTGGGCCGTGCTTGGAGTGGCTGATTCAGCAAATCCAGGCACGAGATATAGGGAAATGACCGGGAAAAGATGAAGAAAAGCAGCAACAACACGGGCAAAGAACCACATCCATGGGAACTTAAGAGCTGACCACACACATATGTTTTGAAACATGCAGAAAAACTTAATGCAACAAACTGTGAACTTGTGGAACTTTGAACCACATGTGGAACTTCTGACACGAATTCTGCCTATTTTGGGTAGGATAAGTCAGGATTAGTATGGATAATGGCTGAGATAAGTTGAGATTGCTGATAGCACTCAATTGGCGAGGGCTGTTCTTAAAAATTATTAGATCAATTGGATCACATATTTTCAAAGTGTGTTGGTGGCTGTGTTTTACGACAAAAGCAACAGCTCTAATTACTGCACCCGAAGAGCCTGATCAATGCCTGTGTTGTTGCCGTGATGTCTAGGACATGGTCCGATCTGTGGTTGGTTTACCTATGAAAAAGTGATGAATTTCAGGCTGGTTACCCTCTGATCATTTAACAGTCCGCTAGTGAAAATCACCATTTTTGGAAACGATAAGGATTTCTTGAGGGATTGCCCTCTGGTAAACTAACATAACTATGGAAAATCACCATTTTGAATGGGTAAATCATCTATAAATGGGCCATGTTCAATGGCATAATGGCTATATTAAATTACCACAGGGCAGTCTTGCTTTGATGATGTCGTGATGATGTATTATTGGAATTCGCCCAGACGTATGATATACCCTCTGGTTATTTAACATAGCCATGGGAAATGACCCATTTATAGATGGTTTACCTATTAAAAGTGGTGATTTTCCATGGCTATGTTAAATAACCAAATGGTACATATATATATATATTATAGCATTGTCTGAAAATGGGGGACCCACCCAAAAATGATTTATCAATATGTACCATCTTTTTCTCACCTTTCAGTGCAATAAATTAAGGGCCAATGCCCATCACATAAGCATTGATCATATTGTTGGCTACATCCCAGTACCCATTAGCCTCTGGAAATCAACCATGGCGTGCTGGAAAATTTCAGCCCCATTGAAATGCCGGCTTCGGGGATTTCCCAGCGGCCAGGTTTGATTTTTGGCTAGCTACATCCCACTATCATCCATATTCAATACCCAGTCGATAGCGTGAACCGTTGCCGAACAGAAAAGTGGTTTGACTATGGTTTATGGTACATATGTAGATAAAACTATATAGTTACTGGGGATTATTTCATGATATTTAAACCAACAAACATCACTGGGGAGCCCCATCCATATTCTATACCCAGTTACATAGTTCGATGACTTACCTAGATGATATCTCATGAAGAAAAAAACACTAGTCTCTGGTTTTTTAGCTGATGAAAACATGGGCCCAAAAGAAATACATATGGAGCTTTCCTAAAATAGGGGTATCCCTAGTTTTCATCCATTTCTAGATGGGATTTTCCATGAAAACTTCAAGCAAAACCATCCATTTCCCGTCGAACAAAATATACCGAAAAAAATCTGGTGATCTGCCACATCCACCAAGGCCCACTTACGGCCTTCACCAAGACCTGATACACTGCCGCGATCAAATCGCCAAATTCGTCAAAGCTTCGAGGGACGTGGGCGCCTTCGACAGAAGGGGATCATCCCACTGCGTCTCGTGGTTCGGTATCAACGAATGGTCATGAATCATGGGATAAATATGGTAAATTATATGGGCCACGGTCAATATTTGGTATATAGCTCCAAGTCATCAATTTTTGAAGAGTGAGTGCATTGTCGTTTTCCATGCCCCTGCTCAATTTTCAAAAAATAATGATGTCTCGAATACTACTCTCCATTAACCTAAATTTTGGCTGTAGCTCATATGGTAAATGATATGTTAAATGGTATATTTTTATGATTTTATATGGTAAATGATATGGAATTCTAATGGGTACAGTTGTTAATAACCATAGTTCGTACAGCCATTTAAAGATAGGAAAAAAATAAAACCAAAGCCACAAATTGGGGACTTACTGACCAGGGTTGTTGACCAACTACAAAGTGGTTGTCATACATACCAAGTGGGAGGAACACTTTTTCTGGAAGATTTTGGATGGTCACAAAAAACAAAAATGGCCAACAAATAGATGAGGAATTAAACCAACAAACACCGAGTCACTATGCTTAATTGGATCACATTTTTGTGACTCCCCCAAAATTGTGTTGAACATTTATCCGTTTGGGTTAGTCAAAGCCCCAAGAAAACAGAATGATCAATGTGGGGATGTTCATGGTTGTTTGGTATTCAGACAATGTGAGGCCCCCAAGATAGCTAAGTTGGTTTATAACTCCAATAACTATGGTTTATTGTATTTATAACTATAATTACTGGGGCTTATAAACCAACTTATATCTTGGGGGCCTCACATTGGATGTATTCAGCTATAGCCATGTGAGGTTGCAGAAGAAATCTGAACCGCGCCTACCACAAAAAGGCATCGTCCAATCCAACATCAACAGATTTGACAACCAAAACATAGTCCAAAAAGTGTAGCATCTCATCCATCCACCGAACATTCCATCTGCGAGCATGCAGTTATGTCATGTCATGTATTTATATTCTGGTAGGGTAGACTTAGATTGTATGTATATATATTTAATATATAACAAGCTCTCCAAGCTCTGGTTGAAATGACCGTCCGAAAGGCAATGTTTCAAGATTGTCCGGCAAAGTTACTCAGTCCAAAGGTTGGTTGAATTATTCCCTAAAAATGGTTATACAAAATCCCGCTGTCCTACACAAAGCACCCCTTCTGGAAGTTCTCTTCAATGTTGTCTTCTTGACCTCAATGTCGGCAAAAAACGACAAAACAAATGTCAAGGGCAGTCAGGGTGAAGAATGGGGATTGGACACTACAAAATATCTGCGTGTCATCCTTTTCAATGCTAATTTATGCTTATCTTCTCAAGTATCATTGAAAGAATGCAGAAACCCCAGAAACAACAAAAAGAAACAAACAACTTTTCAACTGCTCAAGATTCAAGTTTGTAAGCATCGCTGGAATTCCGATTTCAGTCGCTAAAAGCACTTTTTGCGGGCACATGTTCATGTCCTTTGCTCAATCGGTAGGCAGGGAGCATCATCAAAAGCTCGGTCTCTCGCAACTTGCTTCACATGTCAAGTAGTTTGAATCATCACATGCTAGCAGCTGCTAGCAGGTGTTGAACGTGAAGTCCAAGCGAAGACGTTAAGACGTTGCAACTGCCCTTAACCTGTAGAACCAATCGTGTCTTTCAATGCACATTGCTCAAATCTATACAAATATATCCCATAGGATCCATGTATGCTATATATGGTAACATGGATCCCATCAATATACCCCCAATGTTAGCATATATACCAGCACCATGGATCCTATGGGTATATATGTTGCTCCGTTCAGCTCACATAAAGGCACGGCTTTGCCGTCACCAGATTAACCAAGGCTTGTCAATGCCGGAAGGCATCAGGCACGATCATGTGCGCGAAGGGTCTCATGCGCCTTCTTTACACAGCTGTCAATTTGCGCAACATATTGCAAAATCATCACATATATAAGAAGGCGATGAAACACACTACCTGTAGAATCATGCAAAGAAACGTCCATTCTTGGGAGCAAATGCTTAAACAAATGCACCATGCTATACCCTGCTTCAAACCTCGCAAAAACAATGCACATAACAAGGCACTACGCTGACATGAACGTTCTTTTACCAAATCAGCAGATGCGAGGGTTAGGAAACAAGGCATGCCTCAAGACGACACTGTGGGACTGCCAAATCCTTGCAGTCCTTCACAGTATTTTTGGATCTATCCGAACCAAAGTTTCATCGTCCCCTGCTGGATAGGAGATAGTTAGATTGGTGCCGGGCTCAAGTTTTGTCATTGCGGAATCCTTCATGTAGGAGCCAGCAGGCCCAAACATGTACTTCTCCCCATACCACCCAGCTTTCTTGTCTGGATCGCCCTGCCAATCGTGTCCCGAAGCCACCCGTATGTGATAAAGCCCGAAGTCCAAATCGGCTCCATCCGTTTGGCAGCCTGGGTCGCAAAAAAACGTGGCAAGGGCTTCTGGTCGTTCCTCATTGCGATCTTCAAAGGCACAGACTTTGACAAAGATAGCTATGCCAGTGGACTTTTCGTGACAGTTCTTGAACCCAATCCTTGAGCTACACAGAGAACGACTTGGTTGGAGCAATACACCGGTTTTGGGCCACTCGACTGGCTCTGGCGCTACATGCCAAGCCTTGTATGGCTGAAATTGGGCACCTTCAAGCTTGCTCTTGCAACCAGCTTTGCCGTCAAACTCAAAGTCCAACCAGGTGGGCAAACCGGGAACTTTGCCATCGAACTCCCACTCCAGGACTTTCCCAACAACAAACTTTTCCTCCGCATTGATCACCTTCAATGTGTTGGTGATGATGTGTGTGGCAGTTTGTGTCTTGAACGAAACACTGTGCACAAACAAAGAAGGGTACTCTTTGTGGCGTTCCGTCTGGATATATTGACGAAGTGGAGAGATATAATCTGTGCCGGTGGAACAATCCTTCATCTCCACGAGACCTGTCTCGTCCATGACTCTCACACGAACGAAGTTCCTCTTCTTTGTGATCGTGCCAGGCCAGAAAATGTGGACACCTTCGTCTTTCCACTCAATGGATGCCTTGTCACCTTCTTTCCACTCAATGGATGCCTTGTCACCTTCTTCCCATTCCGTTTGCGGTTCTGGGTCTACTGGAATTTTGCGGAGGGCACTCTCCAACTCAATCTTCTTCTTAATCCACTCGTGGACTTTCGCCTCTGCGATCTCAAGAGCTTTACTAAGATTGCCACGGGGAGCAGTCTTAACCCATGTGGAGAAGTCATCAAAGTCCTTCGAGACGATGATGTTAAGATCCGGGTAACCACTCATTCTGAGGCAAGACACAGGGCAAACGCACTCAGGCTACTTTCAGGCTTGAGGATGGCGTGGATGCAAAGTCAGGAAGAATTCACAAAGATCGAAGACCTCGCACCTTCCTAGCGATGTCCAAAAGTCAAGCTTTGAATGCTTCTTAAACCACCACTCACTACTCAGTCACTCCTCCACCTGGTGTTGCTTGGTCTTGACCATGAAAGCGGACATCATTATCTACGGCATTCCAGGCTACCCCAATCCCAGCCAAGCACCCCGACAAAAGGCACCGTCATGAAGATGAAGAGGATGAAGCGCGAAGCAGGGAGGCGAACGGAGGAAGGAAGCAGAAAAATGGAAACATGTCGTTAAAGGTCCCAACAGTGCGAAATCATGAAACATGCCATGAAACAAGGAGGTGCATTGGCAGTCAATCACAAAAATCCCTCCAAAAATAATTCTGAAATCAAAAAAATAGGAGGGAACAAGGAAAAGGACATTACCTCGCGTAGAAAAGCTTACATATGCCCTCCTAAGACACCTTCCAGCAAAATTAGAAAAGGCAAGGATGCAGATTGGAAGATAAAATCAAAAAACTACAAGGCAACATATGGCAACATATGGCAACATATGGCAACATATGGCAACATATGGCAGATGCATGTCCCAGAACTCCCTGAACAAAAATCAACAACAAGGAACAAACATTGAACGTGAACAAAAAACCTTCACACAGTAGCAACACACCCCAGAAATCCATAGAAATCCCCTATAAATCCCTATAAATCCCGTGCCCCAGAACCCCCTCTTACTACCATTTTTTCCTCCGCCATAGGCGCCTGCTTTGGCCAAGGCCCGGTTCTTGGCGCCGGCCGTTTCCTCGTCTCCTCGCGCGCGGGCGCCCGCATGGCCGAATTGCACCTGGCGACCGAGGGGACAGTGAGGTGTGTATTGTTCGTTTCTCAAGTACACGACATCATCATCATGATGATGATGATGACGACGATGACGATGACGATGACGATGACGATGACGATGATGATGATGATGATGACGACGATGATGATGATGATGGTGATGATGATGATGATGACGATGATGATGATGATGACGATGATGATGATGACGATGATGGTGATGATGATGACGATGATTATGATGATGATGATGATAATGATGACGATGACGATGATGATGACAATGATGATGACGATGATGATGATGACGAGGATGATGACGATGACGATGACGATGACGACGATGATGATGATGACGATGACGATGACGATGATGATGACAATGACGATGATGATGATAATGATGATGATGACGATGACGACGACGATGACGATGATGATGATGATGATGACGATGACGACGATGATGGTGATGATGATGGTGATGGTGATGATGATGATGATGATGATGATGATGATGATGATGATGATGATGATGATGATGATGATAACGATGACGATGATGATGATAACGATGACGATGACGATGATAACGATGACGATGACGATGACGATGACGATGATGATGATGATGATGATGATGACGATGACGATGACGATGGCGATGGCGATGGCGATGAGGATGATGATGATGATGATGATGATGTTGATGATGATGATGATGATGGTTGTTATTATTACTATTATTTTGTAAAAACAATTTAATTAATTGTATATTATTATCATTATTCAGTGTTTATTTTTTATAGTCTTCAGTCTTCATGCTAAACCCATCGAACCCCCCCCCCAGCGCGGCGCCTCGTAGTCGAAGGCTTCCGCCGCCGTGCCGCAGCACCAGGCCACTAGCGGCTTGCTGAGGCGGCCGTCGGCCAGGGCCTCGGCCACCAGGTACTCCTCGCGACCACCGACTTCGCCCAACAGGACCATCCTGGGGAGGGCGGAGCGGCGGAGCGGCGGTGGGACCCCGGTGGTGGGACTCCGAAAAAACCGTGGGTTATGACCAGTTATAGATGGGGTTAGGACTGGTTAGGGCCTTAGAATTCCCATTTTGATGATGGTTTACCATGTCTAGAAGTGGGATGATATAAACATAATATTGCATAACTGCAACAAAATGTAGGCGCAATACGCTACGTTCAGTGGTGGAGTTGCCACCAGCTCGGCACCAAGCGTCATTTTTATGTTGGGATCGGCTTCAAAGCGCAGCAGCACGTCCAAGAAACGCACGCCCGGCCAGCGATCTCCTCCAATGGCAATGCCTCAGCGGGATCCTAAGAGGTGGTGCCCCCAGTCGAGCTCGCGCGAACCGTTGGTTTAGACAAGTGGCTGAAAAAACGATGGTTTATGGTCGATATAACGAACTAGATAACTATGGTATTCATGGGGTTTATAAACCAACTTATAACTGGTGGTTTATGATAGATATAACTTATATATGATATAACGAACTAGTTAATGGGGATTATTTCTTGGTTTATTAACCAACTTATAACTATGATGCGGATGGGTCAACGCCTACCATCTTTGGGGGAATGAACATCCATTCACCAACTATTTTGGGGTACCTAGGGTAGGGTTTTGATTTATAGCCATACATCGTGATTATATGGGATGATCTATTGAGATAATGGGATTATATGGAGATCATGTGATTACTCGGAGGGTTATCCACGGTCCTCGTAACTGGTTAGGACCATATTTTTTTCACCAAGTTATATCTGGGATTAGACCCATTGATTGAGGACTTACGACCACTAGGGGTATTCACCACTTATGATTCGTGGGATGATCCTCCAGCTGGTTTTTGCCCCATACCTTCGCTGAACAAACGCCAGGTGGCCCTCTCTGACGCCATCCGTGTTCAGAGCCACGATGTTGTTCAGCTCGTTGCTCATGCCACCAGATTTCGTGGTGTAGCCAATTGATCCTCCAGAGTGAAAGGCCCTGGAAAATGTGACCATTTTTGGTTCATCCAAGCATTCTAAACCACTGGAAATCGTCGGACTTAAGCTACATTCTCCATAGATTCTCATAGATTCTCAAAGATTTCATAGATTCTCATATAGATTCTCATAGATTTCATAGATTCTCATAGATTCCCAAAGATTTCATAGATTTCATAGATTATAATATAGATTTTCATAGGTTTCAATAGGTTCTCATAGGTTCTCCAAAGATTCTCATAGATTTCATAAATTTCACAGATTATCATATAAATTCTCATAGATTTAGTAAATTTCATTGATTTCATAGATTCTCATATAGAGTCTCATAGATTCTCATATAGAGTCTCATAGATTCTCAAAGATTTCATAGATTCTCATATAGATTCTCATATAGATTCTCATATAGATTCTCATAGATGTTCATAGATTCTCATAGTTTTAAATGGGTTCTCATAGATTCTCCATAGATTCTCATAGATTTCATAAATTTCATAGATTTCATAGATTATCATATAGATTTTCATAGGTTTCAATAGGTTCTCATCGGTTCTCCATAGATTCTCATAGATTTCATAGATTTTATAGATTATCATATAGATTCTCATAGATTTCAATAGGTTCTTATCGATTCTCCATAGATTCTCATAGATTTCATAAATTTCATAGATTTCACAGATTATCATATAGATTCTCATAGATGTTCATAGATTTTCAGGGACATGTTAGCTACTGGGGAGTTGCGAATCAAGTTGGTCCTGGGCGATACAGCTTGGCCAAGAGCAAGTTCCTTAGCCGCAAAACGTCGTCTGACTGGATGTCCTGAAAACATTTGGGGCTTAGATAGTGGTGCCCCAGTTCGTTAGCGTAGCTAAGTTGGTGAACATAACTACACTAAGTAGGACTTATAGTAGATATTTCACGAACTAGTTGATGGGGTTATAAACCAACGTTCACATCACTGGGGGGTACCACATTGTAGAATGACATCATGTGACATCTGAGGTTTTGTGCAACACCATGGCAAAAAACAGTAGGATTGTCAGAGATTTTTCATGGCGACACTGGTGGGATTTTTTGGACCTTTTTCACCACCAAGGTCAATTGATCAGCAAAGGTGAGAGATGAGGCACAAAGGCGATTCCCAGGGATACTCAGATCCCACATGATTCACATGGTCCGTGAAAATGAAAAAAGTACATTGGGGATCGGCGAAAATGGGGGTGCAACATCTCAATACCGCATCTTTTGGATAAGTTCATTTTCATTCATATTCCATATATATATATGTATACACATATAAATATATATATATATATTTATATGTGTATACATATGTATGTATATATATACATATAATGTACACCCATGATATTATTCCATTGCGGTATGCACTTTACCCAGGTTTTGTCACGTACATCATGAAGCATCATTTTTTTCTTGCTTTGTCCCCAAGAAACTTGCTCACCGGATCATCATCCCTCCCGATGGAAAATCTTGGAATCATAATAAACCATAACAATCCATCTTTGATAACAATCATAATAAACCATCCCAGAATCATAATAAATCAAATATATCTACAATTGGTATAACAATCCCTGTTTGATACCATGTTGATTTGAAAGAAAAAACATGTTTCATGTCGTGAAAAACATCTGTTGGACTGTTGGAGACGGACCACCTACAGGCGGGGGAAAAATTGTTATGTTTGTTGGCTTTTAAATCATGAAATAAACCCCATTAACTTTCCATTAACTATACTTATCTATAATTATATCTACCATAAACAATAGAATTCAGATACTTATCTATAGTTATATCTACCATAAACCATAGAATTCAGCCACATTTTCTGTTCGGCAACGGTTCACGCTATCCAACGGGGGCCCCATCCAACGTAAAGTATTCATATTTATACCCTCTGGTAAACTTTCACATAAATATGGAAAATCACCATGTTCTAGCTGGGTAAATCCACTATTTCTATGGTCATTTTCCAGTTCGCAAACTGTTAGTCATTACCAGAGGGTAAACATCCATAATTCACCATATATTTCCTATATTTTTCCAATAAATCACCATAATTCACCATAGATCTCCCATATTTTCTCGAAAAATCATCCAACTAAATGGCCCCATCCAACGTAAACCTTGATCTGCGGATGTGCGGATCGGCGTCTCCAGGGCCCCTCCAGCGTTGCCGATGCGAAAGCGGCCCGGCATCATGCCGCCCACGGTGGCGGGGCCGATGATGCCCACCGCCTTCTTGGCTGCCTCCTGAGATGACCCTGGGAAAACCATAGGAAAATCATAGGAAAACCATAGGACAACTTGGAAAATCATAGATAGGAAAAATTAGAAAACCCATAGAAAAATCATAGGAAAATGGTGACTTCACCAAGAAACATGGGGGTTTTTGCTGGAAGTTGTTAAACTGTGGATGGACAAGCTATCCTGCACCAGGCAGGGTAGCTATGGGTAACCATGAAACACTGCAAATCATGAGATTATCATGGGATAAACTGCCCATCTACCAACTGGTACAGGATTTCTCAACCATCCATAGTAGATACCATGGATTTTCCAAGAATATTCATGGTACTATTGTACCAAGAAACATGAGGATTTTCCAAATTGATGAGGCCGCCAAGTTGGTTTAGCTCACTGATATTTCCCTATGGTTTTTCTGGTCAAACCATTGTTTCTTTTTAGCTAAATCCCTACTTGAAATGGTCAAAATCAGATTTGTTCGGGTTATATCACCATTTTCCCCGGTTCAATCACCATGTTCCCTGGTCAAATCACAATTTTCCCTCGTTAAAATCCTGATTTTACCAGGTTTCTGGCTGTTTTACTCCCCAAAAAAAGGGGGTCATCTCCCCATCGCACTTTCGATGCCGGGCGCTCGAACTGCCAGCGAGGTGCATGGTGCAAGCGTCGCGTCAGGGCTTCGGGGACACCTTCGGCAATGATGGCCTGACGTGGGGGTTTTCTGCCGATTCAAATTCCATGGGGATTCATATGGGTTTACATAATACGGTTTACTAATAGGGGGTTAAACTCGGTTAAACTGTTAAACAAGAAAAATGGAGGTTTAGTGAGATGTCAATGGGATTTTGAATGGGACTTTAATATACTTTAATGGGGTTTAAAAGGGAATTCAACAAGAGCAATAGGGACAATGAGAGTATGAAACCAGCAGCAGGGGGGACATACTTGGAGGTGCTTTGATGGGTGACTTTGATGGAGATAAGTATGGTAAGTTCACCCCCTTAAGCTTGGAAATATGTAGAGAAGAGATTGACCTTTGACTTTCTTTGCATGTCACAGTCACAGCACTCACAGGGCCCTCCCCTACTTATTCTGCCTTATTTTTAGACCAGCGATGGTGGAATATCCTAACTATTATCCTGTTTTGTTCTTCATTCACATGACAGTTCAAATTGGATTGACTTGGTCATGATTGACACCTGGGCCATCATGACTATTTGGTGCGGAGCATGCAACAGGAAACACATCAAACCAGCCCAATTGTCGTTTTCATTTTTCACCTCAAGGCAAACTGTCGATTTTTGCGGCGTGCAAACTCACATCACATATATCAAGTCACATGAGTGTCTTTGAGAGCGGCGATCGCTGACCGCAGCTGTTGACTTGACTAGTGAAAGCTGAAAACAACTACTCTCTGGTAAACTAACATAGCTATGAAAAATTGCCATTTATGGTTGATTTACAAATCAGAAATAGTGATTTTCCATAGTTTTCTGTATGTTTACCAGCCATTTATAGTGGATTTACCTATTATAAACGATGATTTTCCATAGCAAATTGTTAGTTTACCAGAGGGTAAATGCTAAAATCTCTCTGCGCCCTCTAGGCTCGCATGTTTCCGCAAACATCCGTCCAAGTGTTCCGTCTTGGCGTTCGAGAGGACTCTGTCTATCGGAGGGAACACATGACATCAAGAGGGCGGCCGCAGCATCAGGCAACCATAGTTGGATAACCCCCAAATCATCAACCAACTATGGTTGGCATCATTAACCAAATATTCACCAATCATATTCCCGTATGATTGCCAAAAAAAAATATCCGAAAAAAAACCTCCCAGAGATTGAAGCGGTTGAAGCCATGGAAAATCATGTTTTGTTTTTTAGCAGTCGCTTGCAAATGATCAATGGTATCCCCATATGTTTCATAGGTGCCAATAATATTCATGGTATACCACCCATAATATGAGACATATCCCATTAATGGTTATGGATTTCCTAATAATTATTGAAAAATATGAGACATTGTGAGACATATCCCAATAACCATTGAAATTCCAATAAATTGATGGTTAAAGTCCATTTAAATCCCATGAACACCATTTAACACCAACATTTGAACAACATCACCAGCTGAAAGACACATGTGATAACAAATAATATCCATACATGAAAGGTGAGGCCTCCCCCAGTTATGTTTGTTGGTTTATAAATGCCATGAATGCTATACTTGTATTATCCACAAACCCACACATTCACCAAGTGATATGTAAGTCAACTTAGCTCTCAACTTAAGGGGGCTTCGCCTTGCAGATTTACCAAACCAAAGTCAGGGTCAAGTATCGGCCCCATATCCCAACTTATGGGAATTATCTCAATAGTTATTTCTATTAACAATCAATATCTATATCCTTGCAATTGTTTATGATAGCTAAGTTGGGTGAACATCACAAACTTAAACCTCACATTTCTTGGAGGACCCATATATGACAAGTTATACATATAGTATAAAGCATATAATATATAATATATAAAAAATATAAGATATAATATGTAATATAAAATATGCAATATACAATATACAATATATATATAATGCATAATATATAAAAATTATGTATTTTACATTCTTATACTATACTTAATATACATATTATATATAAAGATATCATAAGCAGTACTTCCCATCAACCGAATCTCTTCCATCGTTGCAGATCTCCGTTCCTGCGCGGCCTGTGTTTTGATCACCTCTGAGAACTCCAAGGCCTCCATGATCGAGTCGAAGACGGAGCGGAACGATGCGAAGTTCACCAACATCTTGGGCGCCTAATCAATGGCCATTTCAGGATCCTAAATGGGGGGTACCTACCATATATAAGGCCCAAATTTCAGGGAATGTCCCCAGAAAATATGGCCAAAAATATGGTACAGTACCTCCATTTTAGGATCCTGAAATTTCCATTGACCTAAGGCGCGACGACGGGCGTTTTACGTTTGTGGTGGAAAAAGGAGTTGGCATGTCATGGCTATAAACATATATACTGGGGTTTCCTAAAAGTCATGATCAAATGCGAGTACACCAAAATGGATGATTTATAATGGAAAATCGACTAAAATGGACGATTTGGAGGTAACCCCATTTCAGGAAACCTCTACATATATGATGTATAATATGAATGTGTGTGTAGATGTGGAATCAACATGAGTCAACCAAGATGACGGTTGAATCAACCAAGATTGCTCAAGCAAAGGCATAAGTACAAGTGTATCACCAACTAAACTATACTGAAAAGACGCTATGATCAACCGTTGAATGTATCAGACTGGGCTAGTTTACAAACGGGTTGCTGGACTTGGACAAACAAAAAGCTAAGTACAAATAACAACCAAACCTAAAAAAGTTTATGGTGATCAACAGTGATTAATAGTGGTTAATAGTGGTTAATAGTGATTAATAGTGGTTTATAGTGATTAATAGTGGTTTATAGTACAAAATCACAGTTTCTTCACCGGGCAACAGGACCTGAGGATTGGATTTGGAGTCAGCGCTCTAGTTGCAGGCACAGTCCATGTATGCGAAAGGTGATATGGCACATATATGCACAAGGGTAAACGTCTACCGAAGCATTCATATAATGTGAAATATCTATGAAAATATATACCTATGAACATGCAATTTGTTTATATATGAACAAATGTACCCAGGCATTCATATACTAAATAGGCTCTATAGGACTAGTATGGATTGACAAAGCTCGGCAAAGTGAAGGGATGATGTTGGTGAACATGAAATCTACCTATAGCGATATAACCAAAAGGTAGTTCAAAATGATTAATATTGGGTTATGTTATATAGCATATGAAATGATTAATATGATTAATTCAGAAATTATAAAAATAATATTATGGTTATTATAATATGGTTGAAATGATTAATGTGATTAATGTTATCTAAACATTGTTTTTTCTAAAAAACATCATCGATAAAAAATTCTGCATTATATTATACATTAATCCTTTTCAAGAGGATTTCCTGACATGGGGGTACCCCGAAAAAAATCATCCCATTTATAGATGGATTTTCCTTAACCTGAACCATCCAGCTATTGGGTATCCCCATGGCTATGGAAACCCCCTTACAGGATAGGGCCCCCAGTCGATAGCGTGAACCGTTGGTTTATAAGTGGCTTAACAATGGTTTATGGTGGATATAACTATAGTTATAGCGTTCAGTTGGTTTATAAGTGGCTTAACACTGGTTTATGGTAGCTGGTAGATATTTCACACTAGTTAATGGGGATTATTTCAGGGTTTATAAACCAACTAACATCACTGTGGGGCCCCATCCTGTACCAAAACAGGCGCAGCAGTGCCTTGCCATGTCGTTCAACTGCGTCGCGAAGAGACGTGTAGACCTCAGTCACAAAAGAGCCGGTCGACTGCCCCGTCGAAAACTACGCGTGAAACGGCTTGGGGATGGATACAAGATGAATAATATATATATATATATGTGACACAGTAAAATCAATATGCTTTAAAACTAACGAAAAAATACACTATAATGGTAAATTACAATATAATATGATATAGTGTAATATGATATGATATAATCAAAATAAAATATAATAATACATAGAATATAGAGTACAGCCAGTACAGTCTCTAATATGATGTGGCCATGGTGAAGAGACCATGACATGATAACGTTGCTAGGTGTGGAGGGGATGACCAATGAAACAAACAAATCCTACAATGTGAGGCCCCCAAGATAGCTAAGTTGGTGCACATAACTCCAATATCTATGGTCTATGGTACTTATAACTGTAGTATTCATGGGGTTTATAAACCAACTTATAACTGGGGGGGCCTCACATTGTACAAAAACTAGACATCACCAAAATAACATTAAACATAACCAAAACAACATTAAAATACACAAGTCTAGCATAGTCAACGGCTAAAGACAAACAAATACCTGCCTGTGATTCAACATAGCTATGGAAAATTGACAGTTTAGTTTGATGATTTACCTATGAAACAAAAATAGTACATGGTGATTTTTGCGTAGCAAACTGTTGAATTACCAGCAGGTACTTGAAAAAATGTCCCATCCTATCTCCATCATACCACCATTCCCTTTTGGTTAAATCCCGATTAAAGTCAACAAATTCCCATTGTTGATAGTTAAATCTTATTAAACTTCCATCCTAACCCATTACATCCAAATTAATTCCAATAAAATCCCACTAAATCCCCATGAAAATCTGATCAAATCCCACTAAATCCATCTAAATCCATCTAAATCACCTATTGAATCCCATGAAAGTCCCCCTAAATCCCCATGAACATCCCATTTTTCGTGTAGGCACGGGGATCAGCACGTCGCTGGAGCCGAAGAGGAACTTGGCGAAGGTCGCCTCCCCCGTGGGGTTCACCACGGCGGCGACGCTGGGCGTCGTGCGGCCGCACAAGGTGTCGAAGTCTAACATCCTGCGGTGGGACGATGTGGGATGACTGGGGTGATGTGTGGGATGACTATAAATGGCCATTTTTAATTACAAAAAACCATAGGAAAACCATAGGAAAATGATGGTTTAATGGGATTTAATGGGATTTAATGGGATTTAATGGGATTTAATAGGATTGATTTACTCAATGGATTGGTTTAAGGGAAAATCTACAGGAAACCAGGGTTTTACCATCAAATTCTGAGGGCTTTCCTTTAAATTTTCCCATCATCCAATTCTATGATTATTTGAATTATTATGGGATGATGTCGAGGATTTACCCTCTGGTAAACTTTCACATAGCTATGGAAAATCACTATACATGACACTTTTTAAAGGGAAAACTCACTATAAATGGCAAGTTTCATAGGTAAACCATAGGAAAACCATAGGAAAATGGTGGTTTAATGGGATTTAATGGGATATGTAATGGCACTTATTTAATAGGATGTTATGGCTTGGTTGGTACCAATAGCTATGGAATATAGTGGTTTATTGGGATTTAATGGGATATATAATGGGATATAATGGGATATATAATGGAAGTGTAATGGGAAAATCTATACCGCTGGTAAACTAATATAGCTATGGAAAATCACAATCTTTAATGGGAAAATTCACTATTTCTATGGCCATTTTCAAGAGCTATGTTAAATTACCACAGGGTATTTAGGATCTGGTTGGTGGTTTTAACCATCTTGAAAAATATGAAAGTAAGTTGGGAAGGATTATTCCCATATATGATGGAAAATAAAAAATGTTTGAAACCACCAACCAGGGATCTGTTTGGGATAGGCTTGAGATGTTCAAGGGATAAACTGATGGGATTTTCATGGACTTTAATGGAATCTGATGGGATTTTAATGGGATTAGATTGGGATTTTAATGAACTTTGATGGGTTTAATGAGAAAATTCATGAAATTTTCATGGGAATCGAATGGGATGTTCATGGGAGTTCACAATGTTTTTTTTCGTGAGATTTAATGAGATCATAATGACATTTCTATAACTCACCAACTGATTTTGTGGAGCCGTCCGATAGTGACATGGCAATATGGCAACATCATGGAAATATCATGGGAATATGAATGGAACAGTAATAGGAATATTAATAGGAAATCCCATGATATATATATATATATATATATACACATGTATATATATATATATATTCCCATGATATTCCCATGATCATTATGGAATGGACAAGAAATTATATTAATTCCTACTAGAAACACCCTATTAATGACTCATCCAACATCCTGCAATCATGGTTCAAGTGTGGGGAGATGATCTAAATCGAAAAAAAACATGGTGATTTCTCGAAAATATCAATGTGTATCAGTTGGTTGAAAAAACCCTTTGAATACTATCGTTATATCCCCTTTTTTAACCCTATAGTGAACCAGTTAAGCGTCCTTTTTAGGAAAATACATGGCCCGGCTTGGCTGTTTTTTAATCTACCTATTGGTTGTTTTTTTTTATCTACCTATTGGTTGTTGAATGGAGGGAACCTTCTACTGAACATTCACCACCCGCGTCCCAAAAAATTGAAAGCCACTTGGGGATCATCATCACAGACACAAACATGAAACGTAACTGAAGCTATGAAAAATGGATAGAACATGGAGGATATAAGTGATTGAAACCGGAACAATGATAAAAATGTATCAACAACCAACTCGACCAGGACTTGAAAGGAGGATCCACTTCAAGACTGCACGTGGGTCAAATTTTCAGAATTCGCACTGCCCATCTGTCATCAAACATGGGTTGGAAAATCCGGAACTATGGCTGGAGGTTTCGTTCGCTGGTAAAATCATGGACCAAAGTGGTGGATTTACAGCCAGCCACCTTACCGGAGGCTACTCAACACGTTTGAAAGGTGCGCAAGGGCAAAACGGCAGCCAACCAGTCCTCTGCACTGCCTTTTCTTGCATTCCGTAGACCTTTGCTGCAAGACTCAAGAATCAAAACTTTGGGACTTTGGAACATGATGAATCTTTCCTACATTCAAAGATGGTCTATCCATATGTAAATATATGTAAAAAAATACGTATATTTATATATATATAACATAATTTTCCAATGGAATGGATCCGTCATGGGATATATACAACATGATTTGATCAATCCAAATGGGAAATTGATGTCACTTCACTGCCCTGGTTTTTTCTCCGGGCCTTCCGGTGTGATGGAGCTCCCGTCTGAAGTTTTCAGATTCACATAGATTACCATTTGGGGGTTCCACTTGGCTTTTTGTTGAGCCTTGGTTCCCCCAACGAATAACAAGAATAAGAATAATAAAACCTGAGCCTGAACCAGGGAGCAGCCAGAGTTGGGACGCAATCAGCACTAGTTCAGGATTTTGTTTGGCACGATGGGGATTTAAGAAGCTATTTAAAGGACAAGAGACAGGGTTGCTTCCAAGACTCCAAATACTAGCAGGATGGTAATTTTTGTAGGTAAATGAAAAAAAACTCAACCATTTTCCCTCCTGGTGCCTGCAGTATTGTTTACCTATAGTAGATTGGAGCAACCCTCATCAATCAAGGGGCATCTATTCACGACTTCAACATTCTCCAAGGAACGAAAGCTTGTGTTTCGACGGAAAATTCCATCAAAGGCTGACTTTCTCCTCGCAGTTTTTTCTGTGGATGATCACCATCCGGCTTCACCTGCCACGGATAGGTTGATGAAGGGAATGTTTGCTGGAAACCAGAGGGTAAAAGTACCACAAAATGCGGAGGTGTAATCTGTAACCTGTTATACAAAAATGACCCTCGGTCTATCCAAATGTTTTTTGGCAAAATCTACTGAATTCCATTTGGTTTTCTTGGCAAAACATCAATAAACATCATGTTGCATGTTCAATTTTCTCATGTTCACTTCATCCTCCCCCTCACCACTCTGAAAACTCACCGCTCGTTCGCTCCCAGATTGGCACCGCTGGAATCTTCACGTTGGGTTCGGCGAGAGGTTTGAGTCCACCGGCCGCGCTGGTTGTCAAAGCATCGCGGACAATGGAGGTCAAATGGGCCTGGGCAACGGATGACCATTTGATGCACAGCGCAGCTCGGTTTGGCTTGGTAAATATAGGAAAGCCATAGGAACATAATGGGAAAATGCACTATAAACGGAGGTTTAATGGAGGTAAACCAACAATGTGTTGAAGATTTCTTAAGTCATGGATCCCCAGTCGTCACCATGGCTTTACCAGTCGTCACGGTCATGACTGGATGACTTGGGGTGAAGGGGGGTTCCATTTGGGCAACCTCCATATACTTGTTTGGTCGGTGGTTTACCTACCCCAGTGATTTATAGTGGTTTATAGATCTTTATAGTGGTTTACAAGTGGTTCATAGTGGTTGATAATGGTTAACTGGTTGCTGGCATACCTACCCCTCTGAAAAATATGATTTCGTCAGTTGGGATGGTGACATTCCCAACTGAATGGAAAAATAAAAGTCATGTTCCAAACCACCAATCACTTATAAATCTCATAATGGGTCCGGCTGGTCAACCTCGATGAAAAATATTTGAAATACCAGTATGGTGACCAGTTTTTTGATCAATAGATATTGACTACCAGTATGGTGACCAGTTTTTTGAATCCAGTACTACTGTGGATCTTTGCGAAACCCTGCATCACCTTGTATGATTGAAACCCTATAATTATTGGTATAAACCACTTATCAACTGGAGATTCGGATTTCGCAACCATCCACATGCAGTTAAACAACTTCCAGCAAAAAAACCCATGTTTCTTGGTGAAATCACCATTTTCCTATGGTTTTCTATGGTTTCAAACCAGGATCAATCTCATGGTGGTCCAACAAATGGTTTCAAAAAATCGTAAAAATCCGCCTGGGGATGAGCTAAGACAGTACTTGTTAGTCACCAGTCGGTTTCCCTGGTGAACATAATTCCAATAAGTAGGGTTTATGTTAGTTATAGCAATGTTTATGTATATGTCATATATATATATATACACAATAAAATATATATATATATATTATATATTTATATTTAGCTGCAGTAAATAGGATGTATAAACTACAGTCCAAGCACTGTATAAGAATTCCTTGTATAAGAAAATGAGGGGCTGGTTTTTTTTGCCGCATATATGTTTCATGGAATATAAATGCAAATGGAAGGTAAGAAAGTAAAGGACCCTGGTATTTTTAGGGCTAAAAAAAATAGATGTATGTGAAGGAGCCCCTTTGCGCCCCTGCTCAATTCTCTTAACCATGAATTGGCTGTAGAGGAGACGTCACAGGGTAAAGATTCAACTCAATACATAACTAAGAAATCCAGTCCCTCAATTTCTTAATCATGTAAGGGTTGGTAAGAGCTTTCTGCAGAGGAGACTGGGTAACTGCTCCTTTGCGCCCAGGAGCCACTGGGAAGTGGCGCAAGGATGGCGGAGTCAAACTCACGAAAGGAGCTGCGCAGAGGCAACCCCGCTCTTACATCTTCAAATCTGACTGCTTGTGAAATACTACATTAAGAAATTGCTAAGAAATTGAGGGACCCTCGGCCGAATAATTGTACATATACACTGACATACATGGGGCCTTTCCGATAAGAAATTGAGGGACCCTGGCCATCGGCAACCAACATTCTTATATAACGCTCGCGCTGTAATCTATACTGTAACTGTCCACCTTCGTGTTTTACTTTTGTCTTCACTCTGCTGGCTCAATCTCAACTTGATCGCCATGAACATTCTGCAAACAAATGATATATTTTGGTAAATGGCAAAAACACTGTTCATTTATATAATGGGTCAAAATTGCTGAACTACTTACTACAAGTTTAAGTTTGCTATACCTCATCCAACTTCTCAACTGCCGATGTCTATTTCAGAGAAAACAACACAACAAAATGCTCATAGATCAGCGGTGAACACATTTCTTTGACTACCCTCTCATCAAACATGGTTTGCTGAAAAATCCACCATTGAGTTCGATGATGTTACCATTGAAATGCCCATGAACCATCATTTACCCATCTACTTGGGGGGTTCCATGGGTTTCCCAGCTTGCCATGGGTTTCAGGACCGACAACCGACGACCGACCTCCCCTGCCACCCCACCTCCGGACCATAGACCCTTGCAGGAAGGCCCATTTCCTCCGATCTGCGAAGCGGCAAAGCACACAAATGGTCACTGACTATCAATGTTTTACTACAAGATGGTGCACACAAAAAATAGCTAAGTTGGTTTATAACTTAGAGAAGCAGTAGCAGGGTCTATGGCATAGTCTACGGATACATATATATATATGTATATGTATATATGTATATGTATATATATATATATGTATATATATATATATGTATATAATCCCCCGTGATTGATACCCAGTATGTTTTGCAGAGCATTTTGTATACTTTCCAGACTACTAAATGCTCTGCAAAACATAAATTGCTGAAATGCATCGGTTTCAGAGGTCATTCTGTCCTACAAAAGGTATATCAACAATATATCAACCAGCGTTTGTTGTCCCGTGTTTGGGGAGGGTTGTTTGGGCAAATTTACGGGCGATGTCCCCAGCCATTATAGTGCCCGTAAATGATACCCTTAGGTCTATCCCCCTAATATACCATCAAAGGGAGATGTGCTTTATAGTTGCTAGGCACTGAGCGGTTCGCTCCCTCCCAATGGTGGTTTTAATATCCCCCTAAATTATTAAAGTTTATAATTATACGATTAAATTATTACAACTCCCTGTCGATGCTGCCAGTCTGAGTATTTGCTACTATGATGTCCAATGCTTTGCATGGCTCCCGTCACTACAATGCTTTGCTGGTTTGGACCATGGCTGCACGGCACAGCAGGATGGGAGAGAAGCTCCCACACAATGAAGGACCCGGGCAAATGCCTATATTTCAAAAACCTATACAGCGGGTAAAGCCACAGGAATATGCCAGGTTAACATAGTGGATGCATCCCATGAACCAGGTGTGCCTATGCGAATTGCCAAACAAATGCATCAATAAGTTAAAATCCTAGGATGTCCTAAGTGATGCCCATGTGGGCCTTTCCGCAAGGCACACCGCCATCTGGCACAAGATTTTGTAAACGGCAATTGTTACAACCTGGCCCCAGTAATATTCCAAAATATTTCATAACCACCCATACAAACCCAAAATCATCACTAATCATCCATAGACATCCATAGACATCAATCATCATCAAATCATCAATAAACATCATTAAACATCATCAAACATCATTAAACATCATTAAACATCATTAAACACCAAAAAAACTCCATGAATAACATTGGATAAGCATCCCAAATGCATCCACTATCATCCATGTAACACCCAAAAACCATCATCGTCTCCACCCTTTGCCTGAAGCTTCCGGAACATCTGTGCTTGTCTTCGAAGGCTGTTCTGGGCCTGGCCGCTGGTTATGCTCTGCAAAAGGGAAAGGGAAACTCACTCGCACATACCAGGGAGAAGGGACACAGGTGCCTACAGAGCCTACCTACAAAATGCACCCTCCAACTAATACCTTGGGAATTTCCTTGGCCAAGAAAAGTTTTTGTGAAGGAAGAACTTGTAGCCACTATTTACAGTACATCATTATACATCCATAGTCATGTTTTAAATATCTATATCATTCATGATCATTCTGTTTCTAAGATATTGTAAATATATGCAAATAAATGTATATAAATAGATCATAATAGATCTAAAATATTAAAAATCACCTATAATATTCCATAATCACCCATACAAACCCAAAATCATTAATTATCCATAGTCATCAATAACCATCAATAAACAAGAATAAAATAGAATAGCCATGAAAAACCATCTAAAATACATCCACTATCGTACATGTATACCCATAAACCACTATCGTCATCTATCATCTCCATCCTTTGCCTGAAGCTTCTGGAGCATCTGGGCTTGTCTTCGAAAGCTGTTCTGGGCCTGGCCGCTGGTTATGCTCAGCGAAAGGGCAAGGGAAACTCACTGGCACATACCAAGGAGAGGGACAATCCAAATTGCATCATCTCCATACCCCATCACATCCCATCACATCCACACCATACCCCATCCCATCATATCCCATCTGTGCTGTGTTCTTGCCTGCATGCTGGGATTGGACATCCTCTGGAGGACTCTTGCCTGGCTGCAGAAGAACACCAACAATTTCATTCCCAGGCCAAGGTGTATAAAGCCAGGTGCCTACAAACCCTACCTACAAAATGCGCCTCCAACTAATCCCTTGGGAATTTCCTTGACCAAGAAAAGTTTTTGTGAAGGACGAACTTTGTAGCCACATGTGGCCACCATTTAAATCATTTTACATCCATGTCCATAATCATCTAAACATATCTAAAGCATTCTAAAACCACAAAAAAATATCTACAGCATTCTACAGCAAATAACTCAAACATATTTTAAAACATCTAAAAAATGAAAATCACATAAAATCACCTATTAATATTCCAAAATATTTCATAACCACCCATACAAACCCAAAATCATCACTAATCATCCATAGACATCCATAGACATCAATAATCATCAATAAACATCAATAAACATCATTAAACATCATTAAACATCATTAAACACCAAAAAAACTCCATGAATAACATTGGATAAGCATCCCAAATGCATCCACTATCATCCATGTAACACCCAAAAACCATCATCGTCTCCACCCTTTGCCTGAAGCTTCCGGAACATCTGTGCTTGTCTTCGAAGGCTGTTCTGGGCCTGGCCGCTGGTTATGCTCTGCAAAAGGGAAAGGGAAACTCACTCGCACATACCAGGGAGAAGGGACACAGGTGCCTACAGAGCCTACCTACAAAATGCACCCTCCAACTAATACCTTGGGAATTTCCTTGACCAAGAAAAGTTTTTGTGAAGGAAGAACTTGTAGCCACTATTTACAGTACATCATTATACATCCATAGTCATGTTTTAAATATCTATATCATTCATGATCATTCTGTTTCTAAGATATTGTAAATATATGCAAATAAATGTATATAAATAGATCATAATAGATCTAAAATATTAAAAATCACCTATAATATTCCATAATCACCCATACAAACCCAAAATCATTAATTATCCATAGTCATCAATAACCATCAATAAACAAGAATAAAATAGAATAGCCATGAAAAACCATCTAAAATACATCCACTATCGTACATGTATACCCATAAACCACTATCATCATCTATCATCTCCATCCTTTGCCTGAAGCTTCTGGAGCATCTGGGCTTGTCTTCGAAAGCTGTTCTGGGCCTGGCCGCTGGTTATGCTCAGCGAAAGGGCAAGGGAAACTCACTGGCACATACCAAGGAGAGGGACAATCCAAATTGCATCATCTCCATACCCCATCACATCCCATCACATCCACACCATACCCCATCCCATCATATCCCATCTGTGCTGTGTTCTTGCCTGCATGCTGGGATTGGACATCCTCTGGAGGACTCTTGCCTGGCTGCAGAAGAACACCAACAATTTCATTCCCAGGCCAAGGTGTATAAAGCCAGGTGCCTACAAACCCTACCTACAAAATGCGCCCTCCAACTAATCCCTTGGGAATTTCCTTGGCCAAGAAAAGTTTTTGTGAAGGACGAACTTTGTAGCCACATGTGGCCACCATTTAAATCATTTTACATCCACGTCCATAATCATCTAAACATATCTAAAGCATTCTAAAACCACAAAAAAATATCTACAGCATTCTACAGCAAATAACTCAAACACATTCTAAAACATCTAAAAAATGAAAATCACCTATTAATATTCCAAAATATTTCATAACCACCCATACAAACCCAAAATCATCACTAATCATCCATAGACATCCATAGACATCCATAGACATCAATAATCATCAATAAACATCAATAAACATCATTAAACATCATTAAACATCATTAAACACCAAAAAAACTCCATGAATAACATTGGATAAGCATCCCAAATGCATCCACTATCATCCATGTAACACCCAAAAACCATCATCGTCTCCACCCTTTGCCTGAAGCTTCCGGAACATCTGTGCTTGTCTTCGAAGGCTGTTCTGGGCCTGGCCGCTGGTTATGCTCTGCAAAAGGGAAAGGGAAACTCACTCGCACACACCAGGGAGAAGGGACACAGGTGCCTACAGAGCCTACCTACAAAATGCACCCTCCAACTAATACCTTGGGAATTTCCTTGACCAAGAAAAGTTTTTGTGAAGGAAGAACTTGTAGCCACTATTTACAGTACATCATTATACATCCATAATCATGTTTTAAATATCTATATCATTCATGATCATTCTGTTTCTAAGATATTGTAAATATATGCAAATAAATGTATATAAATAGATCATAATAGATCTAAAATATTAAAAATCACCTATAATATTCCATAATCACCCATACAAACCCAAAATCATTAATTATCCATAGTCATCAATAACCATCAATAAACAAGAACAAAATAGAATAGCCATGAAAAACCATCTAAAATACATCCACTATCGTACATGTATACCCATAAACCACTATCATCATCTATCATCTCCATCCTTTGCCTGAAGCTTCTGGAGCATCTGGGCTTGTCTTCGAAAGCTGTTCTGGGCCTGGCCGCTGGTTATGCTCAGCGAAAGGGCAAGGGAAACTCACTGGCACATACCAAGGAGAGGGACAATCCAAATTGCATCATCTCCATACCCCATCACATCCCATCACATCCACACCATACCCCATCCCATCATATCCCATCTGTGCTGTGTTCTTGCCTGCATGCTGGGATTGGACATCCTCTGGAGGACTCTTGCCTGGCTGCAGAAGAACACCAACAATTTCATTCCCAGGCCAAGGTGTATAAAGCCAAGTGCCTGCAGAGCCTACCTACAAAATGCACCCTCCAACTAATACCTTGGGAATTTCCTTGACCAAGAAAAGTTCTTGTGAAGGAAGAACTTTGTAGCCACATTTAGCCACTATTTACATCATTAATCATCATTAATATTGCTTAGTCATCATTATTCAACCATAATCATCTTATATCATCTTTAAAAATATCTAAATATATATATATATATCATAATTTAATATCATCTGATATATTCATATATATTCTACTATAATCATCTATAAACGATAATATTCGTGAATATTCCATAATCTTCATTAATCATACATATATACATCATTATACATCATTCTACATCATTATACATCCAAAAACATTCAAAAACATCCAAAAACATCCAAAAACCACCATCATCTCCATCCTTTGCCTGAAGCCTTTGGAGCATCTAGGCTTGGCGAGGACTTGCCCGGGCCTGGACGCTGGCACATACAGGGAGAAAGGGGACACAGGTGCCTACAAACCCTACCTACAAAATGCGCCCTCCAACGAATACCTTGGGAATTTCCTTGACCAAGAAAAGTTTTTGTGAAGGAAGAACTTTGTAGCCACATGTGGCCACCATTTAAATCATTTTACATCCATGTCCGTAATCATCTAAACATATCTAAAAGATTCTAAAACCACAAAAAAATATCTACAGCATTCTACAGCAAATAATTCAAACATATTCTAAAACATCTAAAAAATGAAAATCACCTATTAATATTCCAAAATATTTCATAACCACCCATACAAACCCAAAATCATCACTAATCATCCATAGAGATCCATAGACATCCATAGACATCCATAGACATCAATCATCATCAATAAACATCAATAAACATCATTAAACATCATTAAACATCATTAAACATCATTAAACATCATCAAACATCATTAAACACCAAAAAAACTCCATGAATAACATTGGATAAGCATCCCAAATGCGTCCACTATCATCCATGTAACACCCAAAAACCATCATCGTCTCCACCCTTTGCCTGAAGCTTCCGGAACATCTGTGCTTGTCTTCGAAGGCTGTTCTGGGCCTGGCCGCTGGTTATGCTCTGCAAAAGGGAAAGGGAAACTCACTCGCACATACCAGGGAGAAGGGACACAGGTGCCTACAGAGCCTACCTACAAAATGCACCCTCCAACTAATACCTTGGGAATTTCCTTGACCAAGAAAAGTTTCTGTGAAGGAAGAACTTTGTAGCCATAAGTTCCGAAGAGAATATCCCCTATATATCCCTTTATATCCCAATGCAATCCAATTTTATAGCATATATATTGATATATCTAAATATATTTAAATAATTTTATAGATGAGTAAGACTAAATATATATATATATAAATAACTATATATATATATGATTATAAAAATATTTATATATATATTTATATATGACATATTATGACATATTATGATATATTATGGCATTATATATATCATTATATAACATTAATGTGAAATATACTGAAATATAGTGAAATAATGTGAAATATAATAAAATGGATTGACATGGTAGTCCTCTACAAAATGCCACCTCCCAGTGAGACCAGACACACTGATAAAACCACAAATAAATTGTCGACAAGGTCTCATTTTGTTTACGTGACATCAGCCCCCCTGCATCCCATGGTCTCAAGATGCTTCAAGACTCAAGAAGCTCGATGTTACTCACTTTTCCTTGCATGTCATCGGGAGGGTGCCATGCTCAGCTCACGAAGCAGACTGGATCGCATATGTGCGGCAATCTATATAACCTCGTCACACTCGGAACAGGTCAGCCGTCAATCACTATGACATCTTGCCGTCTAGCATTTTCCTGTACCACAATGTAGGCCCTAAGCCAGCATTGGAACAACGCATTACAGAATCTGACCGGATACAGTGCTGTGGGCTGTAAGTCCCGCCCTCCTGTAAACGTTTTCTTCCCAGTTGTCTTGGACACACCGGTTGTGTAGTACACTTTCACTTTCTTTCCAGCACGACGCAATTTTTCAAACTTGCGTGCCACACGTGCTCTGAAAGTAATGTTGGTACAGAAATGGCAACCCTTAAGGAGGTCCATTCCGAAAAATCCAAGGTAGGTCAAGAGGAAGATAAAGGAATAGCCTTTGACCAAGGATTTGTACTTGGGAAGATTCCAAAGCCTCGACCCTTTTGGTTGTTCTATGACAACCCATGTTTTCGGTCGCCACTTGAGAGCCAAGCTGATCAAAATCAAAGCGTTCTCTGCAATCATGTTTGCCATTCTCACTTGAGATTGGACACGTCTCCAAATACCCGCCATTCCTGAGCGAGCTTGCCACACGGAGAAGGGTTCGAGAAAAGCATAGAAAAACATAGAAAACCATAGAAAACAATTTAGAATCAGAAAAGTAAAAGGAATGATTTAGAAACAAGAAATCATATGAAATCATGAGAGATCATTTGACATGACATGAAATGACATAAAATAACATTCAAGATCGTTAAGATGGAAAACCATGAAACTCGGTATTTTTTCTTGTGGTACTTGGGGTCAAGCAGCTGTTCGCCGATGCACACTCGCTGATATGCTGATAAACAAGCAGCACGGGGGGGCTGCCATCAAGAGTGCATGGTCACATAGCCTGTGGCAAACGTTGGAAAACCGAACGGTGGGAAAATGAAAATCACTTGAAATTCTTCTGGCGCCCTCAACATCCCCTCAGCATCCCAAAAAGAAAACAAATAAAATCACAGAAAATCTCAAAGAAATGCATGAAGAATTGAAAGCTGGTCTAGTTCTACAGCTGTAGGACTGTAGAACGCAGTGAAGCGCCAGATAGAATCCAGCACGTGAAAGGATGTCTTCAGACGGAGAGGAACGGATATCATAGCTCCGGGCTCGGAAGCCTTTCCTCTCAAAACTGCAACTCACTCTTCTGGAATGGCTAAAGAAATCGAAAACGTGGAGGGATCTCAAACCTTCCCACTGCTCGCAATAGGCATCGAGTTCAGCCAGACGCTCTGAGGCCACAAACCAATCTTTTTCTGTAAGCCCTGTCGACATGTCCAGATCCTTCTTCTGAGTCTTGGCGCCACAGGTCCCTAGAGAAAACCATGCCAACCATAAGAGAATGAAGGGCACATACCTGGCCATTGCTACAAAAGCTCCGCGATTTTGCGATGGGTCGGGCAATCCTAGGGAGCCAGCTAATATCACTGGGGGACCAAAAAGGGCCGGATAAATGCAGAAGTACAGTAACTACATGCAACATCATGCAACACCATGCAACTACATGTAACTACAGGATACATCAGGATAATTACTACAGGATCCTATAGGATCCATTAAGATCCTATAAGTAACTCATGCATACTCATGCAAGCTGAGAACCATTGGGAGACATGCTCTTGATTTGTTGAATATCTTTGGAAACCGGAGAGGCATACAAAATGCATCCTCCCAGTGAACATGAGATCCATGCTTGCTGGAAGACCAGAGGCACGTGGAACAAATCATTTTGTAGGAATTTCTAGGAATTAAATATTACAGAGGCTTGATGATTTTTCTGATATTGTGTGCATGTTTTGTCACGGCAAAACTGAAAGCACTCTTGCAATCTCTTGCATACTCTTGCCAGAAGGCAAACAATGACATTCACATGCACATGCTTCGCTTTGAGCGGTATTTTTCTCGCCGGCTGCACATCATTTCGATCTCGATGAATCTCAAATATTCTACTAATATCATCTAATATCTACTACTCATATCTGATCATGGCCAACCAACTGATCGATCCAAGCCAAACTAAATGGCCTTCACACCGCATCAGTATTTTTCTAACTTCATTCATCCAAGCCAGTGGAAGTGGCCTTGATGCCTTTGCAACACATCTGCCATGGAGTAAGCTCAGAGATTTTCTTTGCAGTTGTCAAATGCGAGCAAGAACGAACCATATGCCAACGAATGCTGCTTGGGGCTACATAGAGAGCTGTGGAAAAGTCACACTGCACAGCCGCATCTCTCAAGGTCTTTCTCCCAGCCAAAGCCCGGGTACTTGCTAGCAACCAACAGCTTGATAAAAGCAGCACCGCAATCGTCAACAACATGGTTTCGAAAATGTAGCCATACCCATCCTCCATGGCCCGACTGAAATCAAAATATTGCAATCTTGATGATTTTTTTCCCCACTTGATCCTCACATGTGCCAGCGGAGCAAGTCTGACATCTCCATATAAACCCAACAGAAAATTGGGAAATATCATGGAATATCCATTTAATTCCATCCTATTCCACCTATATAGTTCTATATCCATCTATATCATTCATTATCATTCTATATTCTATATTATTCATTCTTATTCTATATCTATCATCTAAGATCCTCTAAGATCATCCAAGATCCATCAAATGATATCAAATGATATCAAATGCATTCCAACCTGGAGGAGCCCACAGCTGCTGCGCCTGCGTCCGCTTCTTTCTTGGCTTTTTTGCACTTGGAACCTAGCCGCTGGACCCACTCAAGCAATGATTGCATATGCATGCATTTGCATGCATACGCATGTATATGCCATGTACCTGCTTGTTGATGCCAAAGTACATATCTCTTGGTCCATCTGGATCCTACAAAATGCATCCTACAATCAAAGGCTACAAGGCATCACATATGGAGCTCTGCACTTTGTCTTGCCTAAGCATTTCGTAGAGTCATGTGCCCTGCTGTTCTTTTCCCAGATACAAGTAGGTCCTAGATGGTCCTACAAAATGCCCCCTACAAGACGGGCTTAGAGATATGGTGTGGGGAGCCTACGTTTTGTTCTGCATAAGCATTTCATATACAATATTTTCTAAAGATTTATAAAGCATTATAAAGCTGTGTGCCTGCAATTGTGTTGCCCTTGGCACACCTCCTACCGCATCCTGCACCCGCAGCCTGCCTGTCTGTGTGGTGTTCTCTTCTTTCTTCTTGACTCCTGCGCTAAAGAGCTTGCCAAACAATGCCAAACACATCCAAGCAGTGTCCTGGATAGCCCTTCAAATTCCGTCAACATCCATCATCTTAACATATGTATATACTTGTATATGATAATATATGATGTATCATGATTACATACGATTGCTACTATATCAATCTATATCAATCTATATCATACTACCAACATCTACCAACCACACATCCTCAGGTCATCCCCCCTGCATCCCTCCACATCCCACTACAAAGCGCTTCCTCCAGCACAGCTGGGGAAACAAATGAACAAATACTGTTCTGTTGACCGCCTCAAACATTTTGTATACTACACATGCAACCCCAAGAACTGCAAATGCATTCTATTTCTCTCTGTGCCCCTCTACAAAATGCCACCTAGTGTCAGCCAGGATAAGCACATGAAGAGATGTGTATATTGGTGCTGCCTGAAAGCATTTTGTACATTGACGACTATTGAATGTCACTGATGTACAATGATGATCTCAATGATGTACATTAATGATCATTAATGTACATTGTAATTCTGTGAGGTTCGTTGACATTTCTGAAAGTAAATGCCCAAATATTACCAACATTTCCCGACTTGTCTAAAACACACATTGTTGAATGTTGTTGAGGGTTCGGGCTGGCCTGTTGTATTCTTCTCCGCCTTAGCCTTAGCTGGTTTCTCAAAAGCTTCGGGATGCTTCTTGAGGACAGCGCTGTAGTCGGGCCACTCCTGCAAAGGCGGTTGGCTAGGCAATACACAAGAGAAAACCTCAAAAATATTCACAAATCCAGAAAAATTTCACAATTTCACACATATCATCAGATATCCAAATAAAGATTGTATAACATTGTACAATGATAAAAATGAAATATGATGAAATCAGTATTCGATAGAATTCGATACTATACGTAAATTATTGATGTAGCATGATTAGCCATATGATGCCATACGTAGCCTAATTTATCCCTGAAAACCAGAGAACTAGTGAGAACTCGTGCCCCGCCTTCGGCTCATCAATCTTTTGTTCTTTCAAGGCGCCCCTTGCCTTGACCAAACTGTTGAAGCGTTGATGGCCAACCCAATAGTAGCCTCAAAGCAAACGATGCAATGAAACCCAATGGGATGCAATGGGCATCAATGGATCACAATTGCAAAACAAACAAGTACAATCAAATATACTCAAATCATATCAATTCCGATCAAATATTCTACCTCCATCATCCTACATCTACCTCCCTGATATCTGTTGAACATTCTCGTCAATTCGCTCTTCATGTCTCATCATGCCATATGAACCAAACTGAGTCAAGATCTGTCCAGAATTCCAACTTTGTTCCCCTTCGTGCGCATAATCTGCTGCCGCGCCAAATGAACCATGGGGGGCATGGTGGCTAAGCAGCAGTGTCGATTCCAATGTGTTCTGCGTAGCTTCCAGCATGATCCATTTGGCGTGGCATTTTTTCGCGTATGATATATACATCTTGATGTGGCCAAAACATGCCAAAACTGTTCTGACATGATGCTTTGAACATCTCTCAGCTTGTTTGAGCCATCTATTTTTCAGCCAGCGATGGTTTTTTTTTTTCTGTGTGCTTGCCCCCCCCTTCTGATATATACATATATATATAATTAAATATATATATATATACAAAATGCCGCCTTCCAACAACCATGCTGGGGTTCTTGAAAGTGTACAAAACAAATAAAGGCGACACGGGCATCTCTACAAAATGCACCCTTCTTCACACCGGGCACACCAACAAACATGTGAAATAGTGCAACTGTGTGGGCTACAATATGCCTCCTGCAGAATTGTACATGACATATAGAAATATGTCAAAAACAACCTACAATATGCTTTCCTTTTGCCGTGATTTTTGGAGATTATATGAAATAATCAGGAGGCAAATGGTAGGCTAGTTTCCCCCCTATTAGGAGTATACAAAATGCCATCAAAAAAACTTGCAGGAGCATTTTGTAGGTCTTAAAACATGAGGCATTTGTTAGGCTACAATCACGGGGGATTATATGTATGTATATATATATATGTGTGTATATATATATATGTATATATATATATGTATATATATATGTATATATATATGTATATATATATATGTATATATATATATATATATGTATATATATGTATATATATATGTATATATATGTATATATATATATGTATATATATATATATGTATATATATATAAAGAGATAATAGACTGTATTTTGAACCAGGGGGGTTTAGTGTATTTAAATTAGGGATCCTGTCATATCCACATCCTGCGAACGTGAACCTGTTCCCAAATTTTCAGGTTGGGGGTCTATGTACAAACCTTTTATTGGTGACTATCGGTGTATCGGAAATGACAAAAATGAAGAGAAAGTGAATAGGGAAATTAATGTTAACAGTGATTAACAGGTGCCTATTTGCAGACAAACCCAGATTAAACATCTTACCCTCTGGTAGTCTAATATATCTATGGAAAATCATCATGTTTCAAACATTTCTAAATAGGTAAACCATCTACAAACGGGCCACTTTCCATCACATATCATAAACATAAGAATATAAGTATTTTCTATCATATCCACAATGTATATATATATAATATTATAAATGATTAATAGTGTACATGGTTTTCCTCTTCTACCATCATTTCTCCTGGTGAAATCCCCTCATTTCCGGTCCATGATGGCCCCATCTGAAACGACCCGCCCCGGGGCCCCGCTCCCCGCGCTTCGATGGCCGCGATGGCCGCGATGGCCGCCGTCCTCGCAGGCGTTCTTCATCTTCGCCAAGCCCTCCGCATAGTTTGGCCCGCCCCGACGTACCCACACGCTCGTGCCGCAGGCTTTCCTGGGATGCGGAAAGCCAGGGCCGGAATTTGGCACGGGGCCACCGGGAAAACAGGTTGTCATCTGCCAACCAAAAAACAAGAAAAAATGGAAGAAAATACGTGATTTCATTGGTAAATGAAATGGTAAATGATGGTAAAAGAATAGATTTGATCAAATCTAGCTCTAGCCCCCAAGAGATTCTTCAAAGATTAGGAATCTAAGCCAATTTTGAGCCCGATTAACCCGATCTTGCAAGGAAGGAACCAAGGGCCCTGGCCTTCCCAACAGAATGGTCCGAGATAAGGAGATAAGTAGGGGCAATATCCGCCTATAACTGGCCCATATGCTCCATGTATGGTATATTTACCTACATTTGGGTGATTTTTAGGGCAAATGTTGGTAAATATTCCATACATGGAGCATATGGGTGGGGTTATAGCACTGTACGAACTTGGATGAGCCACCAATCAATAACGTCTCAACATTTTAAGGGTGACAGGTGTGCAGACAATGTACAAGCCATTGAACTGGAAGCCCAGCACAAAATTTGTCTGCATGAGGAGTGAACAATAGTGAACACTTACTCACCTAGATTCGAGTTTCGGATCTGACACAAGAGACATATTTGTTGGTCATTTACCACCAGCGTATTCAGAAGAAGCTCCAACTTTGGAATTTGACCTATCTACACGACTTTTACTGAAAAAAGTACCCTCTGGTAAACTAACATAACTAACATAACTATGGAAAATCACCATTTTTGATAGAGAAATCAACTATAAATGGCCATGTTCAATAGCTAAATTACCAGAGTGTAACACAATTTACTTGCGATGTTGGTCAAACTACATCCCTTTTCGCCTCACCGTAGCGAATGTTTGGAAGCCCCCATTCGATCATCTTCGCAAGACGGAAAACACACATCAGAGCAACCACCGCATTGGGATTGTTCACCAACAAACGTCGGATCTGAACATTTCATCATTGCAATTTTTGGTGGGATCATGACATAGAAAAATGTTTTGTTTTTTCTTAAAAAATTGATATTTGACTAAGAAAATGATATATGAAATATGGAAGTGTGTTTGAAAATTGGTTGTATGCCAGCCATTTGAGGTTTTTTATATATATATAATACAGAGAATGATGAACCAGTGGATTTAGGTGCAATTCTCAGACAAAACCAATTGGTTGTATTCCCTAAAAAGATAGAAGAGGACAATCCTGGATGTTACACTGGGTGATTCATGGGAAATATATGGAACATATGTTGATTTATTGGAAAAATATGGGACATATATGGTGATTTATGGACGTACTACCTGACCTGGTAAACAAACAGTTTGCTATTGAAAATGGCCCAGTCGAAAGTTCGTTGATTTGCCCAGCTATAAAATGGGTGGATTTTCCATCGTTATTAGTGGAAGTTTACCAGAGGGTATAGATTTTCCCATTTCATGTCCATTATATATCCCATTATATTTCCACTATATTCCATTAGATATCCCATTAAAACCCAATAAATTAAATAATATGGAAAATGATAATCCCAACATATCCAAATTTTGTACAGGTTGTACCCCCCCATCTCATCGTGGGATGCACGCGTCACCCGGCATGGAAAATCCCCGGAGGTTTCAATGGGAACATCGACATCCCAATTTCCTTGGTGAAATCTTCTGCATCTCTGAGATAAAGTTTCCAATAAGCGAGTTTGTATAACTCCTTACACTAACCCACACTAACCCATCAAAAGCTGGGTGTAACTATGTAGCTTCAGAAAGCCTCGTTGACCTTCCACTGATTTTTTCGCCCATCCGGCAGCCAAGGTACAGTGCAGAACCAAATTCTTTCAGGGCTCTAACCTGGAGCTCGCTGATTTAATGGGGACAATTTATCGAAAACCCTGGCGTAAACTAACCCTTGCCATGGAAAAACACCGGTTTTAATAGGTAAATGATATACTTTCAATGGCAATCTGGTTCATAGCTCTGGTAGTAAACACTGGAGGGTAGCATCCATTTATTCCTGGGGATTGTCCTTTTTTGTTCTCCAACTGATGTATCTCATAATATGGTTACTACTTACTAAGTTCTTCGCCAGTAGGGATAAGAGCTAGGGAATGTGAACTGGCTCCTTGTGCGATCCCAGTTTGAACAAAGAAAGCGAAGAGAACTTTGCACAGGCTTGCTCCGAACACCCCAGGTACAAGGGGGGTAAATTGATGTAACTTGGGTAAATATTGAGGTCAAATGAGCCATTTACTCCCCTTGTGGCTCTCATTGACCCATGATGAAAATCTCTCGATGGAGATCGCAGAACCAACAAAGGCTGGTTGGTGGTATACCTACCCCAGTGATTTATAGTGGTTTATAGATCTTTATAGTGGTTTATAAGTGGTTTATAGTTGTTGAAAATGGTTCACTGGTTGCTGGTATACCTACCCTCTGAAAAATATGAGTTCGTCAGTTGGGATGATGACATTCCCAATATATGGAAAAATAATCCAAATGTTCCAAACCACCAACCAGATGGGGATTGACCAATTCACCAACAATGCTGGGCTTTGTCGAGAAATCGTGCAGGATTTTTTCCTCATGACATTGGCTTTGACAAATCCAACAGGTAAAATAAATGAATAGATTGATGAAATTTATCAGACCAACTGTGACTTCGAAGCTGCTACGAGCAGCCCTGTTTTCCACAACAGGAAGGGTCATCGGCCGGGGCTAGCTATTTTAATCGCAGACGTATCCACCCGGCAAGTACAGCCACAAGAAGTCGTCGCAACTGTCGGAGAAGGCGACGACTTTGACGCCACCGAAGGCGTCGCTGATCTGCTTTAAGCTGTGCCGCTATTCCCGCCGACGACGCAGACACATATGGCTTTGATGCCGTAGCATCCAGCGAGCCACTTGAAGTCGCAGCCGCCGACCCCGCAGGACATGGTGATGCAGATGCAGCCGTTTGCGTGGTGATCCTGATCGACCTTGCTAAAGCAGCCGCAGCTGCCGTGTCCGTCGACGACAGAGCAAAGCTCTTGGCATCGTTGGCACCTTATACTTCACCTCGACTGCTAGTGATAGAGTCAGCGGCGGCACTGTCGCGCCCGCTGAAAATGCTGGCGGACCCCGTCTCGAGACTCGAAAAACCTTGTTTACCGCAGAAAGCCCTGAACTCGCTGCTCATGTTTCCATAGTTCCAGCACTTGAAGCTGAAGCTCTTGCATGAGACGCAGCAGCCTGGTCCGTCGAATAGCGAGTTCAGGCGTCCTTGCGCGTAGTAGCCGCCGCAGCTACATAGTGGTTGTAACATAGTGCTGAGTTTCCAGATGCAACCAAGCTCAAGGGTGGTCAGTAGCTGGAACAACCTCCCACCAACGTGCTCAACACATAACTTGATTAAAGCTACACCAATGGAACATATATATATATATATACCCACTATATTTGGGTAGTACTACCCCCATTGGATGCTGATTGCTACCCACAAGAATCTAAGCAGGGACTCCCATTTATGCTTGTTGGTTTATGTTGTGTCATCCAGGTAAGGAACCCATCCGGTCCTTGGTAGCCTAGTTACGAACCAACTTCAAAACCTCGCGAACTTGGGGCCCACGGCGCCCGGTTCGGCACCTTCCTAATGTCCCAGGGTTGCTCCCAACACCAAATACCCTAGTCTTTGGCTAAATGATACCCTCTGGTAAACTAACATAACTATGGAAAATCGCTATTTTTAAAAGGTAAACCATCTATAAATGGGCCATTTTCCATGGCTATGTTAAATAACCAGAGGGTAGTCTTTCGCTAAATGATAGAGTTCCAAAGCCAAGTTCGCGCCCTTGTGGCAATCATTTACCTGCAATCGTTTGGGACAACGCTGCGTTTCTTGGATAATTCCTCCGGCTGCCATGTTTGGAGATGATTGTCCCCATCACATACCCATTATATCCCCACTATATGGCTTCATATATTATTATCTTGTATCCCCATTAATTGCATACACTATGGGGCCCCCAAGCTATATATACAAGTTGGTCTATAATTCCATCTACTAACTTTAGTTATTGCTGCCATAAACCCTAGTCAACCAACTTAGTTCAGCCAACTTATAGCTATCATAAATCAAACGAAATCCGCTATAAATCCAAAAAAACATCTAACATCACCATGTTTGTTAGCGTTTCGCCACCATTTTCCATCATCGCTTTAGCGAAACCAACGAGGGCACCACCACCTCGGAGCCGCGATCCAAGGTACAAGGCCCTTGAAGGTACTCGCCACATCAGTGAAGTTGGCCACTCCTCCACCAATCAGTAGCACCTGCACCGCGGCCAGTGCGCCGGTCCCCCGCTTTTTGCTGATGGTTACCCGGCCTGGTAAACCATAGGAAAACCATAGGAAGATGGTGGTTTAATGGGATTTAGTGGGAGTTACCCTCTGGTAAACTAACAAACTAACAGTTTGCTATTGAAAATTGCCATTTATAGTGAGTTTTCCCATTAAAAATTGTGATTTTCCATAGTTATGTTAGTTTACCAGAGGGACATGATAGGATATCAGGATATCCAGCTTTATGATCAATATTGGTTCACCAACCAAACTAGGAGTATTTTTCAATCCTTGCGGGTATCTCAAAGAAAAATTGAACGTATGGAAAAGCACGTGAAACTTTCAGCTCTCATACCCTCTGGTAAACTAACATAACTATGGAAAATCACCATTTTCAAATGGGAAAATCCACTATAAATGGCAATTTTCCATAATTAGCCATGTTAAATTACCAGAGGGTATCTATTTGGTTTCCAGCAACCTCCAATGATGGAAATCCCATTGCCATAAGCTTCCCAGAAATACTTCCGAACCGCGTGAAATCGTGATCCTCAAAGAATACCATATGGGGGTGTCTTAAGGGGGATCCCCAACACCATTCCAACGCTAAACTAAAAGGATCTTATTTTGGATGATTTGGGGGCATCCCCATGACTTAGGAAACCTCCATATCTGGTTGGTGGTATACCTACCCCTCTGAAAAATATAAAAGTCAGTTGCGATGGTGAAATTCCCAACTGAATGGAAAAATAATCCAAATGTTCCAAAACACCAACCAATATATATATATCATTACTCAAGCAACGTCCAGCCCCACGTGGCCTTGCCATGTGGTTCCGGTGATGACGTCATGACACCAAGGATAATCTTGGCATACTCGTAGACGAACTCCTGAGGCATGTCACAATGCACTGCATCCCCAGTGATGCAGCAAACAATACATCAATGGGAATTCCAGGATCCTAAAATGGAGGTACTGTACCATATAAGGCCATATTTTGTGGGGATATTCTCTTACATAGGCCTTACATAGGCCTTATATATGGTAGGTACCTCCAATTGAGGATCCTGAAATGGCCATTGAATACATGGATTTACAGTTGTTTGTCTATCAAAAACAACTGGTTGGTGGTTTTAACCATCTTGAAAAATAGGAAAGTAAATGGGAAGGATGACATCCCATATGTGACATGGACAATAAAATTCATGTTTGAAACCACCAACCAGCTTTGTATTGTTTTATACACCAAGGCAACTGTAGATTTACCATCTGGTTATTTAACATAGCCATGGAAAATCCCTTGTAAATGGAGGTTTTTATAGCTGGGAAAATCATTTATAAATTGGCAATTTTCCATGGCTATGTTAAATAACAAGAGGGTTATACACCAAGGCAACTGTAGATTTACCCCTCAGAAATCCTATTGTTCCAGGTATGGGTTTTTAAACAGCAACAACAATAACAACAACAACAACAACAACAACAACAACAACAACAACAACAACTACTACTACTACTACTACCACAACCACCACCACCACCACAACAACAACAACAACACCACCTTCTGAAACATACCAAATTGGATATTTATGATGGATATATCGGTACATCTACAGTTGTTGATTTATCAATAACAACACGACTTTCGCAGCCACGCTCCTCAGGCGGATCCCCAGAATATTCGCCATAGTTGGCCAGCTCTTTCGCGAAGCCGTACTCGCAGATGGTGTCGGTGTAGACCTAACCCAAATAACCATAGGAAAACCATAGGAAAATGGTGGTTTAATGGGATTTAATGGGATTTAATGGCACTTACCCTCCGGTAAACTGACATAACTATAGAAAATCACCATTTCTAATAGGTAAATCAACTATTTCTATGGGCAATTTTCAATAGCACACTGTTAGTTAGTTAGTTTACCAGAGGGTATATATATATATAATGGGATGAACATATTGGGATATAATCATGGGATATACTGGGACTAGAATGGGATATAATGGGAAAAATAATGGGAATATCAAACTATCATCGGATATAATGGGATGATAATAATGGGAAATAACATTCATGGTTAATACTGGTGCTGTAATCGGGATACAATGGAATATTCATGGGATATACTGGGACTAGAATGGAATATCGATCCTCCGGTGTCATCAAACATGGCTAGCGCGGCAGTATCCGAAAAAAACATGGGCATATTACCCTCTGGTAAACTTTCACATAACTATGGAAAATCACCATTTTGTTTACCAGAGGGTATTTCAACGAGAACATCATCTCTATAGATGGTTGATTTTCCGTTGCGATGTTGATAAGGTGTGGTCAACACAAGTGGAGCCTTAAACAAAACACCTGAGGTTTCGACCAAGAAATCTTGCGTTGAAGCAATGCAACAAACATATACAAGACTTGGGTTTTAAGGTTGAAGCATCAACATGTTAGTTGGATGTTCATCACAGGCAGTAGATCTGGCGATACTTGGGTGACACAATAACATCCAAGCTCCTGAATTTCATTGATATAGAACCACCCAAGTCTATTATCAGTTTGCTTCAATATGGTACAGTACTTATATCATAATACAATAAATGGTACAGTATTTGAATGACAAAATAATTGTGTACAGATATATAACCACCTACAAAAGAGAATTATATTACCTGTTGCTTTGGGATTTAGAATTTAGACTACTTATAAATGCATTCTAAAATAATACTGTACTGATAGAATATGTTAAACTTCTAAACTGTGGTAATCCCAACGCATGACCTTCTTTGCCAGCGAGATCTGGATGATCTGGATGCGCGCCCCCAACGCAGGTTGTTTCGTTGTGAGGTTGTTTGACAACTTAGACACACATAGAGAAAAAATAGAGTTATAGGGGTTTCCTGCAAACATATGGGAAAATCATGGGTATATCATGGAATATTCATGGGATATAGTGAAATATTGACGGAATATGAATCTGGATGGTGGTTCCAACCATCTTGAAAAATATGAGTTCGTCAATGGGAAGGATGACATCCCATTTATGAAATGGGAAAAAACATGTTCCAAACCACCAACCAGAAATGTATTGCTTATGAGATGCAATAGTAATAATTGTTACAACACCTATCAATATTACTGATTGTTTGGAACTGTATGCTGTATATAGAAATATCTGTGGCAAATTAGAATTCTATTGCAAAATCTAAGGTAAGCACGTCTTGGGTTCAGGATTCCCCCCAAAAATCACTTATGTCTTAATCACCAACTACTTAGAAGTGCGGTTGGGGTGAGGTTTGTGGGACTATGGTGATGACTTCAGTTGGGTCTCCCAGTGGTATGAGTCACCTGCAGGCCTGAGCCATTGCCGTAGCACAAATTGGTAAAAGCAAAGCTGGGTCGAATGTGATCGAACGCCTTGGTCAAGTCAAAGGATTTGACTCGCGCTGCAAACCATATCGGGAATGGCGACACTGACCGATGAGCCAAAATTTCAACGCCGCTTTGAGCCACGCTCGAGCATTCGCGGTTTTTGCGGCTGAGCAACTTGTCATTCATTTGCTTTAGGTGTATTCCGCTCACACCTAGGGTTTTTGTTCGTCTACGACTCCAAATGTCGTCGAGTGCAACATCTGAGACCTGCTCAGTACGAAACTTGCCTGGGTCCAAATGCTGCGAATCACACTCTTTGAAGTAGGACAAATAAGGGACGTGATCCTGCAAAAACACAATTCTGAGGCTCTGAGGTGGCTCCCTTCCAAGTGCATTGCCTACGACTTGTCTGCGTCTTCTTCACAGAAGTTATAGATGGTCTCATAGATGACTTGCGTGTACTTCAACTATTCCCCATTCTTGTACCCATATGGTGCAATACTTCAATTGGCTAGATAAAAACTATAATGGATATATGATATAAAATATAATATTGGTACTATAATGATAATTGATGATAATTGAACTATACATGGTGAATAATCAAAAAATAATATCTATCCGAGTACTCTCAGTAAGTTATCTAATCTATCTAGTCTATCTTATCTATCTAATCTATCTAAGCTGTCTAATCTATCCAATCTATCGTTTCTATCGATCTATCTAATCTATCTAACCTGTCTAATCTGTCTAATCTATCTGTTCTATCGATTTATCTATCTATCTATCTATCTATCCATCTATCTTGCTTTCTATCTATCGATCTAACCATCCTTCCATCCATCTATCTATCCATCCATCTAGTTTTCTATCTATCTATCTATCTATCTATCTATTTACCTATCTATTTACCTATCTATCTATCTATCTATCTATTTACCTATCTATCTTTCTTTCTATCTATCTATCTATCTATCGTTCTATCTATCTATCTATCTATCTATATTTCTTTCTATCTATCTATCTATCTATCTATTTACCTATCTATCTATCTACCTATCTATCTACCTATCTATCTATCTACCTATCTATCTACCTATCTATCTATCTATCTTTCTATCTATCAACCTATCTATCTTTCTATCTATCTATTGTTCTATCTATCTATCTATCTATCTATCTATTTACCTATCTATCTATCTACCTATCTATCTACCTATCTATCTATCTATCTATCTTTCTATCTATCAACCTATCTATCTTTCTATCTATCTATTTTTCTATCTATCTATCTATCTATCTATCTATTTACCTATCTATCTATCTATCCATCCATCCATCCATCTATCTATCTATCTATTTACCTATTTACCTATCTATCTATCTATCTATCTATCCATCCATCTATCTATCTATCTATTTACCTATTTACCTATCTATCTATCTATCCATCCATCCATCTATCTATCTATCTATTTACCTATTTACCTATCTATCTATCTATTTACCTATTTACCTATCTATCTTTCTTTCTATCTATCTATCTATCTATCGTTCTATCTATCTATCTATCTATCTATATTTCTTTCTATCTATCTATCTATCTATCTATCTATTTACCTATCTATCTATCTACCTATCTATCTACCTATCTATCTATCTACCTATCTATCTACCTATCTATCTATCTATCTTTCTATCTATCAACCTATCTATCTTTCTATCTATCTATTGTTCTATCTATCTATCTATCTATCTATCTATTTACCTATCTATCTATCTACCTATCTATCTACCTATCTATCTATCTATCTATCTTTCTATCTATCAACCTATCTATCTTTCTATCTATCTATTTTTCTATCTATCTATCTATCTATATACCTATTTACCTATCTATCTATCTATCTATCCATCCATCCATCTATCTATCTATCTATTTACCTATTTACCTATCTATCTATCTATCTATCTATCCATCCATCTATCTATCTATCTATTTACCTATTTACCTATCTATCTATCTATCTATCCATCCATCCATCTATCTATCTATCTATTTACCTATTTACCTATCTATCTATCTATTTACCTATTTACCTATCTATCTATCTATCTATCTATCTAATCCTACCTACTTACCTACCTACTAGAATGAATATTTACACAAATATAAAATCACATACATACTCATACATATAACTCTGAGGACTCATCATTGGATGTCTTCATTCCCCAGACCGGGACCTCGCTGCCAGGCTGCCACCGACGCCCCACCGCCGGCGATCAGTGTCCACACGCGGCCCTGGCGGTTCAGCAGGGTGAACTTCAACGAGGCGCCTGGCACGACGCCACGCCACAACGCCACGCCACGCCATTGTGAAGCCGTGGAAAAATGCCGGGGTCACCAGGAAAAATCTGGGAAAATCCTGAGAAAAATGCTGAGTTACCAGTGAAAATGCAGATTTAGCCGTCAAAAAAAAAAACTGTTCATAGTTTTTCCATGTTGTGCCTCACGTTCTTTGCTGATATCACCTATGATCATATCATGACGCCACAACTCCCCGTGATTTGCCTGGTTTTGTGCAGTTCCGGTGAGCTGACAAATTAACGGTAGTTATAGCGGATATATCGGCATTTTATGGTGGGTTATAACCAATAGCTATGGAATATAGTGGTTTATTGGGATATCTATTGGGATATCTAATGGGATATAATGGGATATATATAGTGGAAATGTAATGGGAAAATCTATACGCTCTGGTAAACCAACATAACTATTGAACATCACCATGTTTAATGGGTAAATCAACTATAAATGGCTATTTTCCTTAGCTATGTTAAATTACCAGAGGGTATTCTACCCATTTGCAACCTTGCACCCCCAAGTAAACGTGAACATCAATATTCTATCAATATTCCATTATATCTCATTAATATTTCCATTGAATCCATATTATTGTTGGTTGAATAACCATTAAAGAACACATAATATCCCCATTGTTGTTGATAAAATTCCCTGAAGTCGACATTAAAGCCCACTAAATCTCACTAAATTCCGTTGAAAACTTCCATCAAAGTAACATTAAATCAATGGCAACTTCAGGTATCTAAATTGGAGGTACCTGCCATATATGTTTGGACTATTTTTTAGGCCTAAATTTCATGGAATATCCCCAGAAATATGGCCCAAATATGGTTTTAACGTACCTCCATTTTAGGATCCGGAAATTACCATTGATGAAGTGTTTCTTGGATCAGTTAACTATGGAACATATGCTGGTTTCCATGACTGGTGGTACCCCAAAATGGTTGATTTATAATGGAAAACCATCATTTATAATGGAAATGACCATTAAATCAACATTGCTTCCACCCATCCCAACCATTTTCCCATGGTTCCCCACCTGTCCGCGCATCCAGGTCGTGTACCAGTCGTTCCTCGGGCAACTCTGGGCGTCCGAAGCCCACAGGGAAGCGCAGGGGGCCCCACAGGTCGTGGCAGAGGTAGCCGGCCGTTTCCTGCTGAAGTTGGGCAACGGATGGAGGATTACTTGGAGGAATTTGGAGGATTAGTTGGGAGAAATTTTAGATTTTAATGGGATTCATTGGGATTCTGTTGAGATCCTTAGTGGGATTTACTTGGATTTTTTCATGGGATTTGTTGGGATTCGATGGAGGATCAGTAATGGGATAATGGGATTCCAAAGGAAGGATCTACGAAAGTAAAATGGCGAACATCATTGAAGGGACCTATACACAATGATCTATGCAGCAATCCCTTCTAGATGATTTTGAACAATCTGCTATAATGTGGAGTTACCGAGAGTAAGCCATCGTTTTTTTTCACAAGTCCCTCTGGATGACAACCAACATCAAAAACTAATGGTGGAGTGACAAAAAAATAATATTAGATATTGTCCAGATAAGATTGGTGAATACACACCATAATAATATGGATATTGTCACAATAATGGTTCAGTAGATATTCGATTACCTAAGATATCTTTGATATCTAATAGGATTATGATTCATAATAAGATTTCCCAAACGTCAATATCTAATACGCTCAGTTCATCAGAACTACTGAACCAAAAGGGATCGCAACTGAATGAACTAATCATAGTAACTAATCGGATTCCGAATCCTGGGGAACTGAGGTCGCCCATCTGCTTGAAACGGCTGCCCATCTGCTTCCTTTGAAGAATCACAGTGAATTTTTCAGCATCAAAAGTTTCATTCTCATAAAATCTGGATGGTGCCAGTACAGATGTGCTCAACAAAGACAGGGAATCGACCCAGAAATCAAAGCACCGAGGTGTATAACTTCCCTTTTGGTCGAGGCTCGTCCAGCTGCAACTGTGCTTCTATGATGCAAGGGGTAGAGCCTTGGCGGTTGCCACAAAAGCGACGGGAATCTTTGGAACATCCCACCTGAACTGGGGGGTAAAAACCTCCCTATCAATGGGGGGGTACATACCCCCATAGCTGGATGGTTTATTTCATGGAAAATCCCATCTCGAAATGGATGACTTAGGGGCACCCCTATTTCAGGAAACCTCCAAATATATCAAACATGAACTCAGCAGTTGTAGTTATCACCACCCGTGTTGTCATGGTTAAATCCCCATGAGGGTTCATACCCCCACTGCTGATAACCCTATATATTTACCAAGTATAGCCAGCGAACATACCCTCCAGTAGTTGAACCTGGCTTTCTTGGACATCACCTATTTTGTTCCATGAATTTTCCATGTGTTCTCATATAAAGTTAGGATTTTCCAGCCATCAAGCATGCAAAATTACCAACACACAACACTACGGGGTATAAAGCCAGCAATCTATAGATATTTATAGATTATAGTTTGCTAGGTCCATTAACAAGACTATACAAGATGGTGCCCCTAAAAAAATGCTAAGTTGATTTGTAGCTAGCAGCTTACCTATGTGGTGTTCCTTGATTTCTACATACATCGAACTAGATACTGGGCTTTCTAAACCTACTTACATATCATATCCATTGATATATGGAAGGTCATCATTTAAACGCATCCATTTCCAGATAGTTTCCCCATATTTTCCGTGGAAAAAATGATCTGATCCAGCTAGAATAAACCAACTTATAAGGTTTATTCCTACATAGTGGTGCCCCATAGATAGCTAAGTTGGTTTATAATTACAATAAGTAGGACTTATGGTAGATATATCTATAGTTGATGGGGGTTATAAACTAACTTATAACTGGGGGATACCACATTGTATGGGTAAATCCCCATTGTTGAGGGTCAAAGACCCCCCCATTGTTGATGTTTTAAAATTCTAAGACTGAATATTTTTCTTTCAACCCAAGACCAGAAGTGTTCTTAGAACCACGATGTACTACGTCATACAATGAACGTGAGTCAGTGACCATCACACCCTTTACTTTCCTCAGAAGAGCACCTGGGTTTCTCAAGGGTATGTCGCATCCTAACATCTCGCTCCACTGCAACCGTACATACATGAGTTCTTCTTCAGCAATGCTAAAAGCTTGGATCTCAGCTGAGAGTGAGCTCCTTGCAATGCGAGGCAATCTCCCGGATTTCCAGGATATTGGATTGATAGGACTAGGCTTTGACTCCAGTATTGAAGGTTCTGTGGCTGCTATAAAATACCCTCCTGTGCTGGAGAGGTCCCTGCGGTTTCCTACAGCCGCATCAGTCCACGCAGTGAAGGTGACATCAAAAGGGTCAGCAGTGTTGAGCCTGTGGTACTTGATGCCTACATGCCTGTGGTTGTACACTTCTCGAATCAACTTGTTCGTCTCAAGCAAGGTCTTCACTGTTGGATTAGACAACTGACTCTGAAGGAAACTCAATCTCGCGCTGTGTTGAGGGGCACTTTGATATGCCCGCCACTGAAGAGCTCCAAGTGCACCTCGTAGTTGTTGTTTCTCTGTCTCTGTGGCCTTCTCACTTCCCTCTCTTCTCTCAAACTTGATGGGCTCAATAGACTCACAGTAGTCACTGTGATTCAGAGTGGTACTACCATCTGCTGCTTGTATGATTTGAATACCACAATGAGAATAGCTATCGATTTCCCAAGGTGACCATTGATAAGAATCATAGATGCCTTGGAGAGCTCTCTGCCATACTACTGAAGTTGATCACCACCGAACAAAAAGTCATCCACATGGGCGACAACTAATCCTACTAACCGCTTTTCCCCAGACCCGTCAGTTTCTGTGCAACGCCAACAACAAGGTTCTGTCTGAAGTTGTTCCAACCCTAAAT